TTGTTTTAATAAAATATTGAGAATATTTGGATTTGTTATATGATTTGAGAACCTTCTATATTCTTTGTATATCAAATTGAATAATTAACTCAAGAATTAATAAGTAATGAATTACTTCTATAAAATTATTAAAAATGAAGATATTATTAGCTAATTATTTTATAAAATCTATATATAATAGATTAATTATATTTTCTGGTTTTTTTTCGTTTTTTTGTTTTTGTTAATAATAAATCATACTTGAACAATTATTAATATTATTTTATAGATTTATTTGAAATCTATCTAATTGTTGTTATTAAAGATTATAACAGGTTTTTAATAAATTTGTATAATATCTATAGAATCTATTATTATAATAAAATATAATTTTATTAAAAAAGTTAGAGTTTTTATATTTAATGAAAAGGTTTTTGTGTAAAGTAAAAAGAGACTTCCTCTTTATTTATTAATATATTAATCGAAATATTAATATAAATATTAATATAAATATTGATTAACACGAGATTATAATTTATTAAAATATTACTAAGATTATAATAGATATAATAGTAATAATATTATATATATATCATTAGAGATATTCTAATGATATTGGATATATATATAAGTATATAAGATATATATATATATATATAGACGACATTATATGAATTGTATCACGTGACCTTGTGTGACTCTGTACTGCACTTCCAACAAATATTATCGTTTTTATATTTATATTTATTATTTAAAGAATTAACTATAGAGATAGCTAATATAATAAACTATATATTCTATATTTAGGCCCTAGCATTGCTATAGTCTTTCTTTAGCCGCTATAGCTCTCTTAGGCGTATTATAATCAAAGTAAACCTTGATCTCAGACTATCTAAGACTAAGACTAAGACTATCGGTATTTATACACTTGCTTCTTTCGCTCAATCTAAATCTCTATCTTATCGTCCTATTCGTTTCTCCGGAACTTATCTCCAAGTCATAACATCGCATGATATTTACAACAATATCCAAAGCATTATCCCTCGGCTCGCAAAACCTTTATTATAGCGAATCCAGGAGTTGATTTCCAATCGTGTGACAAACTTGCTTGATAATCTATTTGTCATTTTATTCCTTGTTGAAAGAGCCAAGTTAAAGTATTTGATCGAGACAAGTCGAAACCTACCAGCTTGCGAAGAATGTCATTCCTACAGAAAGTTCATGTGGGAGTTATTAAGATTTAGATGCTCACCGGGCCTCGATCTTATTTCTACCAGATCATACAGGACAGAGGGGGGACCTCACAAGTATCTGCCAATGTAATATTTATACCACAATTGATCGCAAAAATATCTACATTCAAATTCAAATTCAACACAGTCCAATTTCAATTAACTTAAATACGACAACTTCATGATATGGCTACCTCAAGCATCATCCACTTGAATACTGGTGATACCGGCGTGTTCAAGTTCAAGTCCCAGGACTCGGAATCTGCCACCAAGACCTCTCAGCTACTACAAGAGAACCATGATGTAGGATCGTACCCTCCCCTATAACAAGTTGTCTTGAAGATGCGTCCTGTCTAACGGGTCTTTGATTTAGAAACATCACTTTTTTTTTAATACCTCGGGGTTTCACAACCATATTGTCCATCATTTGTTGACTCTGTATGGCCTTGGTGCCCCGGCATCCGTTATTGAGCGGCAATATAAGCTCAATGCATCATACCAGCAACCAATCGTTCTCGCCGAGAATGAGGTAAGTTCATTTCTTACCAGGCTTGCTGGTTTGGAGATGCCTCAATACTACAAAGCATAATTGTTCTATATCTCAATGACCAATCTTTGACAGTACATTCTCTGATAGATTTAGGCCCCGGTAGATCTGTCAACACCAGATTATTTCAACAGCCATCTTGGAAAGCCAAAGCACTACCATGATTTCCTAATCTTCTGGCAGCAAGAAATCGAATCGAAGGGGTGGAAGGAGGTACTGAAAGAACACATCTTTGCTAGTGATGCTAAAGCAGACGTCATGCTCGGCAGGATGTTTGCCAGTACATAGTACTGTAATCGCTTGTAAACACATTACGTTGCTGACACTGAACAGGATTTCTTCATCCTCTCATCCATCTGGGTTTTGGAATTGAATTCAACCAACCAGCTATCATTGCTGAAGCATTAGCACAAGCTTCCGTCCATGACAACTGGATATCCAAGTATCTTTTAGACACCGAGAAGAATGCACGGCCAGGAAACAAGACAATACCAAAACTCCTCGATGAGATTAGAGCTGATAAAAAGCTCTCTACAGCAGCCGAGTGGGACGATGACAATAAAATTCGAGATGGAATTATGGCCAGAGCTCCAGATGAAATGACAAAGTATGCATCTCAGTGGACTGTAGGAAAAGGTGAAATTGAATCTAAGACGGCTCAAATGATCAATTCCGCTGTTTTCTTCACTGCCGCTGCTCAACGTCCACCAAAACAAGTGAGTCATATTATGATTCACAAATAAATCTTGACTGACCTTCATTCTCAGGTGAAATTCGACTTTTACTATATGCACTGTGTCAACAGTTCGATTTTCTTTACATCGTTCAATAGACAAGACTTTTTGTCTGAAGCTCAGAAGATTCGACTCTTGAAATGGAAGGGGCGTCTTGATCTCGCCATGTATGCATCCCGTCGCTCCCCGAAACTACTCCCCGAAGAAGTCTCGAGATATACCCCCAAGCGGCTTGAAGCTGGTGACACGGAATGGAGTGGATTATTTCAGAGACTGTTCGATTTCGAAGATGATGGGCACGCTGTGAAGCTTGGAAGAGCGGTCGCACACGCCCAAGTAGTCAGCCAAGATTACGAAGACGAAGACTGGGCAAAGGTCAAAGACTTCATGTGGTTGAAGATAGGAAATATGATAGCCGACAGTATTGAAGACACCGGAGAAACTGTATATATCCCAAGAAATATTCCCCTCATAGATAGAAGTAGAACTTATTTACTGACTTCTCATCCAGTGGGCTAGAAGCGTTGGATTTGACGAAGCCTGGAATCAATACGAGGACAGATCAGGACAGGTACATCTGTAGGCAAAGAGGCCAGGATATCTCTGTATTTTCCCCCATCTCCTGCTATCTTTACTGAACCCAAAAGCCGCGAAAAATTGTGCGAATATACTTTACTATGATAAAAGTCGAATGACATGGCAAAGGCCATATATTCGAGACTGATTGTGATTTTTGTTCACCTTTAGGCTATTCTAATCATACCTAGGTAATCACCGATATAATTTGTTCATTCTCATTAATTTCCTCAATATCTGTCTTAAGTTCTTTGCCTCTTTTTGCCTCTCTTTATAAATAAACACACATTTCATCTTTGAATAAATCTTTTCTTATAAAATTTGCTGATTCTCATAACCCTCTCTATGTTCATCGAAGTGCTTTTAAATTCTCTTCGTAAATAGATACCCATTTAAACTTTGACTAAACATTCTCTCTCCTAGAATTTGCTGCTTTACCTTACATTTACATGCCCATAGTTTGGAGTTCCTTTCAATTTCTTACTTTTGAGACTTCTTCGCAACTAAGATGGCGCAAGTTTTCACTACCACTTCAAGCTCAGGCACCGAGACTCATTGGTCCGAAAATGTACTCATACTTGGCCTAGAGAGACAGGAAACCGAGAAGCAAACTATCGCAGATACTCAATTGGCTCCAGCTCGTATCACTCGTTCCCAGTCTCTCACCCACCTTAGCATCAAGCAGAAGTTCACTCACCCACACTCTCACCTCAAGACCAATGAAGATGAACTTGTCGACTTCAATGGTGCTGATGATCCCGTGAGTTCAATCATACTCACATAATTCTCAATGCCGGTTGTGTTAATATCATTGCTTAGTATCAACCTCTCAATTGGCCCTTTAGGAAGAAGTTGATCACTACATTTGTCTATGGCCTTTTCACCATGACTTCGACATGGGCAAGTTCTGTATACAGTCCCGCTGTACAACAAGTCGCATCGGAATTTAATGTTCAACCCGAGGTGAGTTCTCCTCAAAATTGTATCGACGGAAAGTGAAACAGTGTTAACGATACGCAGGTAAGTTTGCTGGGCGTAAGTTTCTTGTTACTTGGATTCGGATTCGGTGAGAGATTGCCATCACCGTTGTGAAATGGACTGTGAAGCTGAACAGTACTTGCGACATAGGCCCCCTGCTATGGGCTCCTCTATCTGAAGTGTAAGTTACCGTGAAGTCGACATCAAAATGTTGTGTTATGTGCTGCATTTCCCACTTGTCACAACTGATCCCTTTTTACCGATACTGATGACCATGCAGTTATGGCAGAAAAGCTGCAGTCCTAAGCCCAGGTAAGCAGCTTCACTGCGTGAACAGCTTTGAGTATGGTGAGCTCGACTGAGCTCCTTTCCCTGTTCACCATTAAAGCCATATCTAACTCGACATACATAGTTTTCATCTCAGCATGTTTCTCCTTCGGCACCGCCACAGCGAAAGACATTCAGACATTGCTCTTGACACGGTTTTTTGCTGGCATCTTCGGATCTGCTCCTGTAAGAAACTTCAGCTCAGAAACACTTAGTTCCTCTGACCTCTATGAACCAGGTAACCAACACCGGAGGCGTTCTCTCGGATATTTGGCCACCCCAATCGCGAGGAACGGCTATAGTGGGATATGCCTTTGCCGTTGTCGGAGGTGAGTACATACATAATCAGCACAATGCCAATTCTAATTTTCACCCTTCCAAGGTCCAACCATGGGTCCAATCGTTGGAGGAGCCATTGCATCGAGCTATTTGGGGTGGAGATGGACAGAATACGTAAGTCCAAAACTCTACCAACTACACTTCGTATCTCTAACCCAATGAACCAAGATAACTGGAATTATGCAATTAGCTGTTGTACTAATCGGTGCTCTCGTACTCAACGAAACATATCCTGACGCACTCCTTGTCGCTAAAGCCCGTCAACTTCGCCATGATACTGGAAATTGGGCATTGCATGCCAGACATGAGGAGCGGAGTTTTAGTATTGGCGAGATGGCAAATAAATTCTTGATGCGACCGTTTCGCTTACTGGCTACTCCCATTTGTTTTCTCATGGTTTTATATGCTTCGTTTGTTTATGGTATTCTCTATTTGTGAGTCAGATTTTGAGAGCGGTTCGTGAATACGTATACTGATGTGAGAGCAGGTGTTTAGCTGCGATTCCTGTGCAGTTTGCAGAGGAAAGAGGCTATGGACTTGTAACATCAGAGTGAGTTTACCTCCAAGTTGATGATCTTCGCAAAGCAGATATGCTGCTAATGACGTTCCTCAAAATAGACTTCCATTTCTTGCACTCCTCCTTGGTACAATTTTTGGTGGCACTGCGAACATCCTGCAAGTTTTTCCCAACCCCTTTCCAAACCTCACCCATTGACAAACAAACACCAGCAACAACAAATTCTATACCCATAGATTTGAAGCAAACGACAACCAACCGGTCCCCGAAGCTCGCCTCCCCCCAATGATGATCGGCAGCATATTTTTCGCCGCGGGCCTCTTCATCTTCGGCTGGACATCATCCCCGTCCATACACTGGGTAGCTCCTTGCACTGGTCTTATCTTCATGGGATTCGGCTTCTTCACCATTTTCCAAGCCGCGCTCAACTATCTCATTGATACCTTTGCCTCCTGTGCAGCCAGTGCGGTTGCGGCTCAGACATTCGTACGATCCATATTTGCAGCTTCATTTCCCATGTTTGTTAGGCCGATGTTTCATGATTTGAGCATTGAATGGGGAAGTAGTGTACTGGGGTTTGTAGCTACGGTGCTCATACCCATTCCGTTCTTGTTTTATATTTACGGAGAGAGGATTAGAATGAGGGGCAAATTCACCGCCAATTAGATCGTTGGAAGCAACTCGCTACAATACGACGATGGGGAAATATTTGTTAGAGAATTCGTGACGACTCGATTGATTACAGTCGACAGTCTGGTAATTCTATAGATACTTAATTCGTTTAGATAGATCCCTGAATTGTCGATTGCTTGTAGCGCAGGACACACAGAAATTCTAGGACATAAGAGTAAAAAACATGAAGACTCGTTCCCAAATGTGTGTTCATGCCGAGTATTTTCTGCTTGCGTTCAACTCTAGATACAACAGTCAGCCGCATTTCCTTGAACGCATCATTCGTCAGAAAGGATAAGGATGAGGAGCTCAAACCATCACTCAAAACTGAAGCCAAAGCCCTCGAGGAGTGAAATTAGTCATTGATTCCAAGATCATAACTGTACAGATATATCAACATAACCACTAGAAGCCCATCCAAGCTTGCCCATAACTCCAATCCCATGCGTAAGCTGCTATGCAGCATATAGTACATTCAAAGCCCCTCTTTTTCTAAAAGATTTACCAAGCCCACCACTCCACTCCAAACACAACTCCTAATCTCCGTCACTCGGCCTCCTCATATAACTATCAATTGCCAAACTGAACGCCGCAAAACCCGCACACCCCACCGCCGCAGCCTGTGGTCCCGCCGGCGCCGCCAGCACACCTCCCGTAATACATCCCGCAATAACCCCATTCTTCAAGTCATTCTTTGCTCTAAACCCTTCAACACAGCATTCTGTGCCTGCGAAAATAGCGCCCACTTTGCCAAAATTTTTGGCCGAGGAATAGGAGCGGGATCCCATGTCTTTGAGACCACGTTTGAGTTGTTCGCGCAAGGGGAGAGAGGTAATTTCTGCGGCTGCGGAAGAGGTATGGATGGGGGTATCGTATTGCATCTGTTAATAAGGGTTAGTTCGGGCAGAAGAAGGAAGAGTGATAGAGTCGGGGAGAACATACGGATGCCATGAAGAGACCAAAGGCTCCACCGAGGGCAAATCCCATTACACCGGAGACGACGGTCTTGCCCGGACAGGATTCCATTATCATTTGCATCTTAAACAATTAGTATTCGACCAATACAGTCTTACTGTCACCAGTCTCAAGGCTCTCCCATACGTCGGCAAGCGTCGCTGATTGTGACTGGAGACTGAACATACATTTTTAACAGCAGCAGCGGTCGAAGGGTCAACCATCTGCTGACCTCCTCCCGAAGAATTGAATGCTGGCCCATTCATTTTGAACGATAACTATTGCGATATTCTTCGTCAAGAGAAAGGGGGGTTGATTGTAAAGGTTGGAAGCCCTGAGGTGTAATCCACTGAGATTTTTTTTGGCGAGGCTGATGTTTGGCCTTGCACCACACCTAAGCCTCGCGATATTTACTTTCTAGGAGGGGAGAGAAGGCGTATTAGAAATTCCGGAAGTCTCATTAAAAGGAGTAAAAGGTTGGAGGAAGATAAAAAAAAATCCGAATCAGATTGGCTTCTCAATACTCGAGTACTGATATAACTTGATAGCCCCATCAAATGGGACGAAGTTTTCTTACAAGTGAATTCCGAGATATAACAATTTGATTCATCCTTTTCCATAATCTATACCTATACCAATATGATCTTAAAGTGAAGATAACCTCATCGTTGATAACGTCCAGCACCTCCCCAAACGCCGTGATTGCCTGGTATAGTCCTATCTATCATCATTCCCATTACGATCTGCCCATCCAATATCTTTCTGCAATCCCAATCTCTTTCCAAAACAAAATTGTTACATCCAGTTCCTGATAATAACAGGTTTGCAATTTTCATCCAACGTTGAAAATCAAGATGATGAAGACTGATATACGGTGAAGTTATTGAATTCCCAATAAGCATTTGTGAATGCCGTTGCATTATTAGCAACATAGTCAGTACAAGTACCAGGACCTATTATCTCATTAGTATAATAGTGTCTTGGAACGATTCAGAATAACATACAATCGACATCATATACACTCTGGGTGCCTGCCCAACTTCCACACAAATCGATGTTCACAATAATACTCTGGTTCTTGAAGTGGTTGCCAATGTTACAGTCCGTGTTGGGGAAATCGGCAGTGGCCTTCGACCATGTCGATGGGTCTGGGCTACCAGATGAGATATCGGTTGGAATTGTATCTCGTCCGAATTGCCACATACGAATACCTGCGGTACGTAGCTCCATGGCCATAACACCGCCTCCAGCAGAGTTAAACCCCGTGCCAAAGGACCCTGAGGAATCATATACACCACAACCGGCATTGCCATTTGTGCTGTTTAAGCATGAAGTTTGAATGGCACTTCCAGCCTCTTTACGCTTGACGTCCATGGAGCAGCCGGACGTAGTATGGAGCGTCATTTGGTTCTTTGTGGAGCTCACAACATTGACAGCCTCCATGATATCAATCTCTCCATTTGTTGGCCAATTGTTGGGATCGCTGAGCCAGAGTGCAGGCCATGTACCACAACCAATAGGTGTGTGAACGATATCGAAGATGAACAGACCGTCGGTGTATTGTGTCTTGGACTCAATTCGAACCGAGAAACGACCAGTGGATGCATCTGGATTGCTATCAGCTGTGACAGATGTGTCGACTCTCATAATCGCGGAACTTGATGAAGCATACGTCAGATTATACTGAGCAGCCACTTTGGAGTCAACATAATGAACGAACCCGGCCGATGGGTCGTAGGTATTGAAATAATCGAAATTATCGAAGAAGTCAGCTCCCGAGTCTTAAGAGAATGTTAGCACAAGGACAGTAGATAGAACAGCGTATGGCTATCTCTTTAAATCGCTGGTTGATATCCAATACATTCTAAAGGCAAGTCTAGAACTATCGCCGCTGTTCATAGATAGTATCAGAAGAACCTTGCTTCTCCGAATATCTTGACAGCATTGATACATTCGAAGCTGTTCACTATGAAACAAAAGACGAGAGAGGACAACTTACAAGTATCCTTCAGTGAATAGGTTAATTGCGAGTAATTTGGATAAGCATTCTTCTTCGAAACTTCCACAGCAATGACCACCACCACGATGATCAACATAACAAATCCCATCCCAACTATCGCCAACGTCTTCTTACTCCACGTTCTCACATCCCACCATCTCGGCGCCAAATAAATTGGATCATCAAGTTCATATTTGGCTGGTGAACCCGACGACATACTCATTCCTCTCATGTTGCCAACTGTAGCGATTGGTATAAACTTTCTATTCAACGAATGTTCTTTTCCCTCGTCCCAACGATCCTTCAAATCCGAATTTTAGTTCTGGGCGAGCGTGCTGTTTCCAGGAGAAGTAGATAGAAAACTGATTTATTTCGTATATGCCGGACTGCCTTGGGTGACTTCTAATATTCCAAAAGCTTTGGCTGATCCAGAATGGGCAACACACTCGTATATGCCTTGCCTTATCAAACCAACTTCAATAAATATGGAGACTGCAGACGTGATACTACTAGTAGTAGGCTGAGCCAGTGGGAAAACTAGGTCACTCCACTTTGGGACCTGTCTTGAGAGTAATCAGACATACAGAAAGGATAAGATGGGAAGGAAAGAAGGTTTGGTGGATATGCAGGTTAACGTTGATAACATGGGTTGATGCGGACAATGACAAAAGAGCGTAAGTAAGGTTATCGAGTGGCTAGGAAGGATATATATATATTTGACTGTGATATGAATGGGTTCGGAAAGGAGAGAAGAATAGGTACATACTGTATAACTTAGCTTTTGGAAGTATACAAGTAGTTGTACTCGAGTAAGCACCATATCTACTGTATTAAGTGAAACCTCATTGATCTCGACAATCAAATTGTTATTGTTGCAAACTCTCTGAAAATCATAAAATACTTTTCAAAACCATGCCACCAACAAACAGTTCATACCTAGGTAGGTACTTCTCAAGGGCCTGCTTGATCAACCCACTCACCCCCTTCCCGGATCCCCTGGCAACGCAGTACAGTACTCATGTGTTGGACAACAAATTAGATCTTTCGTTTTCACCTAGCCAAACTATAAAAAAATAGATTGTGACAAAAGCTTGAGGATCATTCTAATTATTGTATTCAATCCTCATACAATATTTAGCATAAAAATATTTCCCCCTTCATTCCCACAATTATTCGAGCCAAGATTATCAAGACAGTACCTATATATAGTACAGTATAATGAACATTGTTGTCAATAAGGGCCACGTAATTAAGAAGAAGAAAAGACAATCAAAACTTCGAATTGTGACATTAATACTATCCATTATCATTCTAACAATTTAACAATTATCTCTAATGAAGGCCTTACAAATCTCCCCATCGATATATATGTGAACTTACTGTTTAATTCCCTCCATGCTGAGGTCCAAAATATGAAGTTCCCCAAGAAGGATGTTGGAACATAACAGATACTTCAGCATCATCAACTCAAGACAGCAACTCATTCGTCAATGTACAAACGCCAGTGGCATGCATTACACAGGTTGCCCCCACCTCCTTAGACTAACTATTGATACAACGCCGGGCATGCAAATCCTCATGACCGAACCTTAATCAACATTCTCATCCACCCTCGCTCGTTTGTTTGACCTTTCCTCGTCTTCTTGTAAGCCATACTCCCTTTTATTAGAAGTTTCGCCGACCTTGCTAAGGAAATCATCAACGTTGAAAACATCCCCGATATCCTTCTCAAACTGCACCGGTCCTTCTCTCGCCTGTTTACCCCCCTCAAAATTAGCTTCACCCTCAGTCATGATCAAGGAGGGATTTCTTACCTCGACATCTGCTGCACCTCGAAAAGTCCCCTTTCCAAGGGCATCCCCAAATCTATTACTTTTCTGTATCTTTGCCATCTCACCTTCAGCTGCCGCTTCATCATCATCGTCATCCATATTCTGCCGTGGCCGATAAATACTGCTAATGGCATCTTGAGCCGCGAATAGGGGTTTGTCGTAGGCTTGATCCTCGTTGAATCCACTATCGAAGCCACTGGTCCGATTGAACAATCGGGAATCAAACATGGTTTCGGCTGACTGTGTAGGTTTTGCCAAGCCCAAAGCGACTTTCTCCGAAATATCTCGATTTTGCTCTCGAGCCATCATTTGTATCCTCCTCTCAGCACCCATGCGCGACTGACGTAACTTTCGTTCTTCATCTCTGCGTTTTTCTTGACGCATCTTTTCTCGCTCTCTGAATTCTTCGTCGTCGCTATTAGATTGCTCAGACTCAGAATCACTGTAGCTCCCCGAACGAGATCTTGACGATCTCGAGTCTCGCCTTCCGGACCCAGTGCCGGCTCCAGCTCTCTCTTCTCGTGCCTTCTGTGCTAGCATGCGAAGATGGTCTTCTTTTTGTGACTTCTCCTTCTCCGCTAGCCTTTGCTGCATCAATGCTCTCTGCTTGACTTCCTCTCGTGCATGCCGGTCTGCTGTGAAAAGAGCCTCTGCGAATTGTGCGAATTTATCATTGATAGTGACATCCTGTAATCCTCTTCCATCTGCAGCTAATCGTTTGTCGAGTGGAACAGTGTAACCCTTTGGATTTTTCCAGTTCGAGACCGGAGGTGGTATCTTCCAAGCTTCCTGATCCTCTGCTGTCAGTTTCCGCGGAGGCGAATGCATGACTGGAGCTGGAGGACTAGGTGGACCACGGGGAATCTTTTTATGCTTGAATTTGGGAGGCTCCATAGGGTCCTGCTGTCTTTCCACAATCTTCATGATCCGATCATTTTTTCTCGAGTTATCGCCCATTTGATTCGCTGGAGTATATCTGACATAAGTAGGATCCTTTCTTCCTCCAACATTAACGTTCTTGGGTTTTTGCGCAGCTACCGCACCACTGACAAGAGTTGCCAAGGCATTCTTCGTCCTCTCCGTAGAAGCCGCAACTTCCTCCTCACTTGGTCTATCCAAATTAACGTCTCCGGCATCAGCTCGTTGTCGAAGAGGTATAAGGTCCTTAAAAGAGGCGTGCACTATTCGCTTGTCGTTATGACCTTGTCGTGCTATGGCATCGTACTTGACTTTTCCCTCGCCATCGACTTGAAGGGCTAGCGCATTATTCGATGAAGTAGATTTGCGTCCCATATCCAAGGGGTATTGCGCGACGGGAATTTCTGGAAAAGCACCTCCATCACCGAAGTCTTCCTGTCCTCGCGGCCGCCAACCCGTTCGATTACCGTATGATGGAGGCCCAATTTTCTGTTAGGTCTTATTAGTATAACCATTTTAGTGCTCAAGATTTGAAAGGCGAACCTTTAATACGATCTGGGCGTCATCCAAAGCGCCTGCGCCTAAGATTCGAGGGCCTCTCTGTTGCGCATGTTGTGGAATCTCCTCTTCTTCACCTGTATATTTTGGTTTTGGCAATGCCCGTGTTAAAGAAGCTGCCATTGGGACTATATTGTATAGGTAGGCTGGGTGAAATGTAGGCGCGTTGAAGTAATTTTGGGGGAAATAGAAAAGAAACACGAGATTAAATTGATTTTGAGTTGTAGCTTGTGCCTATCGTGATTCGATGAATGCTTCAAATTATTACGCTAACCTGAATAGTACTAGCGCATCTATGAGAAGGTTACTACTAACTTGCTAGCATAGCAGGTACATGGAATGTTAAATAGAGAAAACCAAATCGAATCAATAAGTTACATGTCTAGTCAGCTAGATAGATATTGGTTCGCAAGAAGAGAGAATTGTTACAAGTGTTTGGGTCTTGACTCTTGTGTTTGTGTCACTTGCTTGTGTATATGAAGGCTGGGACTGACTGATTCACAGATGCTTCTTGTGGATATGGATTAACACATCTAATTGACTCGACGTTTATTGAGCGTCACTTTGTTAACAGTATATGGTACACAGAAACCCTTCCGAGACCTAGAATCATCTCAATCATCTCAATCATCCCCGTACCCTTTCCATACCCAAATGGTTCACACGTAACCTTTTCTAGCGCCCTAATTCCCCTCGTTAGATCCTCTATACGTATACTGAAGCTAGAACGACGTACCTGGAAGAAGAATCGGACAATGAAGACTTGTAGTGCAGCCATGCACATCATCATCAAGCTTTCAATAACACTAAAGTTAAAGATCCTCCTCTCCGTACTCCTCACCGTGCTGAAGTTCCTATTCTCTCTTGTGCGGAAGTATTTTTGATTTCTCGTAATGGTGGAAAGCTGGCCTGAAAGTTTGAAGATGGATTCCTCCAATGCGGATGTCTGCTCGGGAGTTGTGCCTTGTTTCGAGGGTATCGAAGCTCGTGGTTCATTCTCAACCTAGGACAGCGATAGACTTATCAGTAACAGTAACAGTTTCCTATGTTGATGACCCCGGAAGATAGAACGTACAGCGATTTCGAAGTCGACAAACTTTTCTGAAAAGGTGCTCATCTGATTGTTGAAGCAAAACCTATATTCCCCGACCTCCGTGGCAGTAAAGACAAAGTCACCCTGTCGCTCTTTTTCTTCCTTCATGATAACTCTCTCATTCGGACCCACAACCTCATAATCCACATCGAAAGAACCTCCAGCTTGGACCTGTACGAGATGAATTGTCAGAAATGTTCATGCGGATATCAGAGGTTAGGCGCATCGTACAGCGAAGTAGAAAGCTATTTTAGCACCTTGTTTGTCGACATTGGAATAAAAGCATGCCTTTTCATTGGCGCTAAGCTTATATGTGAGGGCAGTAGCAGATACAAGAGGAGAAATACATGCCAAAAGGCTGCACCAGAATAAAGAGGGCTTCATGGTTTGTTATGTGGTTGCGATGGTGTACCTTGATCCAGAATGCGCTTTTTGGAGATTGTTGCTACCTGTCAGTCGGTTAATCCTCGGGACGTGTCAAGTACATCTAGCGAGAAACTCCTCATCCCTATTTTGCCTTATTAATTATTATAAACTATCAATATTGCCATTTTACAATTCTCAGATTGTTCTTCAAGATTCGTTGTAATGGACCTCTTCGCGTCATTAGGTTACAAAGTGGCTAACATCATACTAGAAGGATATCTGCATCAAAAAGCACTTATGATCTTCCCATCATCCTCGATCATTTGTCGCTAAAAAATGAAATTCTCTGGCGACCAACCATTATGTTGCATAGAAGGAGTTAACTTTGCTACCATACCCATCGTCTACATTGTCGCGTGGTCTCATCGAAGACCGTGCCTATTTCCCCACCAACCAATAGCGCCTTGCAGAAAACCTCTCATAAGCAATGCCAAAATCTACTTCAAGAATAAGTCTCCCATGCCAGGCCTTGCGTTTCGTAATTTATCAATGTGATCTAATCCGAGTTGATCGTCATCGTCCCCAAGCATATCCCATAATGTATCTTCTGTGAAATGCTTAGTACTGCGAAATATATATGTCTGTCATGGGTCACAACTTACCGTCATTCAAGTATATAGGTTTTGTGTAAGAGCTTCTCTTAACGACAGCGAATTTGATCTTCTCAAGATTTTTACCCTTTATACCAGTCCGTTTCTCCAATCGCTTCTTAGTTTCAGAAAAGATTTCATCCTAAAGGCTGTTAATTGTAGAACTTAAAGTCAGAGGAACGAAGACTTACTTGAACGATGAGGAACTTGAATGGAACGGAATGCACTTTACTTGGCTCGCCTTGGAAATGAAATGCATAGATGTATTGACTCCCGTTAGGTTGCGCGAGCTCTTCCTCCGGTATTCGCTCTAGCATAATGTTAATGTACTCCGTGATCTCCTTGACTGGAAAACCGCGAGGAAGCTCTTTGTGAATCTTGTTGCTGTGTATTTCGTATACTCGAACAGGACCACCCTTTTCTTCGTCCTCTAATTGAGCCTTCTTGATCAAGGATGACACTATGTCATCCACAGTACCAGTTTTAGGCACGAGTATGTCGAGTTGTTCCTATAATCAATTAATACCCTCCAAGAATTAGACATAGTTCGGATGTGCTTACGTCTTTTGTAATTCCTTCGCTGATCCAGTTGACCTTCATAGATTTCTTGGTATCTAACTCCGCGAGACTGATATCGAGGACCTCGAAATATAAAGAATCTGCCCTTATAGTGGTGCCAGCAAATGTAGCGTAACTAACGCTGACCATGTTGACTAGAGTTTGATTTGACATGCGCCTAATGGCCGCTTTTGGGTTGCCCGTATTTTGAGCGATAGTCCAAAATCTGATATAAGTTGGATCGACATCCAACTTTTCTCCTACCTTGGCGGCTACCTGGTCGTAAGTATGCTTCGCGCTCAGCACAAGGACAAATGACTCGCAATTCTCCGAATTAAATTCTTTGCTGCCTCTAGTGGGATGGCAGTGGAATGTAATGAGCCTTCGATAACGGAGAAAGTCGTAGTACTGTCGAGCATCTTCTATGATGTCAGATGATCTGAGTGGATGGTAGCGTGGAATTGAGCCGTTGGACACTAGGGAAGCGGCATTTGAGGGGTTAGTAACCAAGGCGGTTGGTCTCGAAGGTCTTCTACCGCTGTAATTAGTATGTTTTCATCCTTTCATATGTGTCAATCGAGGAACTCACTCAGAGCTTCCGCCGGTTCCGCTTTCTGAGCCCTTCTCGGAAACTTTCTGGAAACAAACAATGTCGCCATCCTGGAGTTCTGCCGCTTTCAGTGATTGTTTCGATTTCATAGGTTCAATCATGTCAGGTTTTATCTCCTATTGCAAGGTCAGAACGGACAATAAAATGTAAAAATGGCACTAAACTCACCTCGTAGAGTTTCAATTTGGTGTCCTCTGGCCAATTCATACGTTTCAAGATAAACGGAGCTAGTTCCTCGACTCTCCTTTGGTTGCTGATATAAATGTGACCACGTCCAACGAGAGACTGGTTATCAACATCGAACCACTTGAGAAATATGACGATTTCATCAGATCTACTAGGAGAAGACCCTTCCTTCGTCAACTGATGAGTTGGCCACACTGCATCGCCCTTGGAGTCAACCACTTCAGCAGCTTCTGCCCATAGCCTTAACTCCTGTGTCTTGCTACCAGCTAATTTCAGGTGAGCATCTTCAATGGTCTGATTTAACTCCATGATAGGCGCGTCAGGTCTTGTCGTTTTGTTCTGACGGTTAACCATGCACCAGACTCGCAGTCTTCTTGGATCACCCCCACTATCCTCGGCGATCAGATTGATAAGCTCTCCGATAGTACACTTCTTGAGGAGTTTGTATGATCTAGCAGCGGCTGGATCTTCGTCATAACTTCGGTCAAACATGGTCAAATCAATTCCACCATGGGCTGCATACGTGTCATTGGTAATCACTCTGACGGTAAGGTACAGGTGCTGTTCTTCGCGTTCCTTCCGTCGTGCCTCCTTGAAAGCGGCCTCTTCTTCAAGTCTCCTTTCTGGTTGATATTAGTGAGATATCTAGCAAAATGAGATGTAAAAACTTACGGAGATGAGCCGGTGTGTCGGTGTTCGTGACAGGAAACAGTACCTCATCGATCCTTACCTCTCGGATATATACAAGCATATATGCGCTATTGTGACGTATAATAGGCTTTTGTGATGCGTCTAAGACTTGTCCATCTAGAAGTGGCATCTCTCCTCCATAATTGTCCTCCAAAACTTCTCGCATCGTGGCTTTGGTTACTTTGTCGTCGTCGTACTTGTAGAACCACCCATCTTTTTCGGGCTTGATGAATGCATAATAATGTCCTGCATTGAGGTCTCCGCTGTGTACAAGGACCCCGTGCAACTTATAAACCCAAGATTCGGATCTATCTGCGTCATCCGACAAATATGGTGCGGCATCAAAAGTATCTGGGAACTCGTAACGATCATTTACTTTCATCATGGCATCTCTTTCGATATCATATTCGAATCGTTTGAGCTGCAAATGAAGAACCTCAGGAAATGATTCGAAGATTACGCCTTTCTTCGCGTCCTGTAGTTTGTAATTCTCGCCTGCGAAGTATTGGTTGTCGCCATCCATTGTCTCGACTTGAATATAATCCTGGAAGCTCGCTTCAATGTCCTTGTTACCGCTAACGTTCAGTTGAACGTCCCAAAAATCTTCCACTCGGCGAGATTCGTAGTCGACATTAATGCAAGATATATATGTTCGCACTTTCCCGCAAAACAATTTAGGGAGGACATTTTCAGCCTCAGTTCCCTTCATTTTTATTTCCATGCGCTCCATCAATTTCCTAGAAAGCTCTTGAACATCTTGCTGTTCAAAAATCTGTTTCGTATCCCAGCCAAAGGACTTGGTGAGTTCATTGGTGCTCACGGCTGCGGAGGACGACTGCAGCTGATAGAAAAGGCGTTGTAAAGTATATGCGCTGTTTGTGGTGGTGTCCTCGTCTTGTGTTGGAATTTGATATACTGCCTAATTTGTATTAATACATTTTCGCCAATGTAGCCAGTCGCCATACATACCTTGCGGAAGGCATTAGTAAAATACAGGGACTGAATGAGCGAATTTAAATAACATGTCGCTCCTTGATTTTTCAGCCCGACGAAACCAGTTTCCTTCTTCGAATCATAGTTGTTGAAATTGTGCCATAGAACGCCAGTTTCGTCTTTGACTATTCTTACATATGCCGTCATATTTGCTTCTCCGCCTTCGACCAGAATCCTTTGGGGGTTAGATCCAGGCCACGTAAGGTTGAAAAGCTTGCGGCAGTCATAGAATCGTGTAAAGCCCCAATCTCCTTCCTCTTTGGTAAATCGATGATGTGCGGTGTGATGAGTGTAGATAGTTGGATCATTCTTATTCCATAAAACGAGGCCGAATTGCACACAGCATACAAAATCGTCTGGAGGCTTTCCGTCTTCAAACCCATGCTCCAGGTAGAAGGACACTTGATCGACATTATTGCCATATGGAAACATAAGAACACGCCTAAACTGATCAGCACTCATCGCGCATATGTATTGTGTAGTTCAAATGGTTACCATGGATATCCTCCAGCCTCAAAGACAGGGCCATGCTCCCTTTTTCCCAATTCGTTCCAATTTGTTATCTCCCAGGTATTGTGAATCGTCTCTAATATCGGGGGCTGCTGATCCAACGGTGGCAATACCAGCTCTGCCATAGCTTCATCTGTTATGCACATGTCAGCTCAGTGTCCTGAACCCTCCATAGTTGATGATCGTACAATTATCAGCAGGCGTTGGCCTTGGTTCATCTGGATCTATGATGGCGATATCATCCTTCTCATTGTCGGATGGCTCGACATACTCGTCATCAACAATCATATTCTCGGGTGATTGTATATCTGCATCGAAAGACTGCTTGCATGAAATGAAATCAGCACGAATATCAGATACCATGTTGGCGCAGAGAGTTCTTGCTACAAGGGAGATATGGAATATTGAAATGATGGGAGGGGTGGGTAGATGTGGGGAATGCTCAACTTGAGGATATTTGCTTACAGGATCCATATTCGCGGTCGACAAGAAGTACAACCAACTTCCAGAGTTTCCAAGGTTCTTCTCAGGTGTAGAACAACAAGGCAAATATGAAAGAAATAAGGAAGGAAGAAAGAAGGTGGTATAATGAAGCAGAGCAGAATGAGAAGCAGAAGTAGAAGTAGAAAAGAAGCAGAAAAGAAGCAGCGTATATGGGAGCGATCGTAATGTAATATTCTGCAAGCCTGTACACTTTATGAATTGACTTCACTAATAGAGATTTGCTTGATCGAAGTTTAAAGATTCGAGGTTCAAAGTTGTGGTACTAGGTGTTATTGATCCTAGTATTGAGTTCGTTCTTGCCTTGCCTAGGTAGGTACCAGTACGGTATTAGTTTGTTTGTGTGGTTAGTCAGTCAGTCATTCTGGATCGTGCCATCCCGACTTGTATTGCAATAATGCAAGCTTGCAGGTGAAGTGAGTGAGTGAGTGAGTGAGTGAGTGGGCGTCGCTTCCAGAACTGTGGCTGTGACTAATACAATGAAGTGTGGCGCAACCACTCGTTAACTCGTACTACCAAATAAGACTTACAATAAATAACAGTATTTACAATTAAAAAAACATAACAAAACATAAACAATTTAATATCAAGTGCAAATTCCGTCGCATATTATAGATCTTTCTATCGATACTAATTAAGTACCTAGGTACCTATAGGCATCTTTCTTAATTGTTCCATACTGATCTCTAAAGCAATGTACTCAAGTACAATACGTTGGTAACTCCCCACAGACGTGCGACACTCGCACTACATGATATTATATTATGATTTCTCCTGCTATTCTATTCTATCAGGTGAAGCTTCTAAACTTCGAAAAGCAAACAAAAAAGCAACGGATATATGAACGCCCCAAATCACAATGAAAAGAAGTCTCTTCAAACGATGAACCTTTCACGATATTACAACCCCCCCTCAAGATGGACCAACATCCTGCCGTGGTGGTTCAACCCTTCTATTCGGACTTTGAAGCTTCATCTTCAGTATATTTGACTGTGAGACCAATCTTCTCCAATTCTTCACCCTTTCCTCCGTATTCTTTGGGCAATTTCTCTGCAACACTTAGAATTTCACCAGCTAGATTGGAACCGTAGCTGAGCGGATGAAATTTTTTGATTGTATCAGCGCTCAAGAAGATCTTCATGGCCGTAAAAACCCAACCCATTACCATAGGGATATTAACGAAGAACTTTTCCTTCAGCAGCTCAGGATAAGCCATACTAAATATCTGTATTGTCTCTTGGGATGCAGCACGGATACTGGGATCCATTCTGAAGAAACTGACATTGAGATAGTCATGAACTTGAATCATACGATATGGATCAGGGCCGTTCTCGGGAATCTTTTCGGCCGCTGAGGCAAGATTCAACTCCTTGATTGATAGTTCCATAAGAGCTGCTCTCCATTTGAGAAATCTAAGTCGGAAGATCAGTACTGTATAAACATCACAACTCATAGGTTACGCACTCAGGAACGTCACCAAAAGTTTTCTTGACATCCTTCACTGCCCCGTAAACATTCCATGTGATGATTTCTTCGCCGCCGTCGCTGGTAGGATAAGACGTTACATATCCCAAATTACCAAACTTGACCCTGTCAAAGTTAATCTCCTCTAAGAGCTTTTGTGGTTGCATAGCTTTTCGCCATTTCAAAGCCTCAATCAATTGAGCCTTAGCTTTTGAAATATCCTTGGTGTTCGCTCGTAAGAACTTCTCAAGTACTATACTTGTTTGAACGTGAGTTTCCGATGGATCAAGTATGATTCCCCACATCTCACTGTGTCCAGCTGCCTCGAGGATTGCCGGCAGTTCGGAATAGAATTTGGACAATTGGGAGCCATCATGTGTTTTGGTACTCTTATCGAATGAGACTGAGTTTTGAGATGAAGGTGCTTTCTCTATATCGGCTTCTTTTGTAGAATCTTGTTTGGTGGTTGCTTCCTGGGGTGCTTCCGTAGCGGGCTCCTCAGCTATTGACTTATTAGTCGTAGATGGCTCTGTAATTGTAAGACTTGGTTCCTCAGATGCGATTTGTGACATTGGTTCTACTATTGTAGGCTTTGGTTTTTCGACCGTTCCTGAATTTGACTCCATGGTTGTATTTTTTGATTCTGCGACCACAATAAGCTCTGGGCCATTGACATTTGTGACGTTTGTATCGGCTTCTGCAGTCATTGTATTGTTGAAGTTGACAATGAATTAATTGTAGTCGAGTACTCGTAGGTAATTTATTTAATTTTATATCTTGGCATAACCGTAATTCAAAGATCCCAATTACGCTCGGAGTCGGAGTCGGCTAGGTATCGTATCCCGGTACGTAACGGTATTTGATAAATTGCGAATAAACGAGGCTAAGTTTTTAAGCACGTGGCACTCGAGGCTGGCTTTCGAAACCCCCCAGCCTTCTTCTCTTCAATCCACTGACACTCGGTATACCTTTTTGGTCCACAACCCAACCTCTTGATTAATTTATTTTCTTCTTCTTCAATCCAAGTTCGGCAAGTTTGTCCAACGAATTGATGATGCTTGATTCAAGATCCATTTGCTCTACCATTTTCCTTCTAGAACTAATCAAAAACTGTTCCGGTACCGTACTCGTACAAATGATAATGAGGTGGCTGGGAAAAGATACAAATCTCCTACCTCCGTACAGCCTCATATGTCCATTTGAGTAGCTGCATGAAACGGTATATTTCTATATTCACTTCCGTCAAAAGGTACTTGACCGATATATTTTTTCGGATCTTTCGAAACAATTTAATACCGCAAGTATCCTTCAACGAGAATCTAGAGCTCTCCTCTCCTCGATTATCAATTTCAGTCCTGAAGAAGATCACTAATCTAGGCGGTTGTACGACAATCTAAATTGTCCTTCTGCAACTCGCCTTTTATCTCATCTAATCTTAGAGATGTTTCCAAAGCTTCTTGTCACCACTGCAACCGCATTGTTGTCTGCTAGAGTCATATTTGCTCAGACTTACAGTTCTTGTAATCCATTATACACAAGTAAGTAGCTTCATTTTCTTACTTCATCGGAGCCCTACTGACCTTACACCAGCCAGCTGTCCTGCCAATACGGCCCTGGGGAAATCTATCGATGTTGACTTTACTTCGGGATCCGTCGATTCCTTCAGTGCCTCTGGCGATATTACATACGACTCCAATGGCGCTTCACTCAAGGTATCCGAATCGGGCGACGCACCCACACTTTCTAGTATCTTCTATATAATGTTCGGAAAGGTGCAGATCACAATGAAGGCAGCTCCTGGGGCGGGTATTGTTAGCACGCTGGTTTTACAATCTGATGACTTGGATGAGATTGATATGGAATGGCTTGGAGCGGATGATACTGAAGTACAAACCAATTATTTCGGCAAAGGCAAGGTCACAGATTACAACCGTGGAGCATTTAACCCTGCTGCAAACAACCAAGGCGAATTCATTACCTACACTATCGAATGGACTTCAGAGCAGGTGGTTTGGTCAGTAGGCTCTACTGTAGTCAGAGTCCTTACACCAGCTACATCCGATACGGATCAATACCCACAATCACCAATGCAAATCAAGTTTGGGGCATGGTCAGGAGGAGACTCATCGAATGCCGCAGGGACAATTTCCTGGGCGCGTGGTCCAACTGATTACTCTAATGGACCTTTCACTATGGTCGTTCAGTCAATTGACGTTAGTGATTATTCCACCGGTACCCAATACAAATATGGAGACGAATCTGGAGACTGGACATCAATCGAGGCTGTTGGTGGATCAGTGAATGGAAATGTGCCATCCTCAGCCTCAGTAATTCAAACAGCTGGTGCTGCAGCTGTTACATCTAGCTCCCCAACGATCCCTGCCGGAATCAATAATGGTAATTCGGCCACTCAAACCGGATGGCCTTGGGTTGCCGGAACGCAAACCGTATCGCAAGTGACATGGAGTACCGGGCCAAGCATTCCCTCTGGTTGGGAAATATCTTCTACCGGGAAAATTGTCCCCGTAAGTGCTTCACTAATAAGTACGTGTTCATCTCTGCTCCATTCTCTTGCTTCCCCTACATACTGACTTTGAGAACCCAGGTATCAACAGGATTAATCCCATCCTCTTCTGTGGACCCCTTACTTTCTTCATCTTTGCCGCCATCGGGAGATGGCCCTGAAATTATCACGGGTTGGGATTCTAGAGGATTTGCTGTAACAAGCACAATTTTTGTAGGATGCAATACGGCGAAAACTTATGATCAGCAAGGGTTTCTAGTAACGGGAATAGGCGCTTGTACGACTGGATCTGATCAAGGAGGCCTCGGCACGAATGCTGCAGGTGCCATTGGCGGAAAAGTCAGGAGCACGAATAATGCTGTACATGATCACAAGGCTCTGCCTACAGTATTGGACATAGTGGCCGTGGCCGTGGGCGCGTTGTGGGTATGAGGAAACTCAATATGCTTTATGGGTTTGATGGATGGGCTTGGATTGAAAAACGAAATAGAGTATGGTATGGTATGGTCCGGAAATGGATTGGATATTGGAACTCCAAGGGAAGAATCTTTAAGGGACTCAAAGAAAATGAATTGATGGCTGTGTGATTGCCCGTATCGAGGGAACAGACATATGATGGCTGATGAATAATGGATAAGAAGAAACCTGATAGTTAATGATAATAATGACTGACGACTGACAACTGTTTACTATTGAGGTTCCACATATTGTTGAAGTTAAAGTGTGTTGATAAAAATTCATTAAATCCAGGGTGTAGAGAATCTCTCCTACTTGATATATTCTGATGAGCTGAGCCTAGATTACATGAAATGAGAATTCAACCAGAAAAACAAATGAATGAAAAAAAACCCTCGGCTCTCTTGAGAGGAATTCGGGACAGATAGTTTTGTTGCATGTTGTAAAGGGGGAGTTCAGGGGGACAGGCGAGGTTGAGGTAGGAAGGAGATAAGGATATGGATAGTTATAGGAAAAGGAGAGGAATGGAGAAGAAGGTAGAGAATAATGTTATGTTACTTATTCTATGAATAAGGAGGCATATCGACTCAGATGTTGACTCAGATATTGACCTTCACTTTTTCTTTCTCATCCCCAATACTCGAGTATAACATCGTCTAACACACATAAGAGAAACGCCAACTAATCGAATTTTTCTAACGACAACATCAACAAGTAGTATAAAAAATGGGATCGTGACCAGAGCGACGTTTGTAAAGGGAATAGAGGGATACATGTATGAGGATACAACTAGTAATTTTGACTGATAAAAACACAGTAGCATGGCAGAACTTAAATTTTCCATTTATTACCCTAGATAGTCTCTCCATATATCGTGTCTTTCAAATAACATACTCGAGTACTCGTATTGACTTTGCATAAGCAACAACCAATTGAGAGATCTATTTGCTATCGCATCTAAATGCTTTCAGATATTTGTCGTGTCTGCCATTGCTTTTCTTGCCTTTGATATAGGCCTGGCATGAATCAAGAGCCCGCATTGTACAATACATGCAATCATACATTTCCCTTCAATTTAACAACCCAAATATGAAAGTCAAGGGGTTTTGTTGCACACCTGATGCTTGTATAGTAACACTAGTACTTAATGCTTATGTCTCAATCCTTGGTTACTGCCAGCTACTGTATATGATATATCTGAGACTGTAGTAATTTCGTTCTCATTGTATAGGTTGATTGTTTGTGCAGGAAAAGTTACAGTGTATAGATAGATATGGCACTGAAGGTTAGAAAACGATTTTAAGAGATTCGTCACTTAGCACCTATCTGAGAACTATCTGACCCTCGGGGAAGAGAGTACATAAGATTTGCTTAAAAAGCTGATTGTGATGCATAGCCAAGGACACTTAATTTTCATAAATTAAGAACTTATATTCTTTTATCTCAACTGCCCGCTTATGCACTCGGGTACTTACCTCTGATGAGCTTGATGTCAGACCGGTGTTGCGAAGTAGATGACCGGCTTGAGGAATGGCACCGAATGATGGATTTGCGAATTAGCAAGACCAAATTTAGACAAAGACAAGTTGTGAATTTGGGGGTCTCACATTACGCTAGCGTAGATGAATGGTCATCAATTTTGAAAGTATGTCATTTGAAATGCTCTTAGCTACTCGAATATATTGCGGATGATTAGAGAGCTCGAAAAATACAGCCATATCTTGGAGGTAAAATGAGTTAACTAGTACTACACACACAAAACTCACATGCTCTCAGATTCCTACTTAGGAAACATCAACCTACATTGATAGCGAGGTTTTAGAAAGCATATCTACTTCATCAAATTTTGCTTCGAAGTTAGCTTCCATATTCCATTGCTATAGACTTGCTGGTAACAGCCGCAGCACAGACTCTACTTCCTCAAGTGTTCCATAAAGAACGCCGCGCATTGCTGGTACCTGTAGGTCGCAAGATTTTATCACTGGATATCTTTTGTAGACAGTACTAGATGCAGAGGAAGACTCCATACCCTCTGATATATTCCTTGAAGTTATCTTCGTCGTCGACTATGGTAGAATGTCGGTTAGTGGTTCCTACGTCCTGGCAAGTCAAATTGGGCACAGAGGGCTCACAGTTACCCTTGTTCCCATCCATCCGTGATGCATGGTAGGATAAGTCTCGACGACACCATGTCCTGCCTCGAGAATATCTTTGTACTCTTGTACAACTTTAGCATCCTCTCCATTTGAGGCAAGTACGATATGTGGAATCGTGATCTTTTCCGCATCTTCCTTCGTCAAACGACTAGAAAACACCAGGTCAGCGCTATAATTGTTGTTCTAGGTGATGAAGTAATTTGATTACCCTGGATGCACTTGGCCAGATACTGTCCATGGAGTCCGTTTGCCAGAAGTAGCTGCGACGACCTAGTCATACATGTCAAATCTCGATAACAAATTGAATCAGTTAGACGGGCGAGACTTACTTTACCACCCCAACATAATCCTAAGCATGCCCAGCTCTTAACGCCATCCTACTTATTTTCACCATGGATGACAATTGACTCTGCAAGATTTTCCCATGTCTCAAAGGTATATGCACTTTCCACAAATACAGCTTTAGCAGCTTTGGCTTCCTCACTTGCATCGGGGTTATACCACTCTGCTTGGGCTGCTTTTCCATTGAAGAGATCTGGAACAATAACGACGGTATCGAGAGGTGCAAGAGCAGCTGCTAATAAATCGGTACCCTGTAGAGTTTGAGGCGCAGCACCAAATACATCATAGATGATCATAAGTACAATTTTGGGGTTGGATGCACCTATGACACTTGGTTGGAATCATTGCCCTTGGGAAGGATGAAATGGCAAAGTTGTTCCAGCATGATTAGAGGCGGAGATGGAAAGCAAAAGATAAACAAGACGTAAGAGGTTGTGAATAAATGCAGATAAAAACCTACCTGAAACATACACAGGCAGTTCAGCAAACCTGTCCCAGGTTCCTTTCGTTTTATATTTGACCTTTGTTACTGGTGGGATCGTGTTGCAAGCATTCTGTGTAGCCATCTTGAGTTTGAAGGGCAGAATTATAGAGAAGGGGTAGTAGATGGATGATATTCGTGGTAAAGATTAAGATTAACTGTAATGCTAAAAGGGTGAAACGAAAGTTTGAGGATGAATATCTCGAAGACTGATAACAATGTGATATTTATACAACCATTTATAGTGACCCATAGTAATCGGGATTGTGAGATGCGACGCTGTCGGTGATAACGGAGAATTGCGTATTAGTTAAGAAGCCAGTGTCGCAGCGTGCCTATCAAAATCACGCTATCCACTCGAGTAGATGAAAACTACTCCAGTTGGTAGTCTTGTAAATATATCAGCTACTGAAACAGTTTAGCATTATAATATAGATAAACAAAACAAATCTGATGACAAATGACAAAAACTACAATGAGAAGCCGACGAAAGAAACTGATATAGTAAAGACCCAAAAATGACTACTCATTTGTAGCCAGACATTTTAATCCTGAAGGGATTTGTGGAGTATTGGTTGGTGTAAAGATCTTAAAGGTTTACATTTTGATTTGTAATTACTCGGTGACCCTTCGCTCAAACGCTCAGCTATATGAGTCTCCAGATCAAGAGTTGCCTTATGCAATAGATTGACTCTTAGACGCAATCCTTGCCATCTTTGCAACTGATCCAACGCATGAGGCTAGAGGACTCGAGGCCTTGAGCTTCTAGCCCACAAAAATATCTTGAACGTGTCCGTTTAGTCTCCCTCCACGGCAAGCAACTTGATATATAGAGCATAATCATCTTATTGTGAAGCAGATCAATATTGCTTGGGCAACCAAACATGCCATCAATGGCAATACCTATGATTTTCATCCAGTGACTGGCCCAACCCGCTGCAGGGTACTTACAGAGACACTCATCACCAAGAGCACTTCCGAACCCATCGAAGCAGTGCATTGTAAGTCTGTATCTGCAAACCTTCGAGTAATTTCCAGGAACTTGGAGGGAAAAACCGGAAGCGACGCGACCATATGGATCTTTCAAGCCATGCTTGACTAATACTTGCAAAGCTTTCCATGATGGTGACGGCTTCACATCATACAAAAGTAGACGGAATAGAACCAACGGCTACGATCATTCCTTAGATCTCGATGTACGGCTGGAGGTCTTTGGAGTGGATCTAGGCTCTGAATCAAAGCCCAGCTCCAACACGGCGACGAATTTTGGGCTGTCTTTAAGTCACAGCAACCCCTTATATTGACTACTACGCTAAATGCTAGTAAGATAACGCTGACATAATTTAATATTATCGTGAATGCGGCTAATGGCGGGTGTTGCTGTTGGTTTATCTTTTAGGTATGTGATCTAGCGGGGTCCAAACTGGTTTGCAACCTCGAACCACTAGTCCAAATCTATGGCTTTCCAAAGTATTGAATGAATGTCCCAGTCGAAATTTGCCCTTGTTTCCTTGATATCACTTTCAGTCACTTCCGTTATCTGTCAACCTCAATATATCTGATGAGGAGCAAGCCGCCACGTCTATGAGCCGGTATGTCCTCCTGCAGAGCCCATGTATGACAGTGTTTCTGAATCACCTTCAGATGTCTTAGGGACTAATTTGTTGATGACAGTCATCACTTCCCCTGTGCATCCGAAGAAGGGGCAATCGTGGTATTAGGAACAGTTTTAATACATTCCTGCAAGATGTTGTGCTCTTGTTGACCCCGATATGACTGCTGGAAGCGGATTCAACGCCAATTATGAAAGCTGCGTCTTTACATGCTAGTGTATCGCAGCCGCTTGTTTCAACCAAATATCATTTGAGTCACGAATAGTTCAGAGGGAGTCTCTCCAGAGATAAATCAGTTCCAATCCTTTGACAATCTTGAGGGCATCTCGGAGCGTTAGCGAAAGTTCATTTAAGGAGATAGATTCCTTGTGCTTCTTTAAGCTTCTCGAAAGTGGGGTTTGGCCCTAACAATAAATGAGAGTTACCCATTGTCCCGTTCCTTCCTTCGTTTCAATAAACAAGGATTTCTCGTAGAAGATCCCACTGTGATCACCATCGTTGAAAGCTTCAACCTTTCCACTTGTGGGTAACGTTGGTGAGTCCTCTGCATTGATCGAATTCGATCAAAAGTGCCGCTGTCAGAAGAATTTTGCAATGCAATGACCGAGGAGTTGTTCTCTATCAGTCTTTAGCCAAACTAATCTCAGCTGAAAAGTGCCGATTTATGATATTATCACGTGACTACGAGATGACGGCTCACCCGCTTTCACTCTCAGTAGTATAACTACTCAGTACCTATGAGTAATTTAATGGACATTCAGACGGTATTTACGAAAGAAAAGAAAAAAGATTCATACCAAGATATCCAAGCGGCTACTCTTAGGGTTTGACTTCCCGCATCCGGGGATGTATTCTTTCAAGATTGTGTAGATCAAGGACAAGTCAAAGTTGGACAAAGTTGGACAAAGAGCATCAGAATCATATTTTTGCCAATCAAAACATGGCCTACACAATGCTGTCTTATACTCAAATCAACCACATTCTCTCAAGAGCTCTCATCTTATCTTCTGAAGAAAGTTCTACTTGCAGATCTCAAGATGGCTCCGCCACGCCTTCCAACTCAGAAGGAACGCCTAGCAAACGCGCAGCGAGAATGGAATAATTATCAGGCAATAAGGAAACGTAGACTCAGGTTCATGACCAATCGTCACGTTGGGCTTGGTACCTACAATTCCCCAGTCTTATCAATAAGAGAGCTCACGGAGGAGGAAAAGTTGGACAAGAAGCTCCTTGCTAGTTCTTTGGAAAAAAGTAAAGTAAAAATGCACATGAATACAGGCGACACATCAGACCTTTGGTTTACTGGTACAAATTTACTTGGAGACGATTCTCCGAGAGATATTATAGGACTTTTGGGATTGCTAGCCACTGTAAATGTTGGCGATAAATTCATAGAGAATTGTTTCCATGATCTGACGGTTCACAGCAGCGCATGGCTCTATAAAAACCATTTTGAAGGTCATAAGGCGGACTATCCTCCCTGGACCGCCAAAAATGATGATGCTTCATTGAAACTTCAACAGTTCCATGCTATGGTGGATGCGCTCGCAAAAGCTCCAGGCTCGCCAGCACTCTGGAAACGTCTCAATGCAATGCTTCGCCTCAGTGGCTACTTGATGAAAATCCTGAGATTCGTCGACGAACAAAATCCTTACCTGGGACGACCGGCATTACCTGATGGTTCAAATATACAAAGTTCGCAATTAAAGGCATCCTGGGTGCTACATAGGGCATGGACAAGATTGCTTCACTGCCGATCGCTAAGCTTCGGGTCGCGGGATCGTGGCGTTGATCAACTGAAAGAAATTCTTGTTATTGCCAGAGCACAACTAGAGCAGGAGATCCGTAAAGCCCCTGCTGATAGCAGAAATATTCCTGAAGGACTTGTCGAATTCGAAACTACGCTTGAGAATCTGACCTTGTTTTTGGAAGCCTTGGCTACTGAATTCGGCAGCGACTCTGTTCCAAAGCCAGGTGCCCGAAAACCTTACAGTGTATCTGATTTTAATATAGATCCTGATCGTGTAGGTGCGTTATGGAATGAGGTATGTATCATAGTTACTATACAATTGCAGTCGATACTGCTGACTGGAAGTCAAATAGATTACCCAACCTGTGAGACCTGACCCACTCGGTAGAATTATCAATCCGCTCGGGGCAGTTCCCTTGTGGTCACAATTACTTGATCGCGCTGCCGACTTCGAGGACAGGAACAATAGATACTACGTCGAAGATCATCTATTTGAGAATCGTGTCATTGCTGAAGACGAACACTGGGAATTGGCGAGACTTCTACATTTAACGAGTTACACTCCTGATACTATTAAAAAACGTGTTCCCGATGCTGTACAACAACAGTATGTGAAAGCATTAGCGAGAAAAGTCTCTCAGGTCAATTTAAACAGGCGTAATTTCCTGCTCCTACGAGACTGGTCCAAAAAACGACCTTGGTAAGTTACATCGTAACCCCTCATGTCTCGTCTTAAAGCAAGTGCTGATCTCGATAGGAAACAATTATATTGGGTATTCGACACCGTCTCAACAGATTCCTGGCGGGAACAGATTGAAGACTTTTATAACACTATTGAAGGGCTCACAGTCGTACCCGAACATTTCCCACCAGACCACAGAGCAAAAATAGAAGCCGACCCAGAATCTGAACCAAACTTGTTTGCGAACGTGTTCCCCATCCACCCAATTCCTAGTCACAACCCAGGTAACTATGCTGGTCCTTACTTCGGTAACTGCGTATATTGCCTCGAAAACTACAAACCCGGAGAGCTATGGTTACGCTTTTTCTGCGATCATATGGTGCACTACGATTGCGGTCGCAATGCGGTCAGTAGTCTTTATATACAAAATGTCTTTTAGCAGAACAGGAAAACACTAACATGGCAATTCTTTAGTGGGATAATTCTGGGAACCCTGATTTTAGATGTCCTCTTTGCAGACACACACAGTCATGGCAGCTTCACAAAGTTGCCGGTATTGTTCCAGAGGTCATAGACTTATGGGATAATGTTGACCTCGTGGGCAAGGAAGAAGCCACCATTCACCCTATTGTTCAAATGGAGGGTACTCCGGACGATATAGAGGGTTTCAAAGAGCTCTACTGGGAAAATGAGGCTAGTCATTTGGCATTGAGTGAAGCGGTAAGTCTCCGGCTTGAGGATCGTGAAGGTGAATGAAAGCTGATTCAAAAGGAAAAGTGGAATCCCGCAATTCCTCGAACGCTCCACGACGAGATGGCACATATGAGGAATGCAAGAAGAAAGCGTGTTTTAGATGCCAGAAAGGAGCGAATCGAGAGCGAGCTAGAATATCGCACGTTAGCAGAATAGTCAGATTCCGCCATCTCATCATCCTTGGCTTCGCCTTGTACTAGAGTTGTGGCGTCAGGTTTGGTAATACGGGGTGTGAAGCTTTTTTTCTTCTCACTTCTTTGGACTGGATGCGTGGCAGGGCAATACCGTTAGTGAACTGGACGATTGAATTTCATTCGATGTCTGGTGTGCCTGGAACGCAGTGGTATTTCTTTTTACTTTGCGGATATACTTAACTCCTGTACTCTAGCCATTCTTTCTGTCTCACTATGTATAACGGCAAATCTTTATGTTCAATGTAAATGTAACACCACAAAGAGCTCCACGTTGTGATGACTACCGTGCTCAGGTTTCTTAGACCTTTACGAATTTTCTTCCTCTCGCAGTGTAACATTGAGATGCCAGACTTCCATCTTCGATTTATCAGTAACTCCCATCCCAATGCCCCTAAAACGACAGCGACAAAGAAACAAATATTATACCAAAAGATCTTACCCGTCAGCCCAATTGCCTCAACAACCCCTTTCCTATATCTACGTATCTCGGTATATGCTGGAAGGTGCAGGGCCGCTCACTATCTGCGACTTAGGGTAAGCACGCACCGGTAACAAGCACAGCGGGAACGCAATGCCAGTGCTATATCGAGCTCCCGCGGTTGTTCTCAATATGGAATGGAGAGATGCCGTGGATATCTGGAGTGCAGGGCTCTTAGTATGATATCTTACCCTTTTCTTTCTTGTGTTTCTATTTATTGAGTCTGACTCCTTTTTCATGCTAGGCCTGGGACCTTCTCGAACGTGAAGGTATTTTTATCGTTTACGACCACGAATTTGAGGAGCGGAATAAAACCCTCCATCTTGCAATGACGACCGCCCTCCTTGGTCCGCCACCGTCTCAATTTCTAATCAGGAGCAAGGAAACAAGTAAATACTAGAATAAAGACGGTAAGTGTTACAAGAAGAAGTCCCTATAATCGCACCGCCATAGTCTGTCGACCCTGACGAACTTGCTTGATCTAGGCAGATGGAAAGGTTCCGTCCCTTTACCTACATAGAAGACATTAGAGTATCTTGCCAATGCTCTGGCGGTAGACGATAAAGATCAGTTCCTCAACTTCTTCCAGTGTTTGCTCTGCTGGCTTCCGGAGGATCGCCTCACGGCCAGGCAAGGTTACTACCATCCTTAGCTGAGTCGCGCGAGGGATAGAGGGGACGCGGTTCTTACACTTGAGAAAGTACAGAAGCCCCGAGACAGCTGATGTGTAGAGCGGTTTAACCTCAGCCGTCGCGTGCCAACAAATTTCCCCGGCTATCCATCACCTGGACCACTCAAAGATTTGGACGAGTCATATCACCAAAGGAAATGGTGGTGGTAGTAGGATGCGAGGAACGGTTACAATGTTAGTAGTGTGATGATTATAGATGAAGTATGACAACAGAAACAGGCTATTAGTCAGCTAGGTCCTCATGATAGACCATACCAAGTTGAATGAGGTATTCCTTGCATCCTGTCGCTGGGGATCGTCGATTGCCAAGTCATCCAAGCTGTCACCGAAATTCTGACACAGTTGAAGCAGTTTTTATTTCACATACTCGAAGAGCAACAAGCTCAGGCGGCTTCGCAAAGTATCAATTCCAACATTATTCTCAAGCAAAGACTTAGAATTTGATATACGAAAGTCTATTATTTTGGATGCTTTTCGTTCTATGAATAAGCTTGTACCTTCTTCGAGACTGCGGGGTCTTAGTATATGCCAGTCAAGCTTGAAGCAAATGCCTTCGTTGCAAGCTAGCTCCAAAGTTTTGCTTTCTGAATATGATCCGGTTGGGAGTCGATCTGGCTTAGTGATGATACCAAGAATTCGGTCTTCTTTCAGTACAACAAAATTAGATAGTCGAGCGAGTAAGTATTGCAAAAGAACTGAAGGGGTAGTTGAAAAGAGAGGGAGAGGGGCTATATAGATGTTGAAAGCGGTGTTGGGGATCAATATGGAAGGTGCGGCTCTAATGGATTCTATATAGTCTTACCTCACATCATAAGAATAAGAGCACCCTTCTTCATACCTACAGCCTGAATCCTTCAGCGGTGGTTGGACTGTGTATACACTTTACCTGATGCGACTTGCCGCTAAACTTGGTGAGGTCCGACACTACAATCCAGATTATATTCCTAATACAACTATCATCTCCTTACTCATAACTTTTTGGTCCTACTTCAATTGTTGCCTTGGAATATTCATACAGAACCTGATTCATCATTTGTGAGGAGTGGCGTAAATCCGTGTTCAATATTCAAAAGACCTTGGATCGTCTCCGATACATATAATGCATTGCGTTCTTTTACAAACGACAGGAAAATGATTTTCGCATATAGACGGCTTCTTGGATGACTCTGAAGCTGCACTACTCGAGTGGCTACTATGTTTAATTTCTTGTTGTTTCCAGATGAATGTTATGATGCCAATCTTACGAAACCTCAATCAAAGATCCCTTGCTTTCTCAATTGAATCTCTTATCAATGCTTATTAGAACCCGTGCCAACAAATTTACTAACTTCCAATTCATCCTATTCAAAGTCAGTATTATCCTAATCATCTCTGCCCAGGAGGGCCAGCCTTTCTATCAACCACGCCCCAGAAGAAACTTACCTCAAAATCGCCCGGCCAAATCAAACCCTTCACCCCCCAACTCACCCACCCCTCCTCCACTTTCAAGTTTCCCCTGATAAAGTCCCTATACTCTGGCGCCCCAGGCCTAACCACATTATCTGCCACAACCACTGCCTCCTTTCTCAAAACCCCCAATGCCTCCACCACCTTAAAATCCTGCTCATACAATTCCTCCACATGATCCAGGAATAAAAAATCAACATTCGTAATTCTCCCCTCTTCAACTAATCTTGTAACCGAGGAGGCGGCTGTACCTTCGATGACTTCAACTATGTGTTCTAGCCCTGCTATTTGGGCGATTTTACGAGCAATAACTGCGAAGGTCGGATCAAGCTCCAGGGAATAGATCTTTAATTCCGCGTCACCTAATCTCGATCAACAAAACCATCACACTCGCACACAAGTTTCAAGCAAGATAAAACAAACCTTCAGCTTCACCTCCATTTGCCTTCACCATCGCATCCGCAAAAAGTACAGCACTATACCCCAAATATCCCCCCAATTCCACGAGCACTTTCGGTTTCTCCTGCATGATGAGATCTCTCAAAATAACAGCTTTCTTGGGACCAACACTGATGAGGAAATCTTCTTGTAAAGAAAATTCGTCGATAGTGGCGAGGACGTTAGAGGGACCGATTGGGTCACGAGATAATATGTAGGCGAGGAGTTGGGCTTCGCGGCCGTCGTGGGACTTGGGAGTTGTTAGCGAGGGACCATATGACGGATATGGGTGAGGTAAGAAGTGCGAAAATGGAGGGGAAGGGAAAGGAAAGAAAGGAAGAAAATACTTCAACGCCGGACACCATGGCTTTGCCGAGGGTCGGCCATTTGTTGACGAATTCTGTGTCTCTTTCCATGTCTTTTTGTGGCGATATTTCAGTTGCGATTTTTAACTAGATGTAATAGACGATCTCACTAATGAGTACCGCGTTATATGGCTTGAGGTGTTGTGATGTCGAAAATTCGTAAAGGTAACAAAAATACTTGTCCAAAGAATAGAGAATGGAAAAAAAGAAAAAGGAGGGAAACAAACCGCGGTACTTATACACAATCTAAATATGTCTACCCCACTTTCTATGTTCAGCTGGCACAGTATCTCATATCCTACCCCTCCCCATCTTTCTTTCTACTGGCTGATCCTCCGCACACCTTCCGCTTATAATTCATTATCTATGCAGCTTGCAACTCTGACGCGCCATCAAGAGCTAGTGCTTATCTATTGACGTAATTGCGTGACTGTATGAGGAAAGGAACACGAAGTTCGAGTTCGCAGTTCAAAAGATGCGAAGTGAGCTCGTTCAAGAATACGCAGCAAACACTTGAGAATATGAGGCAAAAAAAGAAGTCGATTTGTATTGATACGATACGGAAAAGGGAATGACGATTCAATTGAAGTGATAATAGAATTGCGGTACCAGGATTGACAAACATTGGTGAAGTAAGCGAGGAAACATATCTCGAGAAATCGTCGAGGAAAAATGTCGGTAAGAAAAGGGGTTCGCTTGTGCAGGAGTGGAACATGAAAACTTGTTCCTACCTTAACTCTTCCGCTTTTCCTGTCATATGTAAACCTTGTGGATAAGCGACGTAAAGTAAAAAGAGTTTAATCATGGATATGTGTAGAAATATACATCAAAATGTAGAATACTCACTATTCAGTTTGAAAAAAAAAGATGCACAATCGTAAAACGGGTGGGGGGGACCATCGAGAAGGGCAGCCATTCAATTTTGGTGAGCTAATTTCCTTCCTGCATAATCCCGATCGCACTAGGAAGCCCATAGCCAATAACAGTATGTACTATATCTCATACCAATAGGATATTTGGAAAGCAAGGTGGGACCACCGTGTGTCTTGAAGATATCGACGTGGCGACTGGAACGTTCCATGCGAAAATCTTCCTCGATAAACAATTGTTGGTACAGTCACAGACAGACAATCATGTTCTTGATCTTGTGATTTGTACTCTTTTTCTGATCTAATACATTCAGTAGACTACAAGCCTTACAAGAAACCTCTCAACTCACTCCAGAATATCGTTTCGTCAGTTGCTTGTAGAACTTTTTCATCAAGCCCTCCGCTCCCACAATTTTGGTTCAGTGAATCTCTCCAATCCCGTAAAATCGTTACCACGTGCAACATCGCTTGCCACAATTTTGGCAGCCTTGATACAATCGTTTACACCCACTCCAGTGTATGAATTCCCAGCTACTGCTAGTCTTCCTTTGTATGCGCTCAACAACTCATAATGCGCTTGCTTCAGCCTCTGCTCATGACCTACAGTGTATTGCGGAATGCAATCTTTCTGTAAAGATGCATGTACCATTTCTGGCTCTTGATCGATTTTCAAGTGTCTTTTGAGGACCGATTTTGCCATAGAAGCACCCTCTTCCTCGTCGGGATATGTTTCAAAACCGTCCCACCAATGGCCGCCTAACATAACGGTGATTTTTGTACCTGGTACAGTGTCCTGACCAACTGTTGCGTCTGAATCAAACACTACACCAAGGGCAAATTCTGGATTCTGTACAAAAGGAATGGATCGTGGGATTAGGTATCCGAAGCCACGTTCCGGGAGAAGATCTTCATCGCGGTAGTAGAGATTGACAACCATGACTGTCACGGCCTCTGTTTTTGCGAGCGAAGGAAGTGAAGAATCATCTGAAGAAGAGGTCAGGGTAGAGAGAGTGCGACCTGACAATGTACAAATAGCGTAAGAGTGGGTGGTAGATGATTCACCAGTTGTGGAGATCTAGGTACTTCAGCTGCGATTCGAAAATGAGAGTGGAATATAAATATACCTTAATACCTTCACTCTGATCATCGTACTCTATATTTTTGACGTATTCGCCCAGCTTGATTTCGACATTGGGATTGCTACGCAAAGAGGACTCCAGTGCTTCCGAAAGTGTACCAATTCCTCTGCGAAATGTGTAAACACTTGTGCCCTCCACAATTGCCCTCTCATTGTCCGTAAAGAGATTCCTCTCTTTATTCTCCATTTCTACATCCTCAGCCATCGCATTCCGGAATTTTTCCACATGGGACATTGCTGCACTGATACTTCCATGTGCGCCCTCCATTCCCCACTGAGCAGGCAGTATACTCTTCGCACTCAGTTTGTAGATATCCCCGGCATAAATCCCATGAAATACAGCAGACACCAAATTGTCTGGAAGATCTGCTCCTCCTGTTCTTCTGGTCAGGAACGATCCCACAGATTCGTCCTCTATTTCTAGTGATCTTCGTGGCCTTGTATACTCAAACAGAATCTTGTGCACTCCTTTAAAAACCGGTTCCGTCAACAATTTCCAGGCAATGGCGTAAAATCCTTGGGTAGGCTCGGGCATGCATACAAGGTGATCCGGATAATACACAAAGCGATTCAGGGCAGCGGCAGACATTTTGTTGGTTTTGATCACTTGGTCAGTCAAACCAAGATCTTTGATCTATCAATTCCAAGTTAGAATAATCAAATACAAATAATTGAGACAAAGTCTTACTAAATTCAGGGTAACAAACCCTGCAGGCGTGTTTGGTCTCAACGTTCTCGGCCCTTGTTCGAACACTACTTCACCATCTCCCACGTCTATATGTTTTGTCCGTAACCAGCCTCCCAATCTCTCGCTCCCCTCATATAATGTGACTTTTAAGTCTGGTGCCATCTGAGTGAGATAGTATGCCGTGGCGAGACCTGTAATTCCCCCGCCAAGAACTGCGACATTGGGTTTCTTCCATTCTCCTATACTTTGATCTTCCGATTTAAGGTCCGCAGAACTTCCAATAGAAGTGTTTGTGGAGATATGACTACTGTAGTATTTCCACAGAGGCTGTGATCGTTCGCGGGTGCGTAATTGGGGTCGCGTTTGGGATTTATATGCTCTGATATAAGATCCGAGTAGGTGCCACCGACATGGGCGTACAGCTTGACATTGAGGGGTGTTAAAGCGTCGCCTAAGAAGAGCCAATAGAGAAGACTCAGGCAGACGCATTATTATTATCTGTATTCTATTTGTTGATGCTGTGTATTACAGGTAATAATACTCATAACTCATATTGATACTGATGTTCAGATCAATTACTGTATAGCGCAGTTTCGCTTACATTAATGGGCCATTTGAAAGCTTAAGTTAACCTGCCCCTCCCCCGCAAAGCACCATGCGGCAGTTATCAACCAGGATTCATTATCGAGTTATATAATAAACATACCTAGGGCTTCATCCTTTTGATTGTTTTCGTCTTATTGAATGTTTCTGTAGGCGTGCTGTATGACTTTATCTTATTCGAAAAGCTTTTTCTCTTAATCTTTGAAAGCTAAAATCACACATCATTAAAGCTATGGCAAGCTTTGATAATTAGAGCTCGGCGATGCTAATGAAGTTATGCTCGAGCAGGTTCACATCACAAGCAAGGCAAAGACACATAAAATTTTCTGTTTGGCTAAGCCCTAGAGACTTTTTGCTCTAGGGTGCCGAGGATATCCATTCTACCTAAGAATGCTTTAGCTGTAACTAGCTATTCATTATGATGGCCCAACCAAGATATATCCGAGAAACCATACACGATCCTCTTATCCATAAAACGCCATGTTATAATCTTCCTCTCACGCCTTATGCATGTTGTACATTTTTTTGGGAATCAACATCTTCCATCTGAGATCCGCAGAAATCTTTACCCCAATTATTCAGCAGTTTCTGGATCACCATTTGTTCCTGCTCCTGTGTCTGCAGCTCCTGTAGCTCCAGGTACAATCAATTCCTCATTCCCGTCCTCGTCCACAAACTTTCTCTCGCTGACATGCTCCTTCGTGCCATCTGCTACCCATACCTTATCGTCGAACTTCCCTCTCTTCTGACCATCTTCATGCTTGAATGCACATGTCGGATTTAAGCAAGGATTGAACTTGCACATGGTCTTGACGTGTGTGAATGTGCAGTTCGTTGCTGTGCAATCGGCGCCATTTCGGCAGAGTGGCATTGTGGGATGTCGGAAGGGGCAGTTGGTATTTTTACAATTTGGGAAGTACATGCAATCTTGTGTGGTTTGATGTGCAACTCTTTGAGCCGGGGATGGATGTCGTCCTACGCATTTTCGATTTTTACAAGCTGCACCAAAAGAACAAATATCTGCAACATCGATGGCCGTTCCTGGAGGAGCTGCTGGAGATTGATGTGCGAATTTGCAATCCTTATTTGTGCAAGACAAGTTGAACCTGCATGTAGTGTCTGGTGAAAGACTATCGACCTTGTCACTAGAAGACATTTCAACATCCATCGAGCTGTCGTTCTGGGGTTGTGGCTGTTGGTCGTGACGTTTCTGAAACTCTTTATTTTGGGGTCGGCTAGGATGTTGCATGCGTTCATGTAAAGGTCTGCCTTGTCCCGGGAATCCTGCGCTGTTGCCATTTCCCCCTCGTGACATCATCTGTTGTTGTTGTTGTGGAGTAAACATTTGTGCCATCATTCTCGATTGCTGCTCAAGCATAGCATACAGTTCGAGTTGTTGTTGTGGAGACATGCCCATAATATTTTGTGCTGCACCATGCTGCGTCGGCATACCTCCCATGCCTCCCTGTCCACGCCCGTTCTGCATGCGAGCAGCACCTCGGATGTTTACAGGTCCCCCTCTTGGTCCTGTCGGGGGTCCTCGCGTATGTGTATTTATTCGTTCATTTCCAGATTGAGTTCGAACCCGATGGAGAGCGGCATCGTGCGTGCGATCCATTGCCTTCGTCAAATGATTCATCATACGCTTATCCCGTGGACGATTAATACCACCACTTCCATTTCGCATTGACTTTGGACCTGTTGGTCTGTAATATGGTTAGTTTTCTGGTCCTGAGAAAATGTTTCTGATCTTGAAAGTGATTGAGAAACCTTAAACATACACATTTACATCGCCCGCCTCTGAAGTATCATTCATATCCGCATCTTGTGATACATTTGAGTCTCCAAACTGGGCCTGTCCAGTCTCTGCGCCAGTATCTGAAAATTCTCCACCGCTGGTTTGTGAATTTAACGATCCAACCTGGTCAAACAGCCACTGCGAAAAATCTCTTGCTCCCGGATCGTCATCTCCAAGATTCAGAAGATCGCCTGATAATTCTGCAGCGATTTGTTCTTGAGTCTTCCCATTTACTAACATGAGAATAATATATTCGGAAAGCGCAGAGTCATCAGCGCCACCAGTACTCCACCCTACTTCCAGAAGCTTTGGTTGAATAGAAGCGTTGAGCGCGTGTGCCAGAGGCGAATCTAAGACAATTTCGACCGACATCTTTAGATTTCGTAGATCTCTTTATCTATCAAAGGTGAGGCTTTCAAGTATTTGCTCTCGACTGAGATAAGGACGACGGTGAAATGCAGTAGTCTTATAGGGAGTTGTGACAGGCGAATAATTGCTTTTGATGGTGATCGGGCTGTTTATAATGTTTGGTGTGCAAAAGAAGATAGATGGAGTTTGTTAGAATAAAGATCTTGAAAGACCAAGAAGCTTAAAGAGCCCCTGCCGCACAAGAGTATTTGCCTGAGGATAATATATAATCGAGCCCGCATAAAGTTAGTCATGGCCTACTGTAAGTGGCTCACGTGCTATGCTATGTACTGTAGTTCGTTCCCGTAGGAGTGGCTGAATTTAGTGGCTGAAATCATTCACATCACGTTTTATATCAGCCACATCTCCAGCCACTTTTCGATTCTTAGGTATTTCGAATATGAGATGAGTTCGAGATCCATCAGTTATACAATGCAGTACCACAAGTACCTTGTCACAGCTCAACAAATTATACATCATATTTCGCTCTTTGTGGCATCTATGCTACTCTATCTACTGTATATATCTACCTACCTAGGTACAAGTAGTAACTCAACTCGACCCTTTCGAAAGCGGGGAACGGCTATTTGCATATTGACCGCTACTTACTTCCCTTGATTGCTTCTCTTGAGGTACTTCTACTTCTCTTGGCTTTCATTCAACTTTCAAGCCACTAAGATAAAGAACGAATACAATGATCAAGAGAGCAATAGATCATATCACTGTTATGTTGGTATATGAAACATCACTCAAATCCAACAAATCTCACTGCCTCCAATATTGCTGACACGTTATTTCGTATTTTGTATATCTAGATACCATATTTGACTGTCGGTTCCCTTGAGCCCCTTTGACGCCGCCGCATTTAGAAATTGCTGGAATTTCGAGAGAACCAGGATATCAAATTTACTTTTAGCGATTTCGGACGATTATGAGTATGTACCTAGTATCTGGTACATACCAGTCAGTACCTTGATCTACCAATTATATACTCGAGTACCATCCATGTACTGTATAAATTGTGAGATTCCGATTTCTGAAGTAAGCAAATTTGATGTTTTTAATCCTATCACCATATCCATATACACACCTAAATCCTTTCATATCCAGTCCCCCGTGCAGATGCATCGATCCGACCAAGGACGGCGTGATCAGATAACTAATTAATGGAACATCCTTTTAGTTTATTCTAGTGTACTCTACCTTTCCTCCCTAGCCTTTTGAGCCATTCATCGTAACGTTACGGCTGCTGGATTGGTGGTCTCGCATCGACTTCTCCGCACCAAATGTCAATTATTACTACAACCGGACAGCCAGTTGGAACATCAGACTGAGCTGGCTACCTGCATATTCATTTATCGTCATAGTTAAGCCCTGGGAAAGCCCATTTTGATTGCCCCGAACTCTATTCTGAGCTTTGCGCAGTCCCATCCCTGGATTCATATTCCTACGGCATCTCCTGAATCCTTGTGAATGTAAATATTCGTTTAATCTGAGCCACCCAGCTGTGCAACATTTAAGCTGATTGGTGAATGTTACTTTGCGTACTGTTATTCACAAAGTTATATAGTTTACTCTTTCCCCTAATTTTGTTATGTTCATTCCAACTTGCTTTCGTTACTTCTAATTTACACATACGATCCTACACTTATCATAATGTTGTCGTCTACTTTTCTAATATCTGCTTTGGTTTCTTCTGTCCTGGCTATATGGCCTCAACCCGTTTCGTACACAAATGGTACCGGTGTTTTGTGGTTGGATAAGAATGTCAAGGTTACTTATGATGGCGGCGTTGTACGATTAATCCCCCAAATTTTCTATGATGATATGAATACTAAGAAAGTGTTGGCTCTACAGTCTACGGGATATTCTGGTGGCGGGACTGGAAATATTACAAGCAGCAAAACTCTTGTTTCCAATGCCGTAACTCGAGCCATGACCAAGATCTTCTATCAGGGTTTGACACCATGGAAATTCTATGCACGAAATACATTACCCCAAGTTGAGCCGTCAGCTACCTCAAACAAGATCTACATCACCGAGCTCTGCATCACCCAGACCGGACACGACAACTCCTCCACATTTAAACCTTTGGATGGCCAGGTGGACGAGTCATACAACCTCACGATTAGTACTGATGGAAAGGCCGCTATCAGCGCCCTTTCATCTATCGGTATCCTTCATGCACTAACAACATTCACACAACTTTTCTATACACATTCCATTGCTGGGACTGGTGTCTACACGAAATTAGCTCCCGTGACGATTTACGATGCACCAAAATTTGCACACCGTGGATTAAACATGGATGTATCCAGAAATTGGTATCCTGTCGAGGATATAAAAAGAATGATCGTGGCCCTCGCATACACCAAATGCACCATCTTGCATTTGCACATCACCGACGCTCAGTCATGGCCTTTGGATATCCCAGCATTTCCTGAATTGTCAAAGTTGGGCGCTTATCAGACCGGATTGTCTTATACCCCCCATGACCTCAAGGATATCCAAGCATTTGGCGTTAACTATGGTGTCGAAGTCATACTAGAGATTGATATGCCTGGTCATACAAGCTCCATAGGGTACTCCCATCCTGAGCTCTTGGCCGCCTTTAATGCCGAACCTTGGGACACTTACTGCGCTGAGCCTCCTTGTGGATCGTTGAGGCTTAATGACTCTGTGGTACCAGTATTCCTGGAGAAATTGTTTGATGATCTTCTTCCTCGAGTCTCTCCATATTCATCATACTTCCACACTGGCGGAGATGAAGTTAATGTTAATACTTATTTGTTGGATCCCACCGTTCAGTCAAACGATACAGCAGTTCTCAAACCTTTGATTCAGGCATTTGTGGACAGAAACCACAAACAACTTCGAGCTGCCGGACTTACACCAGTGGTTTGGGAAGAAATGATCACCACATGGAACCTCACCTTGGGGACTGATGTTGTTGTTCAATCATGGCTCAGTGATGCCTCTGTCGCCCAGATCGTCGCTGCTGGACACAAAGCTCTCGCTGGCAACTATAACTTCTGGGTATGTACAATTCCTTTGTATCAATCCGAGTCACATGCTAACACATTCCCTAGTATCTCGATTGCGGCAAAGGACAGTGGCTCAACTTCGAACCAGGCACATCCTCCGAGAAGTTCTTTCCCTACAACGATTACTGTTCACCTACGAAGAGTTGGCGCTTAGTCTATTCCTACGATCCGCTCGCCGGAGTACCAGAAAACGCGACTCATTTGGTTATTGGCGGAGAATTCCACATCTGGTCCGAGCAGACGGATCCAGTGAATATCGACGATATGGTGTGGCCAAGAGGAGCTGCCGCAGCAGAGATATTGTGGTCGGGAGCCAAGGATCCAGTAACTGGCCAGAACCGAAGTCAAATCGACGCAGGTAGCAGATTGCCAGAATTCAATGAGCACATGAGACAAATGGGAATCCGATCGGGACCTGTACAGATGATTTTCTGTACACAACTTAATTCGACGGAGTGCTCATTGTAATGGGGTAATGGAATAGAATCGATATGAAGCTATGGATATGAGTAAAAATTTACATTTAGGATGGAGTTTTTGGGCATATTCTGCATTCATATCTACTTACATCTACCATATCTACTTTCAAATGTACATATTGATTTGTGATAGAAATCACACGAGAATGAATTTTCAAAATAAAATAAGGATGATTTGAATGATTCCGTTATGATTATGTGATGATTTTGTAAGATCTTATATAAAATCTAGAGGCCAGTACGGAGTCAGTATGTACGGGTACTTGATTGCTTGATAGGTAGTAAAGAATATCTTTTATATACTAGGTATTCTTACCCCGGATCCAGATCGGCATCCATCCTTATTCTACCGGTCGGTCGGTACCTTTAATTTCTTTTGCATGTGGACAACACAAAAGAGAGAGACACAAGACGATGGAATACGAGTAATGGAATGAAATGTATGAAGCTTAAATAAAGCCATCAATCATGTTTATCCATTACTATAAGTACCCATTACCCATTACCCATTACCCTTTAACCCTTTTACCTTTTACCCCACATCTGATCGGAGTTTAACAATTCATCCGAACCCTTTCCCTTTTCCTTCTTCCCTTCTCCCCGCAACAAAAAGTATATAACAAAGACAAAATTCACAATCCGAGCCATAATGTTATGTGTAGGAGGTGAAAACAACTTCTGGTTTTACTGTTTCCATAAGTATAAGCTTTGTCTTTTCAATTTTGGATAATATTCATTCATCCATTCATCAAACACATTAACATATATATATATGAGGCAATGGTAATCATGTTGGAAGGCATATCAACCAAATCTCTCATCGCGGCATTGATCGTGATTTTTACTTTAGTCAAGGTTACTCAATTGATTCAAAGAGAGCTTAAGATTAAATCACTTGGTGGTCATGCGAGAAGAGTTAAAACATGGATCCCATTTGGTACATATCAATACTCCCCTCCCCCCCCCAATCTGCTGTCGCGAGAGAGCGCTTGCTAATGATTCCCAGATCTCGACCTCATCGCACGCTCAGTCAACCATAGTTTGCATGACAGAAATCTCCAAGCATGGCTAGCCTTCTTCAAGGGTCAAAACGATTTCCGCTATACAGTCGAGGCAAACCCAGGAGGACAACGCACTATATTTACTGCAGAGCCGGAAAATATTAAAGCTATACTTGCGACTCAGTTCACAGATTATGGGAAAGGGAAACCGTTTCATAAGGATTGGAAAGATTTCCTTGGCGATAGTATCTTTACGACTGATCTTGATCAATGGCATGATTCTCGTCAATTAATACGCCCACAATTCATAAAGGATCGAGTTAGTGATTTGGATACTTTCGAGAGACATGTGCAGATCTTAATCAATAAGATTAAAGTAGAAGGTAGAAAACGGGATGGCACTCAGGGCCAAGAGATTGATGTTAGTGATTTGTTCTTCAGGTACACTCTGGATGCTGCCACGGATTTCTTGTTGGGGCGTAGTGTGGAAAGTTTAGAGAAACCAGGTGAATTCGCAGACGCTTTCGCAGAAGTTCAGAGGGTACAAAGTATCATTGCTAGAGCTGGGTATGTATGCTGCCCTCTGTCAACGAGTTAACGCTAACATGACAACTAGCCCATTGAACAAACTAGTTCCAAGAAAAACATTCTACAAGGGCCTTAAGGTTATTAACGAATTTGTCACCCCCTTCATTGAAGATACGCTTCGACTTTCTCCCGAGGAGTTAGCGACTAAAACGAAAACCGAGGAAGGTTATACATTTTTGCATGCACTAGCATCCTATACTCGCGATAGAAATGTGCTTCGAGATCAGCTCGTGGCAGTCTTACTCGCCGGTCGCGATACAACAGCTTCCACACTCTCATGGACTTTCTATGAACTAGCTCGTCATCCTGAAGTCTTCAAGAAACTGCGCGAGGAAGTTGTTTCGAAAGTTGGTCTAGAGGAAGCTCCGACTTATCAACATTTGAAAGATATGAAATATCTTCAGGTATGTCCTCATTTATTTGTTAAAAATCTCTTACTCACAAACGCAGAATATCATGCACGAAACCCTTCGTCTTTACCCCGTCGTCCCCTTTAACGTCCGTCTCGCCCTAAAAGATACTACCTTACCCCTTGGCGGCGGTCCTGATGGTCTCTCTCCCATGGGAATCCTCAAAGATACCCCAATCGGCTATTCCACACTCATCATGCAACGCCGCTCAGATCTCACTCCAGACGTCATGTCTTTCAATCCCGACCGCTGGCTAACATGGCAACCCAAACCTTGGCAATACATTCCTTTCAACGGTGGCCCTCGCATCTGTATTGGCCAACAATTTGCCCTAACGGAAATGGGTTACACGATTGTAAGAATTCTACAGAATTTTGATGGGCTAGAGGGTTTTATGCAGAAGATTGATGGGGGAGACCCGAGGCTGAGAGCGGATATTGTGTTGCAGCCTGGGCAGGGGGTACACGTGGGATTCTTGAACGGGCAAAATGGATCTGCGAAGGCGGAGAAGTAGGATAGTGATAGTTATGGTTATGGTTATAATGATACGGCGTTGAACTGTTTTTCTGGTTGCTTGGGGAGACGACAATGGGGTACGGATTGGTTAAAGTGCAGGCAGCTCAACAACTTGTTCTTAGTTGTTAGTTGTTAGCATATTGAAGAGTTGGCAGTGGATCGGGATGAGCATCAGGTGCATATGGAGTCTAGTATGCAAAGTTACCTCTTCAAACCAATCTCGTATCAAGTATCGGTTGTTTACCATTCTTCTGTTGACTAATTTCATGAGCCCTAGTTAGTGCAGTGTGGTCAATAGTTAATCAGTTGAACTAATGCACTGATAAAACTGACAGTTTAGTCTGATGAAGCCAAACTGTCAGTCGGTTTAGTTTATAATACTCAAACTACCAATTTAAGTGGTTGAATTAGTTAAACTGGTAGTTTAATTAGTAGTTGAGTTTCATGATTCTGATTGCCAATCGCTTTAATTATGATATTCAAATCACCAGTTTAACTAGTTGGATCAAACTACTAACTAATTACAATGATCTAGTTTTCATTGAAACTTTGAAATTGTATGAAAGTTAACGGGATCCGATGTGTCTTATTAGCACCACTCATAAATTCATAATCATCATCATTGACTTCAATGACTTGGGTAAATTTTGACCGAGGCGATACTCCATGTGTATCTAGTAGATTCTTTCGCAATATGATATATCTTAATACTGATACATATTAGTTCGATGGCTCACATTCACAAATTCATATTACAGTGCTGAAAACATGAAAGATGTTGATTATTTCTTGGATAGCTCCATGGTGATGGTGTCAAAAATGACAATACGATATTGGGACATCAACAAGTTAAACTGCTATAAAATGACAGTAATGACCAGTATGGTGGAAGAAGTTGATGCTCATGGAATAGACTACTCGAGTATTTAATATGTACTTGAGTGAAGACTTTGGAATATTTTTAATTATCATTTCTTACTTCGATGAGCACATTATTTAAAGATATCAAATTAGCTCGATCCCCTCGACTTCAAACCAAGTTTCCTGTTAATATGTCTTCAATGTCCGCCCATGACCAAAATACCAACCAATGCCGTTCCCGTTCTATTGTTGCCTCCCCGTCCAACATAGCAATTGTCAAGGCCAAGGAGAGTGAATAGCCAGTCTAAAACGCCTCCAAGGCAAGCTGTTTCGCTTGACTGACTACCTTCCACCGCCTAGACATACTCGATGTACGATTTTATAATTTCTACAGCCAGTAGAATGTGCCCATAACTTTATGAGTCTATGTTATCAACAGTAGAATTAGGAAATAGCAAGATGCAACCAAATATACTCCAGAAAAAACTTGAAAAAACTTCGAAATGCTGTATTGTTAAGCCTACTACAAGTTAGATTGAAAATTTTGAACGTAGTGATAGCAGTCAAAAAGTAATTAATCTAGAAACCGACCAAGAATCTCGGGCAACATCAACTTTCCACGCATTCAAAATTTCACATCTCCTCCAGACAGAGTCCAGATCAATATTTCAGATGATGGCGATCTATATTATCTATCAGCAGCCAGCTAGCTAGCAACGCAGGGATAATTATCTACCCCTCGCTCCATTTCTCCATCCCTCCATCCACCTCATTCGTATACCTCAACCCCTCAAGCTCCCTCCCAAACCAACTTTTCTCCCCTCTCACACCTGCCTACCCACCACAGCTAAAAAAAAACCCTGCATAAACAGCAAAAACGTAATCACAAGGGCGTTGCCCGGGATTGAACCGGGGACCTCTTACATTTTGACAATCAATGACTAACCACTGATCAATCCCTAAGCAAGAATTATACCACTAAACCACAACACCTGTATTATGTTTCAGCTTCCGTAACTTGTTTATATATACTCGACGTCGAGATTGTCAGAGAGAACTTGTCAAAGCCCTACTTACTGTTCATCTCCTCGTTGAATGGCAAGTGAACTACTCAGTAGAGCTCTCGTTGATATGTTATATTTAACCTAAGCTTCTATAATAAATGTCAGAATAGTGTGTTCCAACTTTCATGGTCAAGGGGAACTAATACCATGGAGTCAGCCACTTGCAAATTTCTAATCATCAACATCATGATCACCGATTCCACCCTTACTTTTGTTCTTGCGCAGGAAACTTACTGTCTTCCTCTCAACATATTCCAACCGAAATTTAGGCAGCGTATGCCATCTCCCCGTATGCCATCTTCTCTCCTCAACTAGAAAAGAGGAAGGATGGCTTCAATCGAGAGGATTAGGAGGAGAGCATAGATAAAAGAAACAGTAAGGAGAGGAGGTGAGAGGAGAGGAGAGTTGAAAAATCATCATTATGATATTTATTATATAATATATTTTCAAAAAGAAATATCTAAATTACTAATTAACCTTTTTTCAAGGAGAGGGATTAGATAGGCTAGGAGAAATGGACAAATCTATAGGAGAGTAGAAGGATTCTTAGGGTTCAGGAGAGGAGGGCAAATTGCAAACGCTGAAATTATTTACTACCTATTAGTTAAACTGTACGGTGTAGACAAGAGTAATGGGTATGCAATTGGGAGACTGTATTTTTATGATACTCAATTTGGTACTAGTACTACTAAATGACTGAATCTAAAATACTAAATCTAATCCAAGCCTGGAATCATACATATGCCAAAGCTATACAATCACTAATTGACCGATACACAAAAGAATAAGATCCCAGGTCTCAGTGTACCCAAAAGTATGCATCTATGAGCTCCCAGAAACGACCCCAACCCATACAGGGCAAGATTCTCCAGTTTATTTCTGGTATACATACCCGCCGGCGGCACCCTATCTAAGTTTCACGAAACCACACAAAGCCAAGCAAACTACCTAGAATTGAGGATATACATCCAAACAACCCGCATCCCTCCATCAAAATCAGCCAAATTGGCCTGTGAGTGATCAAGGCCTGATAGTTCAGTGGTAGAATTCTTGCTTTGGGTTGTTAATCTAAAATGTAAGAGGTCTCCGGTTCAATCCCGGATTAGGCCCACAGTGAAAGCTTCATTTTTGCATGGGCATTGGACTAGGTCCTCCTCCATCCCCACTTTTATATATCCATATTTATGCCACAACCTTGTTTGAAAAAATCTCCTCAGACGAGGGCTTGGCGGCACATCGGTAGTGAGAGGTGATAGCCTGGTAGCCAGTGGTAGGTAGAGTCTACCCGGTAGACTGACTGACCACTGACATTGAATCTTGTTTGGGAAGAGTGATGATGTTGCTCAAAAAGAAGACTGTCTTTCTTTTCTGTCATATTTTTGTTCCCCATTAGCGGGAGGAAGGAAGGGTTCATTCAGACAGAGATTGGCAAAAGGTTGGTTGGTTGCCAACTGACAATCCATAAAGATTCCAAATAGCAAAAGCTTGATTCCGGTACGGGGAATTGAACCCCGGTCTATCGCGTCCTGTGAAGCTGTGAAGCTGTGAAGACTTCCAATGAGAGGCGATAATGCTAGCCACTACACCATGCCGGATGTGTTGTCAAATTTGATGTATGAAATAGGTCATCGTCAGGCGAAGATAACGTGCACGAAGAAGCTACCTACTACCACAGAGGCTCCCATTCAAATGCTTGTGGGTTCAGATGTAAACCTGTGATCCAGCTTCCCAAAGATATAACCACCCAGACTCCAGAGCGTCCTAGACGTCAACATATTAGTACCAAAAAGGTCTCATGCATATATCTCTGATCTATCTGAAGAACATCCATCACAAGGGATCTGGAATCTGTATAGATTCTCCTTCACCTAGTGCCTGGTGGATTCATCTACAATAATGTCCAACTTGAAGTTGAAAAATAAAATTGACCAAGGCAGTCAATCAGACAGCAGTAAAAACTACAGTAAAATACAAATGCAGAAGCTCAAAGGAGGAAGACCTGTACTCCCGAATCGGAGCTTAATATTTTGCTCCATCAATACCAAAAATATGCAAAAAGAGAATCCATTGTGGGAAATTGAGCCCAACGGGGGGGTCGAACCCCCAACCTTGTGATTAAGAGTCACACGCTCTACCGATTGAGCTAGCCGGGCAGGCTTTGTTGCTTTTGTTAAAGAATTGTAGGTTGTTTTCAGATATATTTGAGCTTCAATGTTCCTTGGTGGGGAAGTTGAAGAAACTTTTGACTAGCGCCGGAAAACGACTGTTTTGCATGGGCCCCTTCCGCTCAACCACCCTAACCCACAGCCTACACACTAGTCTTGGGCTGAGTGGAGTTCCGTTGCGATATTGTTATGATCTGGGTTTTGCTAGGACCAAGTAAATTTCACTCTTTTGAACCTGGTACAAACACTTAGACATCATTAAACAATGGCGCCAACGACTTGATATGACCTCGCCAGCATGATCACCGCTTGCCCGTGATACCGCTCAACCTCGCATTAGCACACTTTTCGTGGCATCACAACGGCTCAGCGATGTACTAAAGATGATTTTGGGACAAAATGTAAAACCAAGCATATAATAATACTGCGAGGAGATGGAGCTGATCAGGTCTTAGTTAAATCAATATGCTCCTATGATGATTACATGATTGCATGATCTATATAACTTTAGGTTTCGCTTGTTCCATTGGCGGAACATTTGACGTAAAGGGCAAGACTCCGCCTTAATAGATAATGCGAGGGATAGAAAGCTGGTCTGGCTTACTCCTTTTCAAAACACCTTCTAATCACCCAGGAAATCTTATGATTTTGTATTCTAGGTTGAATCCGAACGTCCCTTCTCATATCACCTCTCGACCGCGGTCATTGTGATCAAGCGTTGCTGGGATGAACATGGCAGGTGCAACTAGCATTAGCGTGGGTCTATATAGCCTCACTTTCCACCATCAATAATAAGATGAGCCCTCTCCACACCTACAACCTGAACTTTCTCAGCGTAAGAGCTTTTGTTGTCCTCAACTCGAAGAACCCACTGGTCAAACTTGATCTGATGCCGTGATTCCTTTCAACATTGCAATACTGTAATTTGGTTTAGAATTTCTCCTGGATGTAAAACCATGAGCCTATACTTATAGGATGGTGATGTTCTAGACTGTCCTACTTTCGAATTTCCGTCTAAAACGAGCATTGGAGGGTATGTATCCCTTAGATGATCCATGAGCGACCCGCTACCTAAATCCACCCAAAACTCCACCCCAAAATCAAGAAAAAATCAAGCATTTCCTTTCCCTCAATAATCAATCTCAAACAGCAGCAAAAAGCGTAATAAAAGCAAAAGAAGTGACCAAACTGGGGCACGATCCCAGGACCTTGTCCGTTTGATTAACAGGTATTAATTGTTAAGGACACGTGATAACCAACTACACCATCCGGCCTTTTTTGATGTTGATGGATTCGTTAATTCAGATTATGACCAAGCTTGGTAAATGGTGGGGAGCAGAACATTCACGGTTGAGTGCGGATACACCGCCCTCTCCGATATAAACCGCACTAGACGGGAGGAGAAACCGATGTAGACCTAAGTTTCGGAAAACTTTCTTGGCCACTCGACCGAGACTTGGGGAAACCGCTGCTTCACTCACTGTCCGGGTACCAGTAATGTAGTGATCTGTTCGATGTGTACTCGAGTATATGGGATACAACAACTTCCAGAGACCCACAGTACTTGATGTGGGGTACTCGCCGTCATCAAGGAGTACATAATGACTGAACAGATACCGGTACTCTAGATCATGATGAAAGAGTAAGCTTTTGGTATAGTTGATACGAACCCTTATCTTCGTCCTTCGTCCTTTCACGAGCTTACATCGAGTTCGAATATAACCAGCTCAAGAGAGTCCGAAAGAAGTCCAATGTGTCCACTATGCATGTGCCTTATGACCGTTGACCGTTGACCGTTGATTGTTGACCGTTTCATAGTACTGTACAGTGAATAGAGCATATCATGATGACAAAGTCTCTACAGTTGATAAACATAGCTTGCTAATCAAAGTGATATCGTTCTCCTTTCGTTGCATGTAATCAAGTCGATGCGATATATTGATTGTTGCCACCTAGAATGTCGATAACAGATAAGCGGGAGGCGTATTCGTGGAAGAGCGTAAATAATACCATGTCTCGAGACTCTTGATGCCGTCGCATCGATGCAAGCATGTAGGTATTGATGAGAAATGAATGATGAGAAAGAAGTTGGACATACTGTAATGAATTGATGAGTTTTGATGAAGTCAAGATGTCAATGATGGAATTGGGAAGGAATGTCAATTGAGGATCCGTGCGCAACGCCCCTTCCAATTCCTGGTAAGCTCCATTGATTGAGTCAGCGAATACAGCAGTAGGAATGAGATACTCGCGAGTACAATTAGTAAGAAACAACATATTGATGGAAATTCTTACTAGAACTATATAATTGAAAGTGTTGTACTTCAAGATCTAGAACCGTTTTCGTAAGTCATACCTCTCCAAATCCACCGCCACGCCATCACGATGAAGACCCTTAAAGCGTACCCAGCTTACACTTAACTCACAAAACCACCCCAAGCAGCATGTTCCGCTGCCAAAATACTATCACAAGAAAGTTCCGCGACGTAAGGACAAGCGACCATATCACAAAATACAATCGCAGTTCCATAGGAACCGTCACCGAGAAAGCGAAGAATCTAGGTCCATCACCATTTGTCCACAGGTATCCCATTGCATAGTACTCTCCTTTAACCAAATCAATAATGGTTGTTTGCGATGGTATAAGCCAATGTTCCAACAAGATTTGCATTAGCCCGTGTCCAGCCTTAAGTATGTGCTGGCGCCCATCCGGGGAAGGGAAATACCATCGGTTGGTGTTGTGGTGAAGGGGGAAGTACAAGTACCTGCCATCAAGGCGAAGAGCTATCCACAATTGTCAATGACGAGATAGAAGTCGTTGGGATTTCTGAGCTGCCATGATAGTTTCAGTAATATGGTTGATAATTTGGAGTTTTGGCGAAAGCTCCGAATTGTTACCCGGTTTCGTTATGTCGACGGTAGGCAAAATAACGGTAATGGGACGCAGAGTTAACAATGTCAAATAGTCAGAACTTCTTCAACTTTACCTGCGTGCTTGCGGCGATAGTTGTTGCCCCGTTGTATGCCGAGCGAACACTCAAGATGCTGGAAATATGAGTAGGCATAGGAGAGGAGAGACTACGACCGGGGCGGCGGAGGGGGGTTAGGCAAGAGCACCAGTTCTGCGATTAAGACCACATCGTTGTTTACATATGAATAATGACGGGACGGTTTGATGATTGTAATTCGTGTGGGGGAGGGGAAGGAAAGTAAAAGACTGCGGTGGCTTCTGAACTCTACACATCAGAAGATGCTAGCGGTACACTCATGTTTTTGAACTCCAAGATCACAATTGAGTAGCTTTCTAATCTATAATCTTGCAAACGCGCGCCACTGTACCTCCACAGTAGCTGGCAGGGCAATTCAGGTCTATATCAATGATCTTAAAGATATAATTTCGCTATTCAAGTTCGGATTTGGAGCAAGTCCATCCCACTAGCCTTGGCACAAAGATGCATATGAGAATATAATAAGACCATTGAGATGACACAGACATCTAAAACTCGGCGCCCGTGCTGTCAAAAGGTCTCAAAGTATAGTGGAAGCTCATGTCCTCAGGGACAGATACAACAGTCATTACTCAGAAGCCGCTACTTTCGAGAGAGCTAGTGTTCTTCAAATGACTCTGTATGCTCAGCCCGTCAATTCTTCTAGAGGCACATCTCTCCCATACTATGAGCAGAGAGGAGCATTATGCCTCGGCAGGGAGTCAAACACACAAGGTCATAACAGTCCATCAGGGGAATATTCCTGGTGTTGCAAAACAAATGGAAGCGCGTAGGTGTGTAGCGTAGTACAATGCAAACCAAATGGTATAGACGGATATTTGAAAAGTACCGGTATATTAACTTTCTGCAATTTTGGTATTATATCTCAACATATTATGCTCCTCTGTTCTGCAAGGCATTGCTAACCCATCATTGTATCCCGATATCTGTTCAGCAAGTTATATGACTTTGATTTTCACTCCACAACTCGAGCATTATGTATTTTATATACTCTCCACTCCATCAAATATTTAACTCAACCATCACAGCCTTAAGTCCCACGGATTTTCGTAACAACATTCGCCACGCTCGTCGTTTGAATCGTATAGGGTTGATGAACTGGTACGTGTGTTCTTGGGTTGCCCTTCTTTGGCTCTGGTGTTTCTCGATGGTGTCTCAATATCTTGGGATGGTCTCGCAACTCGTCGTCATCGTGCCGCTGGACGACGAGGACTCTCATCTTCTTCTTCACCTTGGTCTTCATCGGATGCAAAGGAATTGGGTTCTACCAAAACTCGTCCTCGTTTGGTTCGCCACGAGTCTTCTGGTATCGGTGTGCTGTTCCTCTCGTCTGCAACCGATTGCATCCACTTCTGTCGTGCCCCTCTTGTCGCTGGAGGATATACAGTAGGATGTAGCTTCCTCACTGCGAATGAAACACCGATGAAAATTTTCTTCAATCCTGCATCATCACAACGAGCCATCTCATTCTGAAGATCCAAATGCTTGATATATTTATACCAAGCCTTAGCATGTGCCTCAGCAATATTGTTTCGACCCGAATCAAAACACAATATCTTTCCTGGCTGACTTTGAACCCATGCATGTGTTTTCGATGGGAGGCAGCTTTGCAATTCATCGCTCAAATCTGCATCTATATTTCATACAATGTCAGCAATTGTACCGATCATAAGGAGCACGGACTTGAAGTATGGAGTATGGAGCAGATAGACCTACAGGATACAGGAGCTGTTGTGTTCTTATCGTTTTCTGCTCTCGATAGACTTCGTTCATCTGAGGATTCATCTTCCTCGTCGTCGTCTCCCTGTTCGATGATATCCTTGGGATGTTTCGTATTAGACTTCGATGCAGCTTTCATGGCGTTAGTTCATAATCATCACAACCAAAAATCATATTAACTGAAGGAGCATACCGTTCGAGACGGCCTTATTGAGACCAATCTCCTGCCATACTTCCTGCATGATAGCTAGGAGCGTAATTTGGCTCTCTAATATGCACGCTTCGGGGAACGTGCAGACGCTTGGACTAGGAGTCGGCCATCGTATTTCGTCTTTCACTATATCCTCATGTGAAAAGATTTATGAATGATAGGTCGCCAGAGTCTGTTGACCCGATAAATACAATATAGGATGAAGAATAAGAAGAATGAAGATAATAAGTATCAGAGTCTTCATCCGATAAAAGTTACATGTGGTGGAGGAGAAGAAGAGAAGAAGAAAAATGCATTAGAAAAATGGTTATTAAATTCTTCATGTTCACTTTTATTGGCAAGTGTCATCCTAATGTGGAAGGAGTGATCGTCGTGTTGACAAGAATATCATACCGGTAGCTATCGCGATGAACAATTTGGATAATAGATATTATATTTAAAGATATCTTCACTAGGATAATACAATACCTTCAGCTTATCACGAACGAGTTATTACTCTTTTATTATATCGCAGTACCAGCTGTTTCGAGAGTTAAAAGGCGACGGCGACATAGCCTTTATTTTCTGCCTCAGGCTGCAACACCAATTTCATGTGCTAATAAATACGCACTTTCCAACAACAGAAAATACTCTCACCTCATCTCAATTCACTACTTTTCGTTGTTATAGTGACAGCTGTTTCAACCACCAACAATACTGTCACTCATCACCCTCATCTTAACTTACCACTACTTGTCTATATTGTAGTGCGTATTGTTTCAATCATTGACTTTGCTTGGGTAAGAACTCAAGCAACTTCTCCAAACTATCATGGCCACTTCGATTCTGAATACTTCGGTGGTCTCCGGCCCCCGTCCAACGCTTAATCAACAAATCGAGTGATGGCAGTATGGAAAAGATATGGACATACTCGTTGTGGAGGTAGATAAAATGGCATCGACATTAGAGAAGAGTCATGGCTTTTGGTGGCACAGCAATATGAAGCAACAATATTGCACACTCCGGACATATCGCCAGTTGATGTCAGTGGTGTTGCTACACAAGGGTGTGGAAGGAGTCGTTGTCACACCGGAAGTGGACGACTCGAACGATGCCTTGATTTTCCCTGATAACGGTGACGATCTTATAACTACGATTTGCAAGTAAGTCACTACACATGTTAGCCTTCCACTTGTTCTATGCTAACAATAAACCATCAGTTTCTTGATACTCCTTGCCGCACATATCAAGAAGGACAACAAGAAATCCAGGGTGACTACCTTGCTTGCGAAGCGAAGCCACATGTGGTATTGGTTCAGCGGAACTCTATTTTAGGCGTACGACAGAGACGATCCAATATATCCACAAAACTGGAGGCGCCAGAAGAGCAAGCCCTCGCTGGTATTGATGAGTACATCTCCATGATGAATCTGGTGATGGATTTTGCCCCAGAGTCCAGCACCGACAAACACTGCCCATTATGTGCCGAGAGTCCATTTCGCACTGAGAAAGAAAAGGACAAAGTTTATCGCGATATAACAGGCCTGAACAGTCATTTACGAGGACCAACACACACCCTATTCGGGGAGCTGAAAGCGCAACACGAATCGCTTGCGAACGAATTTGACGTCACAGAAACACACCCATATCGTTGCCAGTATGGATGCGGACGAAAATTTGACAAGTTCACTCGATTGGTTGGGCATTTTCGTCGAGAGGACCCCTTGAAACATGGTGAAATCCATGATATGTTAAGGAGACAAGACGGATGGCACGACGATGCTACTTATCCGGTTTACATGACGAATGGTTCTCGGCAGAGGAAGAGAGTGCGGGACAAAACTGGAGAACTTTTAAAGCCGCCGAAGAAATTCATGCAAGAGCTGCTTGCAAGACCACCCAATCCATTTATCCAAAGCAACCAACATTTACTTGTTGAGCATGGAACTGATTTGTTGGCCGGGCGAAGACATTTACTTGTTGAGAATGGAACTGATCTGTTGGCCGGGCGAAGACATCTTCTCGTTGGGAATGAAACAAATTTGTTGGAAGGTCGTAAACAATCTTAGTTTAATGAAAATGTATATCGAGGAAGATTAGCTTCAATTGTATTTGCTTTGAGTTGAGCGAATTGAAGAAACTTTCTATAGCAATACAAGCTCTATTATATATACAACGATTGTTTTGCTGCACTACCTCACCATTTTGCTACAGTACTCTATCTTATCTAACCTTTCATATTATAAAACATTGAAAAAATACATATAGTCAATGCACAACAACGAACATTTTTTTGAAAATTCATATGCAATACTATACTATACTAAATCTTCAATATCAATACATTTCTTATATTAATCAATAAAATGAAATCTGAAAAGATAATATTCAAGAATATTATTCGATATTTATGATTATTAAGTTAATAAGTCTCCGGAGGACGAGCTGCGATATAGGAACCGAAATGCTCTGAAAAACCATTTGAAAAGTGCAACAAGGCGAATTGTTTTTCCGGCACCGAGGGGCCGGATTCAAAGCTCATACACTATCTTGTATTATACTACATTATCTTGCTATATATCGATACTATCTTGCTATACTACACCAACTTGCTATACTATATTATCTTGCTACAATACATTATCTTACTACTATATTATTACCACGCCACGCCATCTTGCCTCTATTTGCTCTGCCACGCACACGCGCGCTTATATTTGTTTTGCGATATACCCGCGTTATTCCGATCATTTTGTCACGTGTATCTTTTCGTCATATATTTCTCTTCACTACATCACAACTTCATTACAATGATTCAGTTAGTGATCACTACAAAACACCATTCTATCCTAATATCTCACAACTACGTTTTTGTTTTACTCTACAACACTGTAATTCCACTCGCTGCATAAAAGCTTACACCAATAATACTTCTCACTTCAAATCTCTAAAGAGCTCCTGAACAAAATTGAATTAAGGTTTTTTATTCAATTCGAGAATCTCTGCTAGATATTAGACAATTGCTTCGGAGAACTCTATTAACATTTAAATAATACAGAGAAAAATCATCAAGAGTCTGGTTGAATGAAGCTCAGATGGCGAGGAAATTAGGTTCGCATTGATGTATTGCAATTTGTTACTATGTGTACAAGGCATTTTATATGCACAAAGACTCTCTCAATATTCTCCAATGTGGTAATTCCATCTTCCACGCTCATCCAAGCATCCATAGCGCTCTCCCAGTACTTTCTTCGCATTCATCCTTGCTTTGTACGCCGCGAGATGTGCTGCTCGAGCTTCTTCTGCATTTGGTCTTGGACCATCTACATGCTGTCTTCCCAAAGTATCGTAACGACCAGTACCCAACCCATCCGTTGATGGTGGCGGAGGACGTTTCCACGGTTCATTTCCCGCACGTGTAGCAGGGGGGGATCCTGCATTCTTCCACTTCTCATTGCGATTCGATGTATTACGCGTTGTCTGTCCACCGAAATCTCTCTGGCTATCGTAGCTTCTCCGGTCTTCGATGCTGCCTAGAATTTCGAACGCCTCGTTGATCAATCGCATCTTGTCGTGAGCATCTGCTGCTTGCGATTTATCTGGGTCATTGTTCATGGCTATGATACAGTGAGTATAACAAACCAGTAAATACGTTCATAGTATGTACATACCCTGCTCATTCCTCGCGAGCTTTATCTCCTCATACGTTGCATTGACGGAGACCCCGAGGATGGCATAATAATCTGTCTCAAGTTGAATGACAGTGAAGGCTTTATTAGACGCCATGATCCTGTAACGGTAATGGTATCGTAGGGAGTTTGTGTGGTGTATCGCAAATGCTGTGGATAGAAGCTTTGAAGAAGGAGAGAGTGATACCGTACTGTTGTGCGGTATATTGTGCTTTGTATTGGTACAGGAGATTTCACAGAATAATTATCAGTTTTGAACGAAAGGAGCAGAATTTAGTGAGTTTTCGCTTAGAGAAGGGTTTCTTGAAAGAAAATACCCTCACTCACCTTTCGTATCTGTTTATCCTCACAATATCCCCAAAACGATACAATATACCTAGGTAACTATATTGTAGCCTTGCAAACACTTTCTTTTTGATAGTCTTCAAATCAGATTTACTATCGTTTTCTATCAGCCTCGAGTACAAACCAGTGTGACTTGCGGCTGCGAACTTAATCAGAACAAATATATCCACATATCTGGCTGCGATAGTCACCACAAAACAAATATCACAACGGTGCGACCGACAAACAAGTCGAGTTCGGCTCTACGAGATTCGTAATTGGTGCGGTATAACAATACTGTACCTTTTATTACAAACTCCGTTCGATCTTACCGACCTTTTTGAAGGCTATATCGAGACAAGCTTCACCACGGCACAGCTCGCGGTTATACGAGTTTTTGAGTAAGTCGATATCAAATCCTTTTATTTATAATATAGAAACTCATTTTTAAATAGTTATTATTGTAATACCGCCAACAGTTCTTCGCGATGTCGGAATCAACAGAAGATGACGGCTGGGCCATGGCACCATGGGTCCACAACAAAACAAAGCGATCTATTCATACTACACAACTGGATTCTTTAAATGTAGTATTTTGTCATGCCAGAAGAAAATCGCCGCAACAAAAGTTAGCCATAAAGTTCAGGATCCTTCCAAGATAAGATTTTTCATCGTGGAAGGTACATATAATCCAACACTTGAGTTGCGAATGATGGTGACTCCAAACGCATCTATTTCATGGCGAACGCTTAACATCAATCCACCTCCCAATACAATTGTGATGAGATTTCATTTAATTCCTCACACAACACTGTCTGCTGCGATCCCAACTTTCGATAGGACCGCGTTGAGCTTCAAACCCATGTACTCTGGTGTGAAATTTTCTCACCACGAAAATATACCTTCCGAAGGACTCGGCTTTTCGTTGGAAGTGACAGATCTGAAGTGGGAAATGGCGCCCGGTAGTGTCCCAGAAGTCACAATCTCATGGCAGTCTGAAAATAACATCAAGCTGAACTCAGATCTTGGGGACAACGTGGAAGTTGGACACCCCTGCTACAACACCGTCAAGGATTTCATGGATTTCCGTCACACATCGGGTCCTGTCGGTTTCGAATTTGATACCTACAGTGTCCTCTTGCCATGGTCTTCTCATTTGGAGTATGCATATCGCTATTTTCTAGCAATGCCGTGCAACAAACCGCTTTCTGGCGGTTTGCTACGGTAAAGAATACAAATATGGCCACGATTTCTGCCTATCTGCCACAACGCTTGAACAGCGAGGGGGTATGGACTATGGAGGCATTGCGACCAGTCCATTTCGTCAAACCCACTGGAAGAAAAGATAACCCCCTTGAAGAAAACGTCTCGATGTTCGTGGCATTTACGAGCCACATCCTGTAATGGTACAGTTCGAAAGCATCATGGCTGCCGAGTACTTTCTCAAAGTACCGTATCTGCTGGACAGTGATGCTGCGGCCGAGCGGATAACTAGCCAATGTAACGGCTATTTGAAACATAAAAGTGTCAAGGCATGCACCTATTTGCCAGATGCGCCGCTCGATATGTTATATTCATGGCAAGCATTCCTCTCGATGGTGATGACGATGACGAGGATATCATTTTGCCAGTACAAGGAGATGCTGTGAATATAATTTGGGTTCATCAGGCATCCGACAGTGAATCCCCTGTCATCTGGTCTGGCAAGGTTATCATGAGTCCTTATGAGCATGATGCCAAATGGAACGTTGCTATGATAGTTCATATGAACAAGATCCATGAAGATTATAACTTCCTAAATGGTAATGCGGCCCTTTTGAAGTTTATCGACAGAATTCTGTTTGGTGAGCACACCCTCAACATCACGCATGCCAACTGGATTCGTACTTTCATGACGGGCCAGAGGAATACTTGAACTCTCGACATCGTCAATCTAGACTTAGATGAGGGTATCGTAGCAGAGACGGGTGTGGGCCTGAATGACAGCCAAAGATGGCTGTATATACAATGCGGACTCTTCGCCATTGTGTTCTATCCATGGTACTCCAGGTACCGGGAGGTAGGCTAGAGAGTCGTCATATTGTCAGCATTAGTACTTCCATATCAATATATCTTGAATTTCAATTAGGATTTATCTTCTCATTCGCACATTAAATCTATTGTACAAATAGTATTGAGTGATCTCGGAAGGGTAAATATGTGTCAATGGATTGTATATATAAAAATTAATTGAGTTGCAATTCACATAAGGAGAGCATATGGTAAGCAGGAATTGCCTAGCTTTTTTTTTACTCCCGAGTCCCGAGTCACTGCTCGCTTAATTAGGTAAGCAAGCATATCCTACGAAAGATTTCATTTTAAGAGTTTTTATTTGTAGTATAGGTTTTAAAATAAAGGGGCCCATAACAACAACAGCCAGCCCGGCTAGCTCAATCGGTAGAGCGTGTGACTCTTAATCACAAGGTTGGGGGTTCGACCCCCCCGTTGGGCTTTGTTTTTTGGCATTTTTTAAGATTTCTTTTTGTGTGTTGGATCCCTTCCTTTTTCTCTGTAGAAAGAATATCTAGGATTCTTTTGTTGGATTTGGCCAGGGTTAGTCATAGTCATTCATATATACGAAAGGCCTTCTTCTCATAGACACAGTGTACCAAATAGTAAGTGAGTTGGATTTTGCTATTTATTGGGGTATGTATTGTTTCTATTCGTATTGTATTTGCATTCGATTATTTAATTATTTGTATAACCTCAAGGATAAGTTTATTCGGGTTACCTATTGAGTACATAGAACAAATCTTCCGATTCCATAGCCATCCTCCCTCCCTTTACCAGAGAGTCGGTCAATGAATTAATTCACCTTGGCGAAGCTGATGATGTTACATTATCATTGGTTCATATTATTGATTCATATTATTGATTCAATATATCTATATCTTCGATGGTAACATTTTAATTAACATTCGTGATACCCCTCTCCCTCAATCTTTTTCTTGTTGGTCACACATGGAATTGAACCGCTCATGCTAATCTATTAAAGGAAAGGTCGAATCGCTTATCTACGGTTTCTATCGCGATAAGGGACTTTTAAACTTTTCTCAAATACCTGCGATACCGGCTTTTTCTTTTTATTTCCTCAACTCAATTTCGAAAGTAATTATGACTTTATGATTACATGATAATATCTATGATCTCCTATGATCTTCAAATACAGTCAAGTCAATATTGACATATGGGTAGATACTAGTCACATTATCTCTCTTTACGTCTTCCGTCTCCACATCATTTACTTGTAAGTTATTACTGGTACTTTAACTCTACGCCCTTCAAATTGACATCGGTTGAACAACTGTCTCACTACTTGCAAACTACATATTCAACAACGGGAAGTCGCATCAAGTATAAGCTCACCGTATTTCCTATCCTTTTCTAGGACAATCTGTCTTTTACCACTTCTATTTCTCTTTCTCTTTACTTCTCATCTTTCTTCTACAAGTTAGTTTAAGAGAAAATGGCACCTCCAACAGCAATTGATATCGAGGGTGTACTTGATACCGAATCTATCGTCTTTCCCGATCCACTTACTGTCAATGGAGTTTCTGCGAGACGTGCAAAGGCTGGACTATTTACTGCAGGTGTAGCAGCCGTTACAACTAGTGATCATTTTAAAAGCCCTGTTGGTATATCTTTTCTGGAAAAGATGGTCATGTCTAATGAGTCATAGTCAACATGGAAACCAAAAGCAAAAAGATTTGATCGTAAGTTAGTCTTTGAACCAGGTTGTATGCCTTCACTAATCACTTGTAGATCGTATCTCTCTCGAAAGTCGATCAAGAATGCCATCGAACTTGAAGGGTGCAGCCCAATACTTGAAAACCCCTGGGATGATTTCTCTTGGTGGAGGTTTACCATGTCCCGAATATTTCCCAATCGAAGAAATATCCATCAAAGTTCCTACAGTACCTCATTTCTCGGAAAAGCAAACAAAGGATTCTGGAACTATCATAACTGCAGGGAAATATGATGTATCGGAAGGCAAAGGAGCATATGATTTGTCCATCGCGCTCAATTATGGACAGGGTACTGGATCTGCCCAAATGCTTCGGTGGGTGACCGAGCATACCGAAATCGTTTGCAATCCACCTTATGCAGATTGGGGTTGTGCTCTCACTGTAGGAAGTACCTCGGCTTTGGAACAGACATTTCGCATATTCTGTGAAAGAGGCGACTATGTGTTATCTGAAGAATATACTTTTGCTTCTGCTGTTGAGACTGCAGCTCCTCTTGGCGTAAAGTTTTTGGGTGTCAAAATGGATGCTGAAGGTCTTCTACCAGAAGCCTTAGATGAACTTTTGAGCAATTGGGATGTAAAGGCCAGAGGGGCTAGAAAACCATTCGTTCTCTACACTGTGCCTTCCGGACAAAACCCTACCGGTGCAACACAAGGCATCAAAAGACGGCATGCAATCTATAAGGTTGCTCAAAAGCACGATTTATACATCTTAGAAGATGAGCCTTATTATTTCCTTCAAATGCAACCATATACAGGACCAGATGCTCCTGATGTTCCCCCACCAGCTAACAATGAGGAGTTCCTCAAGACTCTTATTCCAACTTACCTAAGCATGGATACTGATGGAAGAGTTATGCGAATGGATTCTTTCTCCAAAGTCATTGCACCCGGTACCAGAGTTGGATGGATTACCGCTTCCGAACAAATCGTCGAGAGGTTCGTTAGATCCAACGAGAACTCCAACCAAAACCCTAGTGGAATATCCCAAATAGTTCTCTACAAACTTCTTGATGAAAGCTGGGGACATGGTGGTTACCTTCAATGGCTCATCAATCTTCGGTTGCAATATACTAAGCGCCGAAACGTTATTCTTGCCGCATGTGAGAAATTTTTGCCCAAGGATATCGTAAGCTGGAATCCTCCAACTGCCGGCATGTTTGTAAGTATTTCAAGGTTCTTTTAAAGACGGAATTATCACTAATAGAACTCAGCTCTGGCTTAAAGTAGACTGGCACAAACACCCAGCCGCCAAAACCAAGCCTATCCAAGATATTGAACAAGAAATTTTCCTCGCCGGTATCGACGAAGGTGTTCTCATTTGTCCAGGTAGTTGGTTCACAGCTGAAAAGAGTGACTTTGTACCAATAGATATGTTTTTCCGCGCCACTTTCGCAGCTGCATCGGAGACAAAGATGACGGAGGCCATTGAACGATTCGGCGTGGCCGTTAAGAATAGCTTTGGAGTTGAGTGAAGGGGGTTCTCTTGATTGCATAGTTGCGAGGCGTTTATATAAATCTTGGGTTAGACAGTCTGTTGCGAAATACTGGTATGACCGGGTTTTTGGGGGCCATGACATAAAAAAAACGGTGATTTATACAATATTTAGACCTTAGTCAATCAAGATGATCTAAGCATAAAGTTCAACATGAATGTCAAGGATGTGATCCACTGACAGGGTGAATGAAGAATCTCCTACTTCGCTCTTTCTGTTCCTGTACAACAGTCCATGATCCATCTCCCGGTGCTTCTTTGAAATTGATTGAAAAAGTGGCATTTCAGCGATTTTGAGATGCATGCATGCAGCCATACTTTGCTCAAACCTGTTGCCTATCGTTTGCATGTCGTTTACTTGTAACATCTACCGGTGTTGTTTCTTTAAAAGATGGATAACATTACTTCTCGAGGTTCTCGAAATTGACAGATGGGAATTGAATTACATAGTGTTGGCAATGGGCAATGGGCAATAGGCAATGATAGGAAGTGAAAAATGATATGGATGATTATTCTGATTGTTGCTGTGAAACTTAGGGTTATTAGTGAGTGTCGTGTTTTGGGGGGAGTGAAAAAAGGGGGAAAGGGGGGGGGAGGGGGGGACAGTTTCTTATACAGTACATGGTTCACGTTATGTATCTGTGAATCGAGTCAAGTCCGGTTATGATACAGAGTGCGTCGAGCTTCGTTTCATTTCCAGTTATAGTGTAATGTAACGGCTCCGATGATGAACAAAGACTCAAGACTCAAGAGATAGTGCTGTGGGATTGGAAGATCAGCTTGGAAGATACTCTTGATATTGTCTGGCTATGGCTATCATGTTACATATAAAGTGCTTTGTTATTAGGTAGGTTCGGGATGGTACGAGTATTTCCTGAGATCTTTCTCGCTCGAGGGGAAATAGAATGAATTGTGGATTATCAGACTTGAGGGGAATAAAGAGATGGTTTTAATAGGAAATGGATCTAGATATATCTCGGTAATGTAAATACTCGAGTAGGTTGCGTGAGACATTAGATTTCGTAGCAAATTCACTAAAAAGTAATATTTGTTGCGACTTACTCGAGTAGAAGTTAATCTCTCCTAGCAATGCAAAATTCAGACTGTTCTTTGAACATGTGAGAGGTGAGCTAGAGCCTAGAGGTTACTACATATGATACCTATGTATTATGAAACCAAACCTCCAGCCAGCAACAATGCCATTTGAGAAAACATAACTAACCGCGGTAATGTGGATGTTCTTTTGACAAGTAACAATGAAGTAAACAAACAACATCGACAATATACATAAAAAAAATATATACCATCTCTTCTCAATAGACATAAAGTCTTTGCCTCAAGCGTATCTGCACCAAAACAATCTTGGAACCCTAGGACAGAAAATGCACCAGACACCTTACCTAAGAGAGAATAGAGATAGATAGATACAAAAGTTTTGGTGACTTGATCTCTGGGTCAAAGGTTGGATATCCATAGAAATTTCTCCTTTTCCTCATCGTACTGTTAAAACTTTCGCAACTGTCCACTAACAGCCAAAGCATTCCGCGATGATCTAGTTCTCCGAAGCGCTTATGGAATTTTGAAGCCGTCAAGGTTCTTGTGAAGTTAATTGTGTAGGAAGGAAAGGTAAAACAAGGGTGAAGGCGAGAGAAAAAGTTTAGGGGAAGTGAAGACGAAGCGAAGGGTCAGTAGAAAATATCCGTCTTTACGTTTATGAAAAGAAATAAACATGATAAAAGACGAACCACATCGACTTCGAAGGACTTTTGCAAAGTATAGTCTCGCCTTAAGTTGAATAGTTCTTATAAACGAACTTCATACATCAACATACTGTAATATTTGAAATTATATTCTTCTATAAAAACTAGATAATAAATAATCAGGGATGACGGACAGACAGTAATAACTGGTATAATCGACGACAACTACTCGTGAGTAGATGAGATAGTAACACTCAACAAAAGGGAGAGTTTGACATCGATTATTTGAAGTGTGGATCGTTCCTCAAAGCTAACTACGATATTGGAGATGGAGTTTTCTTGACGCAATGATGGTTTGTGGCTGGTACCCGAGTTTGTTTTGCTATAGCTCTGCTTGAAGGGCTTTTATATGTCTTTCTACTCAGTCGATAAGAGTGAATCCCGAGGATTATTATAGTTTGTGTTCCGCGTTTACTCCTCTTCTTGAAATCACGTTGATAGCTCGGAGAGAACTAGTAGGAAGAGATGGTGTGAAAGGTTATATATATACTTGACGGGGCATTTGCTCTAAAGGTATTGAAAAGTCGGATGGCTCCGATATGAATTCCAAAATGAAGACTTTATAGATGAACATATTAAAAGCTATTATATAAGTTGAGACTAAATTAAAATATCTAATAATCTAGATTGTAATCCAACAATAAAATAACTTTTAATTCCTGACTATATCTTAAACATTATTTTGTACTAAAATATTGAAACGATTTCAATCATTAAATATATTTCAAATAATAAATTGTGTGAAATGATTACAATTGTTTTCAGAGATTGAAAGTATTTCGAATATTGGAATCTCTCTAATTGGTCTACAATCCGGACTATTGGATACTCTGATAAGCTCCTAGTTATGCCCGCTATAAGCAACAACCAAAGAGGAAAAAGGACCTGATTTGGATATCATGATGAATGAGCTTGACGGTTTTACTATGTACTTATAATTAGTATGCTCAATATCACTACAGGTCATGATTAAATACAGTTTAACGCTCTATCATATACTCGAGTATCTTGAGTTGAAATGGCGGCAAAGGACGAGAATAACAATCAATGAAAGGAGATGGCGATGGAAGATTTCAAAACGACGTATGACACTTAATGTCCCTCGACAGCAACAATGCCCGTCATCATCCCAATATGACTTTCCGATGGCTTTCCCACACTGAAACTTTCCATCTCCATAAATCTGACAATCATACAGCACTACTCAGTCCCCATCAATACTACTCGAGGTACAAAATTTAACGTTCTATAGCCATAATATCGAGGTCCCAACAGAAGAAGTCTTCTCCCGCGTATGTAGACAAGTGAATCCAGTCCACACCCAGTCCATCCACCCCCGACAACCATCTGTTCTTGCACATATAAATTGAGCCATAGCCTAAAGATGAACCCCACGCACTCCACAAGCAACAGTAACGTCAGCAACATGTGTGCAAGCTACTTGCCCATTCCTCTACACCGATCCGAGTCCCTGATTCTATGTGGTAGGGTAGATCTGAGATAAACTCGGAATTTCGAGTGAGACTGAACGAACGGAAAGAAGATAGGCAATGGCGATGAAGATACTCGAGTATATAGCGACAACAATGAATCTTTCGCACCTCCTCCACAAAACATATGTCTTACTTCATATTCGTCGAGACCCGGGTATAATATAAGTTAGAGGACCTCGAGAATAGGCGACCTTAGTTAGTCTCTTAGTTGTAGTCAGTCATGTCATTCAAATCCACTACTAGCTGCAGGACATAGGATTTCAACTGATACCGCACCATCTTGAATGCTTACTCGTAGGTCTATAGATGGAGTGTTTGGAGGGTTTATATATGACCACTGTGATTTAATATGACTATCAACATGATCGACACAATTTTGAAAAAAAAAGAAAAAAGGAATTCACTCTTCACGATATTGCCTTATGACATGAATATTCGTGAAGGAAATAATACAGTGCATTCCGAAGACAACACCCACCTCATATAAAGGTGTATTGCGTCATTTCTATCCTCGATACAGTATCAAATGTTTAAAAACTGTACTTTCAAGCTTTGCCCCACGTACAACTCATCGGAAACTGGAATGAAATTTAGCTTTCTGTGTTATACCCATGCTTCCTGGGTCTAAAAGAATATAGATACTTAATATGCAAAACATAGTACAATTGCAAAACATAGTACAATCGCCGACGACAAACGTGAAAATAACCAAGGACCCCGAGAATAAATAACAACATCTAACTACTCCCTCCGTAGTTCAGCAACAATGATCGGTCATTCACCATCCACTCCTCACGACACCTGTTGCTATACGATTAGGAACCTGGTGAAACCTGAGGAGAATCCAGAGTATTATACCAAGTCTCACGCTCACTGAGCAGTTTTCGCATCCGTCTTAGTACCCATATAGATCCCCCGCTCTCACAAGTCTCTCTTATATCCCTACTTCAATAACTTGACTCCTAAGACTATTCAAAAACAGTAAATACCATCCCATAAAATTGTTGTATTGAATCAGTATTACTTGATACTCTCATTACTTCACCTAGATTCCGCCCCCTATCCTTCCTATCCCTTAACCTCCCATCTCTCACCCCTATATTCCACAAACACCACCTACAATCCTCCTTCCTCTCCCCCCTCTCCTCCCTCCCCATATAAAAGACATCCAAATAACTCCCAACACACACCTTTCAAATCAACGCACATCCAATCTTGATCATACATTCCATAATTCGACAATCACACTTCGAAGGAACCAGACTCCATTCAATCCCTGCGATTTATTTCGATCCCGGAAGAGATGAGACGATACTTACGCCTTGAGTATAGAGTATATTAGAAATATCGAAATAGAAATGTCAGTAAATTTCTTGATCAACAATGAACCACCAACGTCAACATCAACATCAACCATCGTAATCACCAAATCCCATGAATAATTGTCGATAAAACCCACCGTCAAATCCAAGTAATCATTCATTTCATCTCACCTCTCCCCTCTCCCCTATCCCTATCCCTATCCCATATCCCCAAACAACCCCAATTTCATAATGCCACACCTCAACCCACCCACCACTCACCTACCACTCACTCACTACATTGCAGAATCACCCAGCCCGTATACGTGAATAGAAGTTCAAGTAACACAGTAACACAGCACTCGAGTATACCAAAGCCCAATCCCACAACCCAAACATAACCCACAGATGCCATCCCAAACACAATCTTTCTTTCTTTCTTCGCCTCAAACCCAGAATCCAATAAATCAAACCCCTTCTCCCCACCCCCTTTCGTCCTCAACTCCACACAATTGCCAATACGATACCCACCTCAAACCTTCAAAGAAAAAGTATCATGCTTCAACTTAACTACCGGTATTCATTTTGAATGAACACCTACCTGTATACCGTATACCCGCACTACTATTGGAAAGAGAGATCGGATTATTAGATTATTATCTTCTTTTGAACCTTTATAGACGATTTGTTTGATCTATCGTCTTGTAGCAGTGTAGATTAATCCAGCTACTAACAGACCATAAAGCAAATAAAACGGAACACTTGACCGGCTACTCAGCCTATGTAATTGTATTTTGTTCAATAGTCATGCGAGACAAAAATCAAATCCCCGAAATTGTCAAAAATCTGTCTCGTTCTTTGTAAATCGAGAGATAAGCTGAGATAGTATGAAAGCTTCAGCTACAAAGAAGAAGAAATTGCTGGCGCAAGTTATTTTGCTCAAGGTCCACTGTCCGAGGCAGATATTGATATAGGTGTCTTGCAGGTACGCTTTGGATCTATACCACAGATTGGCTATAACTCTGACATGGCTCTACAGTACTTGAAGTCTGTCCTTGGACGAGAAAGTCCCAGTACTATTCCTCTCTTCTAGAAAAATAGTACTTGTAGATCTTATCATTAACAACAAAACCAACGAGAGATAATTTGCTAGTTCACCGTGGTTTACTGTCTATAACCTGCCAAGAGGCTCTGAAGTCCTGCACCAACCAGGCACTAGTCTAATGACGAATGATATTGATAACAAACTTACAAAGAACTGTACATTTCATCTTCCTGTGATCATATCACTTGAGATATATCCGTTTTAGCATCCAACTTATATCTTCCTCGTCTGTCAATGTACTCCCTTATTTTGTCTCGTCTCTCAAGTCCTTGCAATGCCTACTAACAGCGCAGATGTGTCGTCAATGTCATTCCCTATCCATGCTCAAATAAATCTAACACGTCCAAGATTCCAACCATACCTACTACCGCATCAAGTCACTAAACCTTGATGAAAGCGTAGGTAGGTGAGTGACATTATAGCTGTGCAGCTGCAGATGATTCCCAAGGTTGAACTACAACGAGCGATCCAGCATAAAGTTCAATTTTCTCCTCCTTTGCTCACTGGGCATGCCAAGGTAGAATTGGACCTTCCAGTACCCTATGATAGGAGACCCGTTCGATAATGCCTCTCTCCATCCCCATCACGAGTTGCGACTGCCCACCCACCGTCAATCCAGTGAATCCACCATATAAATTACTGTTCCCCATAAAAGAAAAGCCGCCAATAAGAATACAAATATTCCAAAATACTTTCCCTTTGTGGGGTCAATTTCAAGTCTTCAAATTTCATTGGTCAAGTTCCACTTCTTTTCAGAGCTATAAACCCTAAAAATCTACCAAAAAGAAGATGCAAAATAAAAGCAAAAAGAATAAACGTCTCCCTCGGGTGGGCTTGAACCACCAACCTCTCGATGGTCTGCAAGCTTAAATTAATTCAAGTAACAGTCGAACGCGCTAGCCAATTGCGCCACGAGGGATTTTTTTATATGGTGGAAGGCAAATGTTTCACTACATATTCGAGTTGAGTTGAGCACCCCATGAAGATCTAACGATAATGGTGGGGGCATTAACCCCTTCATCCATCCACTCGAGCCACTTTAGTTGTGGCACACCAAAAAAGTTATACTTGTATGCCTCTTTCTTGGCATTGCTTGACACAAAATATAAATTTTTTGAAATTTTTCTTAAAGATTTTTGAATGCCGAAATTGATCTTTTGGGTCTAATTCTCTCGAATATTACGGGATCGAATTAGATACCCAAATAGGCGATGCCTGGCCTAGTAAGTATTTATCAAATTTTTCAATACCCTTAATTCAAGTCGAAAATAGCATTCCGCGGTTCTATCGCATAGTGATCACTCGAACTTACGATCCTTCCATTGCCACACGCATATATAATTCGAACGTCCTTTGGTGAATATACGACGAGTGTTGAGTAAAGATATAGGAAAATGTCAAAATACCCATCTAAATAATCCCATATATGTCAATCACCCCACCAAAAACAAAACATCCTCCCTCTCTTTCCACTCCACTCCACTCCACTCCAGCACCTCGAAACACTCTTCTTTTCTTTACCCTATCCTCTCTAACCCTAGACAGACCGCGAATCTCTCCCTCCCTCAAACTCTTCCTTCCACACTCATTCACACTCACACACACTCACACCATCGCATTACATACACCCTCCAACCCCCATCCCGCAAAACCCAAACCCACACCAAACCCACACCAAAACCAAAAAGTATGATCACAGGAGGTATTGAACCACACCCGATTCGAACGGATAACCTTTCGATCTGGAATCGAACGCGCTACCGTTGCGCCAGCGGTCCTTAATCACACGGTTGAATATGAATTTCCCTCTTACCACCTCCCTTAGAACCATTTCCAAACTCCATTCTCAACATATTTCCACATGCACGATGAAAATTCGAAGGTGGACCCTCTCCTCCCCGGCCCACCAAGACAGGCACCGTATATCATGATCAAAAATGTGCTTCTCGGACATGATGAATAAGAATTGCTTTCTTAGCTCAGTGGTAGAGCGGACGATTGCAGTCGTTTGATTTAAGCTATTATCGTCAGGTCAGTCGTTCGAACCGGCTAGAAAGCTTTTGTTGCGTTGCCATGGTATGTCACATACTTTTTTGATTCTTTTTGGTGAGACATGTGATCAGGGTATTTTTTTGGGTATTCTTTTTTCTGGGGGGATACAGGTTGTGCATAACAGTAAATGTGAAAGGCAGAGATTGGGGATAGTATTTGCATAGCTTCATTTCCTATGGAAGAGTATTTATCTATTTTTGCTCAAATGAAATCATTGGAATTTGGATAGTCGTAGGCGCGGCACTACTTGTCTACCGTCCGTTACGCTTGTAGAGTGACCTTTCCTACCCTCAAAACTTTGATTCTCATTGTAAATTGCGGATATTTATTGTATCACCGGGTGCCTCGAGCAAGATTATACCTAGCTAAAGCACAAGTATTGCGTAGAATTGTTTCAAATTGTCTCTCTACATCTCCCAGAGCATCCCAGCAAACTAGAAATGAAATCGACTTATTTTTACACCATTCCAGTATCCATCCATCTAATCCCAACACCTTGCCAAAAAGACCACTTTGACATTGAACTACCTCACATTTATTCTTCTCCTAAAACGCCATGCAACGCTACCCGTAAATTTGAGTTTCATCCCTTAATCTTACAATTGCTGCCTGTACAGCCACAACCCTCCTACTGCATATCCCTCAACTGCTTCGTCGCATAAGCTGCTCCAATTGTACTAATCGCTCCAATAAACAAACAAACACTTATAGCATTTGGTCCTTCCGTCCCATGATGTTCTCCCTCCTTTGCATTTTGTGCCAACTCGGGACTTTTTCCTGGTTCCAATATACTAAAGACAATCATACTAATGAAAGTTCCTATAAATTGCGGGATCGTAGTGTAGATGTTCAGGATTCCAAAGTAGATCCCAGAGAGTTCGCCTGTAGATGCAACATCTTCTTTTTCCCCAGAGGGGCCATGTTCGAGACGGAGTAAAGAGGGTGATGAGGGGGAAGTGGGTGACTCAAGTTCGATATCGCGGTCGGTAGTGGAGAGACGGCTATAAGAGGGTATTCCACTCATTTTGTTCACTTCGACGCCAAGAAAGGCATATGGTGCCCAAGATGCAACAGACCATGGTCTAAGAGAGATTAGTTGATGGTAAGTCAGAGAGATATTAGAAAACTCACAGTCCACAAAACGCAATTAATGAAGTTGCAAATCGGAACGAGGACGCAAATGGTGCTAAGAACATAGCTGATGAGAACATTAAATGTCCCACGAACCAAGCACCAAGAAGGTCTGGCTTGTATTTATTGTATGTCTGCACAAATCGAGCAATGCTTGCCGGTGGTCGCTGAGTGAAGTTATCCTCATCAGGTGACTTAATTATTAGTGGTAGTAGGAATGATCCGAAAGATGACACAAATGAAAACACGACGAGAGACATGCTTCCAATTCTTCCAATATCTCCCAAAGCATCCTTAGACTCTTTGATCTCATGTGGAGCATCATATCTAAAGTACGTTTCTCCAACGAATGTGGTACCATAGAAAAGGAAAGGAAACCATCCAATCCAGCTCCAAAATTGACACCATAAGATAGCCTGGATCTTCGGCGGAACTGACATTGTTGTTCTATATATTTGTCGAATAATTTTGAGTATTCCAGACTGAGAATCAGAATCTTTGCTAGAGATTAAAACACGTTCTGTCACGGCCCATGATGTGACACCCACGCAAAATATGAGTGCAAAAGCCGCAATTAAAATGAGCTTCTTGAATTGTGTGTCACCCATCGAAGGACCAAACCAAGCGACGAGATCAACGGTGCCAATAGCGTACCCAATCAAGTGACCCATGGCAGCCATTCTGCTCGCTGAAAGACGTTAATATTTTGAAAATCAACATTGAGAGGAAACTCACCCCATGCTGATCCTGCCTGTTGCTTTTGTATAGGTAATGTGTCTACGATCAGACTTCGACAACTCCATTGAACTATAACCATTAGCAAATGTCCCATAACACTAAGACTGGAATATCAAACCCACCAGCATTAATAGCGAAATCCACGGCATAAATTGCCAATACCGCCAAAAATATTGTACAAGTCTTATTGAGATCCTCTTCTTCTACAAAATGCGACACGATCTCTTTTGTCCATCCCAGAACCAACAAGCATAATGCGACAAGGATAGAAGCCCCCACCATATATGGTCTCCTTCTACCCCATTTGGAACGGGATCGGTCCGCCATTGCTCCCACAAGCGGCGCCATAATCAAGCCAGACAAAGGTCCCGCAATCCATACTAGTGAAGTCTTTGATTTCGTGAGACCGAGTGAAAGTAAATATGGTGTGCAATCTGTCCGAGTTAATCAATCAGTACTTGCTATAAATATAAGGCAATAGCTGACTTACAGGTCATTTCAATACCCCAAGTAAATCTGCATAACACATCAGTCAATGTAATTGTTCCCTGCTCCTTTCAAACAAAACCTACTGTAATCCAACCAACGAAAACGTCAACAATGCCATGCGCATCTGCTCCGTGCTCCCTTTTATTGCCGGCTGCCCACTCCATGAAGCCATATCTGCCTTACTTTCGATATACTTCTCGAAATCAAGATCTCCTCCCCTAAGAACCCCTTCACTACTCTCACCCAGAACCTCAACCACTCGACTACGAACCCTATTTCTCGATCGTCCCTGTCGTTCCTCGAATTCGAATTCCTCAGCTTGATGTTGCCGTTCGTCAAAGATCCCAATAGCAGTTTTAGTAGCCGTGTCCCCTCTTTTGAAATAAATGTGCTTCTGCCTCTCTTCTACTTTCGAATCCGAATCTGCCGCGTCATCATCAATATTCATAATTGTCATTTTCTTTTATATGCAAGTGCGCATACGGACTTAAAGACCAAATAGGAGATTCGTCTTGTGTGCCAATTGACAAGTACATTTATAAACATACGTACACGTACCTCCGTACAGACATAGAATTGCTTTTGATGAGGAAAGGGATGAATAAACTTACTTACTGAATGGAATTGGTAAGGAAAGGTCTCACATGTTACTTCCTATTTGATTTTCTAAGATACTGTACTCCAATTGTAACACGCAATGAGAATTGGACGAAGTGAAAGTGAAATGTAACAGGAAAGTGCAAAGGGGGTAATAAAGTTGACATTGACAGATGGCGCCGATGCAATAATCTCTTACACACATAAGGCTCCGTGTACTCACTCAGCCTTTTTTGTATACAAGGGTCATTTCCTACATGGGATAATCGCTCAAAATGTTTCTATTTATATGAACAGAATGGGTTTCATCAAGAGTGGATTCCAATATCTCATATGAAGAATACTTGAGTTGTACGAAAAGTGATAAGGCTACATCTGCTAGGGTACATGGATGGAATAGTGCATGCTTTTTATTGGGTATAAGTTTAGTAGGACCTACCTAGCTTCCGTAGAGTCTAGACCCCCCCGGGAACTAGCAATCACAAGGCTGACACTTTTAACTATAGCTTAGACATCTTATCTTCCAAATCTTTAACCCAGCCTTCTACAACTTGCATATTTCCTCCCATGACTGTTTCGCCTTGTTTGATTGCTTCCTCAACTTTCTCTAATCCTTCTTGCCATTTCTTGATATCGTTTGACATTTCGACTTGCCTTTGCTCCACTATATCCAAGTTCTCACTGGCTGTGGCAGCATCTGCATGGATAGCTCGCAATGATCGTAGTCTGTCCAGTAAAGAAGGTAAAAGAGGTGCGAGATTCTCGATCGTAGGTAAAGTCCCATAAAGCGCATTTATCTTCGAAATCTGCTCTGAATCGTCTTTATCCTCCGAAGCAATTTCTTCTCTGGCTGATTTTAAAGAATCTTGTGCAGCTTTGGCCGATTTTCGGGACTCTTCTAGTTTCTCGGCTTCTTGTGTCAATGTTCTAACTCTTCGGCTTATGCTATCAAGAGATGATGGTGTTGACTCGGTAAGGATTGAGACTTGTCTTTCGAGGATGTCGAGAGTTGGTAATACGGCTGTTGAACCATTAGTAGAATCCATCGTGGAGTTGAGTCCAAGAACTTTTTCCAGAAGTGCTAATCGCCCATCGAAATCCGCTGCTTTCGCCAAAGCATGACTTTGTTGGTATGTAGGCGCATATGTGACGGTATACGTAGAAGGTTCTCCGGTTCCTTGTGAAGTTTGCGGTGGCCCGTTTGCTTTGATGCCTGTCCCTAAGTCCTTCGCCAATCTTGCTCCAGCACTTGTGATTTGGTCTCCTTGATTGACGGATATTCCATCCAATAATTTACTCAACGCAGCAATATCATCCACGTCGTTCGACTCTCCGTCCACTCCGGTGTCCCTTTTCTCTTGGGTTCTCTTTCCGTATTCTTCCTTGACTTCCTCAATCTCACGTCTTAATCTTGCAAGCTTACGTTCCAAGCTTTCTCCATCATCATCATCATCGTCACTAAAGTCGCCAAATTCTTCTGTTCCATCTTGTCTTTTTCTGTGCCGTCTCGAAGAAGCTTTATATGATTTCCTTTTCGCCGTCACTCTATCTGAGAAGTCTACGTCGCGTGCATCTATTTGAGCCGGAGAGAAATGCGAACGCGCCTCATCGGGATGTAATCGTGAACGGGAAATACCTCCAAGATCATCGTCGTCTTCATCAAAATCCTGATAGGAAGAAGAGGTCGATTGAGAACGAGGTCTGCCAGTCTAAATATTGTCAGAAGTAGGGAGGTGAAGGTGTAGTTTAGAGTGACTTACAGGAGCAGTTGAATTGTCCTCTGTTAACTCAGGGGTTTCATAAATATCTGGCGCTGAATCCTTGAACATTCTGGTCAGATATTGAAACTCTCATAAAGCCACCGAAAACATACCAAATCTGGCAATGCCGCATATTTTCTATTAAGGGCTGCCATATTTTGGAATATTTGTCTTCAAGTTGTCTGGATGATTCTGATTCCGATGAAGTAAAGTAGAGTCAGTACGCTTATTAGTAGCTAGAGCAACTGCGGAACGCGGAACCACTTTATTTGGTGGACCCCGCGCGGTAGGGGTCCAAAGCCCAGACCATTTTTATGATTTCAATAATCATTACCTAGCTATATATTATAAGTACTCGAGTAAGATAGAGAGGAAGATTTTGACTTCTACTTTCGAAAAGGAGAGACATGAAAGTACAATATTCACTTTACTGAACATTTGTTTTTACTCGAGTACTTATCTCACACGCCTTTCTTATCTCAAACCCTTACCTTACCTGTACCGCACGCGACGCGATCCTCGACATGTACCCTACAAAATTGGATCTTGATGATAGTAGGAAACTACAACCAAGACGTGCTGGACTGACGAAACATTATCGTCAACACCTATTGCAATCAGTTAATCGACCAAAGAAGGAAGGACAACCTGAGATGCCTTCTAAGGCAGGGATAGAAACAGGAATAGGAACAGGAACAGGAACAGGAACAGGAACGAAGACCCTTGCGAACAATGCTAATATTGTCAAAATATCTGGCGACGCCAGCGATGCCAACCCCACAAGATCACAGAAGCGAGAAGATAAGGGGTCGGACAAAGAGAATCAACTAAGGTCATTGGCTTCCTCTGCCATGAAGAATACAATTTTAATTGAGGATGATGATGATATTCGACTCCCCGATGACTCGGACGACGGTCCAAAGTATGCCGGCGACTCTTCCGACGACGAATTACCTTCAAGAGTCAGCGCGGATATGACGAAAACATCGTTTGGACCAAAGAAGAACGAGTCGAGTCAAACGTCTACTAAATCCCCGGTCCCCAGTCGAAAAAATACAAGAACGAAGCTATCTGAGCCAATGTCAAGTACTGGTGTTAAGAGAAAGAAGGAAGAGGATGACTTAAAACATGATCCAAAGGTGGATCTATTTGGCAACATGCAGAGTGGCAAGAAGAAGCTTAAATCATACATGCAGGTAAACAAGGAGCACGAAGCCCTCAAACGTACGTCAATCATACTGTTAACGTACTTTAACTAATGGTAGAATAGCTGGTGCCAATAACATATCGGTGAAGAAGTACGGGAAAAAGAAGACCACCACATATGGGAAGAAGCCATCGCCGGCTAAAGTTTTCAAAAATTACGGAAATAGTTCCCCGAGTCTGGTGAGCGATGATGGAAAGGAAAAACTCCAAGACTATACAACAGACACACCGACGAGAAAACAAAGTCCAATTAAAGGTGGCTTGATACGACCGGATTTCAGTGATGATGATTCCTTGGATTTGGATTATTTTACCAAATTACAATCGGGTTCCGCACCCTCACCAATACTATTCAAACAACTTCAGCGATACGACGATGATGATATAATGGATGGAGCGGAAGAACTGGCTAAGAGGCTAAATCCGGAAACCATTATTGGCATGGAACGTTTCGAGAGGGAAGATAGTTTAGATCTTGATGATTATATAGGATCTCGTTGTCCCATGTGCAACGAACCTGTGGCTGCTGAGGATTTGGAAGCTTTTGGGGAAATGAACACTCGGAAGCAAGAGAAATTCTGTCTATCTCATCAACGAAAGAGTGCGCTTTCAGATTGGGAGTCTAAGGGGTACCCAGATATCGATTGGACAGCTTTGGATTCTCGAATTGCCAGTCATCATACATTCATCAAGAAGATAATCGATGGTGCATCTTGTCATTCTCGTAGTGTTCTAGATGAGACGATCAGAGCTGGAAAAGATCGAAATTTGATGAAAAGTACCACGAATCTCATACCCGGATACTATGGTTCTCGAGGTTTACGTATCATTTCCGAAAATATCATGAACAAGTTCACGCCAAAGCTAAAGGAGAGAGCACCTATCGACCGTCTCATTGCAGCAAGAGGCCCAACTGCGTTCGTGGAATCAGTGGTCGTACCTGAAGTTACAGTTCTCTTGATCAAAGAAGATATGAACGTCGCGGATGAAGAAGCAAGGGAGATATTGAAAGAGAGTTGCGAAATGGGAGAGTTGGTTAATGAGGAGATCAAAGATGTTGTCAAGCTTAAGCCTAAGAAGAGGAAACAGGTTAAAGACAGCGATGGTGATGAGGATGAGGATGAGGACGAGGATGAGAATATTTTCGACTTTTAATTGCTTCACCCATAGCGCGTATTTTGGCTACCACTTTTCTTGCGGAGTTTACGAGCTACCTACCTAACATGTATTTTATGATGGGTCGATCATGTTGTTTTAAAAGGATTGCGATATATTGGTAGAGCAAATTGGCTATTGTGTTTAATTTGAGTCGCTGTTGAGATGGAGGAGATAGAGGGAAGAGAATACACCTGAGCATTTACTTGTAGATTGTATGCTGTACGAATACGGAATATACATAGATATAGATATCCATTTGAGAAACTACCTACCTACTAGAGTAGTAGGTATACGGTCCAACTCACACAATAAAAACCACATTTAAGAACCAACCTCCATCTACTTGTACTCGTAGCCCAATCAAATATATACTAGGTAGTGTACTGTACTACTGAGTGTTATAGTGGGGCAAAGCTCGGGAAGGAAGCTCACGTAGTGGAGCCAATTCTTCGCCTAATTAAGCAAACGCAAATATGCTACAAAATTTTCACTCACAGTTGCGGTACTCTCAAAGCTTTTGTAATATATACTTTGAATCGGAGATGATTATATAAAAAACAGCCAGCCCGGCTAGCTCAATCGGTAGAGCGTGTGACTCTTAATCACAAGGTTGGGGGTTCGACCCCCCCGTTGGGCTTTACTTTTTGGGTTGGAGTTTGTATTTTTTTGTGATTTTTGGGGGGGTTTTTGGGGGGAGGATTTTTGGGGGGAGGGATGGATGGGATGTATGAGACGGGGTTTGTGGGGGGTGGAGGTGGAAGGTTATTGGTTTTGCAAGAAGGGGAATATAGGATAGGATGTATACCGATATAGTGTTGGGCTTGATTGAGGTGCTTGCTACGCTCTGGATGTGAACTTGATAGATTATTGTTTTATACGGTAGTTGATTTTTCTATATTTTGTTCATGGCGAAGGAAGGAAGGTGCAATGAATGGGTAGTTTTCCTCCCGTGTCGTGTTGGCGTCTCGATTTGCACCAGTTGCGAGAAGATTCCTCGGTTGGATATACTCGTACATACCGTGTATATCTCTCCTGTATACGAGTAGAGATATATAGTAAATCAAAGCAAAGTTGCTACTCGTCATCGATGCTCGGTGCTAGGAGGAGGAGGAGGAGGAGTAAGTGGAGTTGTGTTTCTATCAACAATTCCGCTGCAAGGTTTTAATCTATAAGTTCTTGTCTTCAATATTCATCTTATGATATGATACTCGTATATGTTTTATTATGAAGTGTTCGATATAGAAAGGAATCTCGTAAATATAGGCAGATATCCGATATGATTTTTATCTTGACGAACTGTGTATATATTGTGTTGTACAGTACTGTACAGGGTCTCCGATGGTCTGGATTGCAGTCTATATCCCAAGGTTTTTGAAGTTCGAAAGACTATAAATCGTCAAGGCAACTAATTTAAGGTCTTCCAAGTAAATTCAATATTTTGGATATCATCTCAATTACAGTCAACGTCTCAAACGTTCTCTCTCCATCCACCCCCCCAACAGAATCAAAACTTCAAACAAAACTCAACACCAAGAAGAAAATCCAAATCCAAATTCTCTTGATTGCCGGACTAGGATCCCCGTTCAAAATTCCAGATGTATTACTATACAATCAAGATATATCTTCTATTCATCACTGTGAAAGGCCGTTGCTGTATAAATATCTCCCCTCAGAATCAAACCATCTTATTTGCTAGTCACATCGTGGAGACGAATACACACATACTGCTATACTATTCCATATTCAGTATGGATATGAACAACGGCGAACATGTTGGTACCATCTCGTCTCATATTGTACATCTCCGATGCGTGAAGAGTTCACGTACTGACCTATAGTAAGGATATGGGGATTGGGTTAATTCGGATGCAATGGGAGTGATGTATTGTTCAGAGATATTAGCTGTACTCGAGCATTGCGGAGAATGTGTAGTTTGGGGATGAAAAATCTGGAGATATACTTCCATTGAATACTAAACAATGGCAAGTACTCGTATATGATCTGTGTTCAAAATGTGATGTGATATGATTTGTATAACAGCAAACTCTACGACAAAAGCCAAAAGCCAAAAGCTAGTGTAAGATAAAGTATGCCAGTAGTATCAATTCACAAACTCACTGGCTTGACATAACATGATCTGCTGCTATATTCCTTTTCTTCTTCTGCTCTTTTCAGGATCTGATACAGAAAGTTACGAGATGAACATCGGGGGAAGATGGCGATATATATATATATAACTCTGATACGGTGATGCCACTGGAAACCTCATTCCCCAGATCTCATATCTTATGTGCATTTTGCTATACATTCTCAACTTATGATTCGCTCCAATCGAATTCCAAAACCCAAAACCCAAAACCCGGAACCAACATCTTTCACAACCCAATCCTGTACATAATCAAAAAAAACTCTTAAACTATGAGTCTATTCCAGGCCGACCCTAACACGCCAATTCATGTCATGACAATAAGATATCTAAACAAAGTATTCAGCTGAGTATCATGCACTCACTTCTATTTTTCTCCCCTGTGCCTATATCATATAGTAAGTATAGCTGCGTAATTTGGCGTATATATATGGATCTCCGTCGATAACTTGCCGTTTCGAAGTATAGTTAGTGAGAAACAGAAAGGCACCATTCTTGAATGTAGGAAATGAGAAGATAAGACATGAGCAAAAGTTTGCTTTAACCATATCAGTGATCACAAAAAAGGAGAATGAATGTCTTCCATCAATCTCACCCACAATTTCCACTTCAAAAATCAAGAAAGAAAGTATTAATCTATACTAGGTAGAACCATCGAGGTCTGGGGAGACATTGCCATTGTGTACGAGTAAGTGGTTTCAAGGAAACATCAATGAAGAAGAACACCACACAGTGCCAAGAAATATTTTATAGAACATATAGAGTATATCTCTATGAATTATCCGCCCACATCTTCAATCATTCCAACCTTTTTGTTTCTGTTCATCAATATGATGTGTACACTCGAGTATATCTCTATCCCGTCAACTTTCCCCGGAATTTCTCTTCATTCTCCTTATTTTCTTCTCTCCCTTCTAACCTCTTTTCTTCTCTTCTCTTCTCCTCTTGCTACAACAAAGAGTATATGGACTCATCACCCATCACCCCTACCCCTCCCCCCCAAAACAAACAAACAAATAAACAGACAAAAATTCCAGATCAATCTACTTGTACATCACTTCAGGATCAAGCAAGACTGACATCACATAACATACCTCACTAACAAACCTCTACCTACCTACACCCCCATAATCTCTCCCCTCTTCCTCTTCCTCTCCTCTTTTTCACCGTCATCTCACATCTCACATCTCACATCTCACATCTCATGAGTACTGTACATCCAATCAGATAATCAGAGATTAACACAAACGACACAAAAATACCACAAGACTAACACCCCTCATACCCAACATCCAACCTGCACCCTAAAATCAACACCCCCTCTCATCTCATCTCATCTCATTTCATCCCAAACCTCTACAACGATATCTCATTTCCATTCAACTCAACATCCCAACATCCCCTCTGCACACAACTCCCAACTCCCTACTCCCAAAAATCATACCATACCATACCATACATATACTCTCACCCATACCCTCTTATCTGTAACATTCATCTGTAACCTTCAGACAATAAAATTACACATCCTCATTCCCATCCCCATCCCAACTCCCAATTCCCACTCCCACCCACTCCCCTCAAAACAAACCATTAATTAATCAAACGAAACCACCACATATATCTCCATATCTCCAATATCAAGCCAGGAATTGGAATAAGTATCAATTTAAGGCACTAGCAGAGAACCAAATCCCAAAGAGACGATCCCAAAGAGACGGATTAAGTGCTTGGATATTTCACAATTTACACATCATATTTTAATTGAGCCAATCTCACCAAATATACCACATTCAAATCCCAATCAATCAATAAAATGATCACGCAAGAAAAAATCATGCAATGATTCGAATTTGCATTCATTCGCCATCGCCCGCGGAAATAGGTAAAGGTACTCAAGACCAAGACTAATACCCCTATGATAATCCATCCATCCATTCCAGTCAACCATCCCAATCATCCCATATCAGGAATTTAAAACCATGAACACAAAAAAAAAGCAAGCAGAAAGGTCGGTTCCCAATATCCACAATACCATCAAAGGGTATCGATACTAATCATCCAACCAAGACAACACATTTTTCCATCCATCCATACGGAGAGACACTGCCTGAAGACAACAACTTCACTTAACGAGAATTGTTCTTCTTCGCCGCAGCTTCTGTCGCCTGTCTCTCAATTTGTGCCGCTGCCTCTTCCGCTTTAACCTCTCTGACCTTCGCCAATACGACTTCCCGGAAAATTGCTCCCTTAGCTATCTTGCTCAAAGTCCTCTTCTCTCCAGGGGATGTAGATCCCGAAGCCGAAGATGAGCTAGTATTTTTTCTTTCTATACCACCAGAGATAGCATCGCTAGCTGCAGCGGTGGCATTTCCGGGGAGATCGGATTCTTCGTTGTCGTCTTCTTGCATCTTGAGCATTTCTATACGATTGGCGAGTTTGACCATTTCGATACCACGACGGAGACGTGCTTTGGCCATGTAGGCCTTGATTTCTGGAAGCAAATTGTGATCCGTGGCGTTCTCTCCGCTTAGCCATGGGTGTACGAGTGCTTCCTATAGAACTTTTAGACCCAAAGATGAAGGACATCATCTCATGAAAAACATACCTTGCTTGTGGATCTATCTTCTGCAACTGGTTGCAAGAGATGACCAATGAAATTCTTAGCATCAGCACTGACATCCTTCCAATATCTTTCATGGAAAATGACTTTTGCATTGCTGCACTCATCGATAAGATCTTGAAGATTCTCGCTTCGAAAAGGAGAGTAACCACAGAGAAGTGTGTAGGTAATTACACCCATGGACCACATATCTACAGGTTTTCCGTGACCCTTCTTTAACATCACTTCGGGAGCAGCGTAACCAAATGATCCAGCCATTGTTGTAAGGACTTCATCTTTTGAATCGAGCATCTTAGCGATACCGAAATCTGCGAGTACGAGGTCGGAATGAGGATCTTGAGTGAGGTAGAGTAAGTTCTCGGGTTTGAGATCTAGTTGTTGTTAGTCAACAGTAAATTCCAGTGGTCAGAAAACTCCTGCCTCTGTGAACGACATTGTTGTCGTGAAGGTAGTCCACAGCCTCGAGGACTTGTCGAATAGTTTGTGAAGCATCTTTTTCCGTAAACCTTCCTTGCTCACAAATTCGATCAAACAACTCTCCACCAATAGCCAGTTGTGTAACGATATAGTATTTGTCCTGCGACGAATTAGTTGTATTTCCCGAGCAACACAACAGTTCTGCTACTTACTCGAGATTCGAACCAATCCACAAACTTGACGATATGCTTATGCTTCATTCTTTGCAACATTTGGAGCTCATCATAAACCATTTGTTCATTTCCCTTGACATTCTTCTTGAGAATAATCTTCACTGCGACCTTTCCTGTAGGGCCATCTGCCTCTCTGACGATTCCATAGGTACCAGCACCGAGTGTTCGACCGAATTTATATTTGGCTCTACCAAATTATTAGCAAAGGTACTTCCGCAGATCATAATCAATAACTCACTTCTTATCATAGCTGTCTGGCTGACCATGCAGCTTATTGAGCATACCAGAGACTGGAGATTGAGAACGATGATGGTGAGTGCGTGTCATTATGACAAAGAGGTATGTATATAAGGATAGAGGAAATAAAAGCAAGGAGATAACCAAATAAGGAAATGGAACTGGAACTGTTTGTAAAAGTTTTTAGGTGTAGAGAAAAATACTTATTTTCATCTGCTAATACAGATGTTGTTCTTGATTATACTTCCTTCCTATCACCTCACACAGAGGGAGGGAGGAACTGAATGGAGGGGGGGGGGAATGTGCAAGTCAGACTCACAACTCATCGTGCCTGCTTCTTGGGGGATAGCTATGCTATGCTTTTGACAACCCTTCAAATCTTTGCTCCTTCCTCAAATGTCTTGTTTAAATGATTTTGTAAATGTGCGCACAAGATTGGATATGTCGATTTTGAGTGAACTCTATGTAGTTTCTTTCTCCTTTCACGTAGAGGAGGTAGAGGTTCAAAATGTTGTTGCGGAGATAGATGTCTTAGTGGGGCTGAACAGGCTGGCAAAAGTTCCCAAAAGTTCAAATGTTTACAGTATTGAAAATTGAATGGATGGAATATCCTAGATCATATGAGTGGAGTGATTGATATTGATATCAAAGGAGTGAAGAGTAACAATATAGAAGAAAAGTGACAAAGATAAATAATGATGAAAGGAAATATATAGATATATAAATATTGATAAAGTTTCTGTTTCTGTCTGGAAGCTCTTCTCTTCTGTTTCTTCTACCCTCCCTCAGCCGCAGCTCGCAGATAAGTAGTTGCGCAGTAATGAACAGCGGGGGGTAATTGGGTGGTCAGCCAAGATTCGTTCAAGTGTGGCTCAGATATCAAAGATCCAATTCTTTTTTGAGAGGAGTGAGACTCTGTGAGAGAAAGTGAACCCGCCTTATTAATTGGATACGAAAAAGTATGATATTATATGAGGAGGGTTTCAACGAAAAGAGTAAAAGTTTGGTAAATTTAGAATGTCTATCCTCCTCTTTAGTTTATATTAGATATGATCGTAGATGTTTAAACTAATTAGTATATAAATATTATAAACGGTTATAGATATTATTAATCAATTTAGTAACTTGAATATAATAAAATCTCGATTTAAGAATACTTTTTTAGCGACTAATATAAAAATATATCAAAGTATTCTTATATTAAATCCTCGAACTAAACTAATCTCAGAATGAATCTAGTCCAAAACTATCTAAATAGCTTTCAAAAACTATAATTATATTATAATCTGATTTGAATATATTAATTATACGAAATTCACTACTCTATTAGAAGAAGATCCTATTCTATTCTAAACCTTTAGAAATATATTCACCCCCCACCAATCAACCTATCGATAAGCTATCCCACTTATTCGAGCTTCACTAGCACTCTCCCCTCTTACCTACCCCTCTAGGCTCTAGTCTAACCCATTCAGCAATTATTAATAGCCTTATCATATCGCATCTTTTGTATCTTCGTATCTCAAACTCGAATTAAACATATGCAGGTTTCCATTCTTGATCTGCAATCTTTTCTACGAGTTGATCTTCCTGTCGACAACTCTACTGTGAGATCAACACAACATTGTCATTTCTCTAGACACCACTAGTTGCAGAACCAGTGCAGAATTAGTTGTACTTATTCTGTACCGGTCGGTATACATCATACATCACATCAAGTTATGGCTATGGGCATAGCAAGTAAACGTCTGGCCAAGGAGCTTTTGAAGGTATATACATACATCCTTTCTTATCACATCACATCCTATTCTACTCATAACAGCAGTCTTTACTCTCATTATTTCTTTCTTTTCGTCCTGTCTCTTCCTCCTTTCTCCCAACACCAAAAAGCTAACCCTACTTAGATCCACCAAGGTCTCCCACCAGGAATAGTACTCGTGTCCGCCGACGATTTAAAAGAATGGCTCCTTGATATCCGCGTCCTGGATAAGAATCCTCTCTACCAAGATCAAACATTCCGGTTAAAATTTAAATTCACAGCAAATTACCCAATTGGTACATCTCCCTCTCTCCCCAATCCCCCCCTCAAATCTTATTTACCTACCTCTTCCCCTCCACAAACTAACATCCCCTCCCAGAACCCCCCGAAGTGACCTTCTGCCACCTCACACCCACACCCACACCCACACCCACCTCCACATCAACCACCTCATCCACAACCCCCGCCACCCCACCCACGCCCTACCGACCCGTCCCCATGCACCCACACGTCTACTCCAACGGTATAATCTGCCTGGACCTCCTCGGAAGATCCGGCTGGTCCCCCATCCAAACCGTCGAAAGCGTCTGCATGTCCCTACAATCCATGTTGACCGGCAACACCAAGAATGAGCGACCCGAGGGCGATCGTGAGTTTGTCATGCATAATAAGACGCGCCCGAGGGATATCAATTTTTATTATCATGATGATGGGGTTTGAGGATGGGAGTTTGTTTGAGCATTAGGAGAGGAGAGGGGAAGGATAAAGTGGGGGGGGGGCGATCGGGATGTATAGTGCATGGAGGGAATGGTTTGGGGAGACGTAAAGGAGTGCTGTTTCTTGGGTGTGAGGAAGGAGGAAGAAAATGCAGGGACAAATGGCATAAACAACACATTGAATGAAGGCACGCACAAACAGAACGAGAGTGCATAAGCGCAGGGCTTGGGGATAAACAATTTGGTCTCCGGCATCATAGCAAGGCGTTTATGGGGCTTGGGTCTTTTTGGCACACCAAGAGACAGGGCATTTTATATGACAGAGTGACGCGCCTCGCAAATAGAGTATCCGAAGTAATTATATTATCAAGATTTGTCTCTCATTACTCATACACCCATCATGTCCATTCGAAGGCCATTTTAGCCCTCAAGCTTCGCTAATCATAATCCCCATTCCTAATAAAACATCATCAATCCTACAAAATCTTTGCTCCCGTCCCAGCCGCCTGACCCATCAAGAACTTCTTCAACGGCCCCATCGCATCCACAGCCCTCAACCCCAATGTCCTCCCCCAAACGATCGGTCCACTCTCCACACTATACAGCTTATGCAACTTATCCACCACCCCCAGTAACACATGATTCTGCATATACCTCTCTGAATTGTAGGCCTCCAAACTCATACGCACGCCAATATCCATTCCATGCTCCACCGCATAGCCAATCCCCTTGACTAAACTCTCGACATCACCCTGTCCTTGATTTAAACCTTGTCCTGCAAGTGGATGAATCGAATGCGCAGCGTCTCCTACGAGCGCAATGCGTTCCCCGATATATGTATCCGCGTGGCGCATTTTGAGAGGGAAGGATGCGATGCTGTTTTCTTGGACACCAGTGACGGGTGCGGGGACTGAGCCGGAAATGGGCGTGTGTTGGAGCCGCCATGATACTTCTTCTGCCTGGCCTGATGATTGTGTGTGCATGTATTTCAAATCGACAGTGCTTAGTCTAAAAGCTGCATTGACCATGGCGATGAAATCTTTCGGGCTGAGTCCTTTCAAAACAGCTGCATTCTCGGGTGTGGTGCTCCAAACGAGTGTTGCGTAGTTGCCTGGTAAAGGTAACATGGCCACTGGTCCCGTAGGTAAGAACCTCTGATATGCGATTTTCCCCACCTCGTGTTGTGCTTCCAGTTCCAATGTCGCTACTACACCTACACGTCCATAGTCCCATCCTCGACTCTCTATTCCTGCGAACTTCCTCACGGGAGAATTTGCCCCATCTGCACCAACTAGTAATCTTGCCGCGAGAACCTTCTTCTGTCCTTCCACCTTCACAATTGGCCAACCAGAGAAATCTCCCTCTTCGATTTCGTGTCCCAACTCAATATCCGCAACCTTCCCCTCCAAAATATCAACCCCTCCTAACCCCTCTATCCTCCTCAGTAACCCCCTCACTAGATTAGCATTTTCGTTCATATACGCCACCACTTTTCCCTCCCCCAGATCTCCATCCACCCTATTCCTCCCGTCCACCCCCTCAACATCAAACCCAATCCTCCCCCCACTAACCCCATCCCAAACCTGCATGGCCCCATACCCCTGGACCCTCTGCCCCTCCACCTCCCCCCAAGCCCCTATATCCTCCAGAAACCTCACACTCTTCGGTGTCAAACTACTACACCTATTTGAATATTCTCGAGCTTTTGGTTTCCAATTGAGCGATTTGGAGAGGGGTTGTGGTTCGATAAGAGCGAGACGGAGATTGCGGGTGAGGGGATTTGCGCCTAGGTTTCCTTTAGCCTTTCCTTGTTCGCGGCTACATATTTGAGCATGATGATGAATAAACCAGGAGAGAGGAAGAATACATACGCAAAGCAGCCACCAGACTCAAGCCCGCAGGCCCACCACCCACGCATACTACATCATAAATTTCTGGGGTAGGGGCTGGGGCGGAAGTTGAAGATGAAGTCGTAGGAGAACTATAAGATATAGAAGTCGTGGCGAAAGTCCGCATGCGTCTCGTACAAGTTTTGCATATATAAGGATTAAGTCGCCTTAGTGATGAATTGGAAGGTTTCATTTTAATATATGGGCGGGGGGGTTTGTAATATCGATTTGGAGTGAAGGAAAGAAAAATGAGGTGATATGAAAGTGAAAGCTACCCCTGCACTCCATCCAGTAGTTCAGAGCTTAATCTAGAGTCACGTGTAGATATAATATGGCATTTCAGAATTGGAGGACATTTAAGATGGAGATACATTAGCAAGTGGGTTGTAGGCTATTCAGGATTCTTTATTGGAATGATCATTTCTGTTGTCACATTTTCCGACGAAGGTACTGAGTACCTATGAACATTAGCGATGACAAGTCACTATTATCATATCACAGCGCGAATCCAACATCGATGCCAAATTGGGCATTTATGAATCTTTATTTTCTTGATTGGTTCTACTTTATTGCGGAGATAGATAAGAATTATGTACAACCATAACCATGATAATATGGCAGTGAGCCCAAATGTATTTGACAGCGCGTGCTGTCGCTATTGATATGCAATGGCAAAAAAGGGGTTTGCTAGAAACTCAATGAACGCCGGATAAGCAGCAGCAATCAACTGCAAGAGAAAGTAAATCTTCTGTAGCTGATTCTGGGAGATCCTATCCTTCTCATTCCCCCAGGTTTTCCACTTCCCCGAAGCCAGCCTGGAGGGTATGCAAGAGATTTCAACCATGCAATGCCGCGATCTGTAAATGCAATAATGAATAACTGTTCTATTGAAACACAAGCAATACAAAGTCTCGAAATTCGAATTCGTATTGGAGAAACTGTATTGAAAGTTTGGATGGGTCTATACTTTAGAATTCCCAATCATCTTCGTCTTTGATAGAATCGATAGCCCAGGCGAACTTCTCACGGAGAGTCTTAGAGAAGAATTTTTCGATCGGTACGTCAAACTTCTGGGAGAAGACGACAGTAAGACGTGGGTCTATGTAATTCTGGCAATCATTAGCAATATGCCTTAAAGTCATAAACGAGAGTTAACTCACGATTTTACTAGTACCGAGCGCAACCTCCTTGTTACCCTCTCGATCTTCACGCTTGAGAAGCATATTGGCGATTCTTTCGTCGATCTTCGTAATATTGGCCTCGAACTTATCGACACTGGGTCCCTTGCCTTCAGCTTCGACCTTTTTGGTCTTGTTTTCTTTTTTGAGTTTCTTCTCAAGGTCCGTGGCAACTTGGAGTCTTTCGGTAAGCTCTTTTGCCTTCATTTCTTTTTGCCCTTCGGCAACGAGCTTCTCGTTCTCCTTTGCAAATTTCTTTTCAATCTTTACACGCTCCTGGGCCACGAGGAAGGCTTGGTGTTCTAGGATCCAAGCTTCATCAAGCTCTTCATCCAATGCAAACCAATCAACACCCTTCTTCTTTTTCTGTTTTGGGTCAAGGTCGAGAATCATCCGCTTAAGGCGCCATTTCTGATATTTCAAACCCTTTACTGCATCATCCATCTTCTCGATTGCAGCCTCATGACTGGCGCCAACTGTACGCTTATGGTTACAAAGGATGGCGACCTTGCGATTGCAATCGTTGTATAGCTTGATTTTCTCTTGCATAGAGATGTCACTGTTCTTGAGTTTTTTTAGGAGATCCGACATAGTCCAGGAGGCGTTGTAAGTTCGGAAGACCTTGGCACTCAAACCTGGCATATAATTCGTCAAATGCTTGTTCAGTTGTGTAGTCTGTAACTATTAGTAGTGTTCCAAATAGAACATAGTGCTGTACATACATTGAGGCGGTCGAAAATGTCATCACCGTTCTTTTTCGGGGCCTTCTTGAAGATCTTCAGATTCTTGAATACTTGAGTGTCAACCGTTACCTCATCGTAGAATCGAATACTGTCCTTTCCCAAGAAGTCGAAAATGACAGTGTTCGGGGGCTTCAAAGTGACGTGCTCATATTTCAGCGAACAGCATCCAACAGTTTCGGCTTCATTCTCCGCATCCTTCTCATTACCAGCACGCAAAGCAAACTTATCAATAAGGTAGACTGCGGTAGCCCGTTGTCGATCAGCCATTAGTTCAGCATAAAGGTCTTGTGTGTAATCCTTTCGAATTCGATCAATATGCTCCTTCAACTCACGAGCCTTTTCGAACTTTTTGAAATCGCTCTGGCCCTTGATACTACTCTTGGCTGCAAGCATAACATACTTGTAAGCACCATTGATGTTTTCCTGCCACATAGCAAGCCAGGTAGCCTTGTTATCGTGTTGAATGGATTTCCACTTATGACCCTCAGGAGGAGAAGGAACAGTAGCTTCTTTGCCGATGTTGATTATAATTTGTTCAGGAGTGACTCTGAATTTGACTTTACCAGTCTTTGGATGCTCGCCACGACCACGGAATAGTCCAGGTGGCTCGACACGAAAATTACCCACGTCTTCTTTGCGTCCATCCCAGATGCAAGTCTTATATGGAGCTTCGGCCTCATCCTTAACTGCTTTCTCGGCCTTCTTCTCAGCGGCGGATCGAGCCTTCCTCTCGGTGCTCTTGCCATCGTAATACTCGAAAATTGGCTTGAAATCGAGCTTGGTGAACTCCTTGATCGCGACCTTGTTCCCTTCTTTATCCTTGGCACCTCCAGTTTTCTTGACCGAATCGGTGAAATCCTTGAAGAAGTTCTTCTGGAAAGTTGGATTTTCGACATTGTGGGCTGAATTCAACATAGCACCAAAAAAGCCCGCAATTTCTTCCGCTGCCAGAGACAAAGTAAGTGGAATCCCATCATACCTCAATTTGATGTTTTTTGGGAGTGGCTCGTATTCTGGAGGGAAAACAACCCCATTATGTTGCAACGTCTCCCATTTGATGGTGTCGTCCTCCTTCTTGGGTGCATCCCACCAACGATAAACCTCATCTGCTTCTTCGCTCTCATCCTTTTTGGCCTTAGTTTTCTTTGAATCTGGTTCCGGCTTGACCTTGCCGTTGGCCTTTTTCGCAGCAGCTTTCTTTGCAAGAGGCGCATCGGAGTCAGAATCCTCTTTCTTTACACCATTGGTCTTCTTTGCAGATGATTTCGCAGCCACACCATTGGACTTTCGCCTCTTGGGTGCAACATCCTCATCACTATCCGATTCCTCTTTTTTGACGGCCTTCTTTGGAGTTGCATTCTTTGCTCGTATAGCTTTCGCTTCCTTCTCGGCGTGCTTTTCTATCGAAGCTTTCTCCTTGGAAAGTTTAACGGTAAGTGGCTCGTCATCTGAAGAAGACTCTCCGATCGCAGCCGCAGAAGCTTTGGGGGGCAATTTTGAATTGCGCCTGCCAGCCAAAGGCATGTCATCATCTGAATCGGATTCCACGGCTTTCTTCTTGGAGGTTCTTTGTCGTTTCGCCTAATACATCATCAGTATACCACTCAGTGCTAAGATCGTGCAACGAAAGATATCATATGCATGAACGCTCGGATCAATGGTCGACATACCAATGGTACCTCTTCACTTTCACTGCCGCTTTCTTGCACCTTGTAGTTTATGGGCTTTCCATTTCCAATGCTTGATCGTGACTTTCGCTTCGAAGCGCCATTCATGGCAGGTTCATCTACATCCATACGATCGTCCAAAACAGGTCCATTGCGAATAGAAACTCCTACGGGGGCAGCCCTCGCATTTGCATCAGCCTTATTCATAGCTTTATCGACGCTGTTCGGTATGCGAGCTTGCGAAACTGTGAACAGAAATTAGAATTTGTAAAGTTGGAGATAAAATATGGTAATGTTGGAAAGCTGAAGGGTTGAAAGGTCGAGTAGGAAAAGGCCGTTTAGGCTGTAATGGTAGGAGAGGAAACCTGTTTGTTACTTACTATTGCCATTGGTTCCATTAGTTCTTGCCAAAGGCATATCATCATCGGAAGAAGACATTTTGAAAACAAAAGGGAGTCGTCGATATGGTGGATATGAAGTCGAGGGAGTTGCGGTTCGAGAGTAAGAGCTGAATATTGTCAATGTGCTGCTCTTTTAAGCGTATTGGCGACTCAAACCCGCGATTTTAAAGTGAATTAAATTAAAGGTAAACTAAAGAAATGTACCTCTGAGCGCGTATTAATGTAGCACTGGCTGTGTGTATTGTTGTGCCAAATGAAAAGTCTTTTATTCTCAAGATAGGCTGAAGAATGAGGCGCTTTGCGAACATGTAAAAAGTAGGCGTCTTCGGGGGAAAGTTCGAAGACTTGCAAGTTGCAGAATTGGTGATCACGTGTCTTTGTGTTTTTTAGTATTCACTAACTTCAAAATGAGTTCAGGGCGCGAGCGGCATAGTAGTCAGCTTTTTGTATGCCGAGCTCTATCTGCCGAATATTATTGGTTGCCACCGTCCCATTTAATACTACGAAGCAAGGGTGAAGGGTTATGATTTGGTACAAGTACGGAATTATAAGCTTGGAGTATGGGTTTTTCGTTTTCTATCTTACAATGATCAAATTAAATAACAAAGACTCTCCTCAAATTCACATATAAACAAATAGATACCTACCAAAGGCTTTGTCTTAACTACCTACCTAATACTACAATGTCATCAAACTGATTCATATATGGCTGGCTGTTCACACCCGTGACCGTAAGGGTTCAAAGTAAGCTGGAGTCAATTGGTCTAAAACAAAAGCTTTAATTGGAAGCCCTTTTCTTCTTGTTGACATTAAATTTACACTTTTCGATATTCAATATAAAATATACCGGTATTAAATAAAATCGAGGCCAACTCCTTCCTACACCAACTTCTATAGGGTCTAGAATGTGAACAGCTCGACTTCCCAATTGTTGTTGACTTAGTATGGACATACTGGTACTGTACATCAATATCTATTTCGAATCTTCACATGTCCATATTGCTATTCCTGCAGTACCGGTACTGCGTTTTAAGTCACGAAGCATAAGAGTGCCGTAATTTTCTCCGAAAGTTTTAATATCTGAAGAGCCGATGCAGGTCCAATGTCGAGAAAGTGAGATTCTGTAAGGCTATATCAAGTCTCTAGCTGGCAAGTTTTTGTATCGTGAGATCTTCATATCTGAAAGCGACCGCAGTATCTACCTACTCCACAATAACATGGACCCGAGTACTGGCCACGAGAAATTCTTTCCTTTATCCTCTTACTGACAATTTAACCAGATCATCGTACGATGCATCGACGATGCACATTTCTCAGTTATTTGATACTGGAAAAATAACTCGAAATTGTTCCCTTCTGAAAGTTGTCCGACAATGCCAATCGGATTGTCTGCATGATGAGTGAGGCTGATCTTAAGAGGCTGGGTAACACTCCGACTATAGTCTAAACAACTCATTGTGGTCCACACCATGGCTTCGTATATACTCAATCGAGTATTTGAAGGTTGACAAAATGATGGGAGCTGGAGAAGGACAAAAGAAAAGCAATGAGCTGTATTCCTGTCGCTGTCACACAACGTGCGTGCCAACCGTAACTTACCATATGACAGCTCGCCTTGAGGAAATAAACTAAAAATGACAGCACAGAAAAAAGATCGATGTCTGTATTGTGACCTAGACGCCGTACTGATTCAATCATCAACATAGTATTTGTGGTCTCAAAACCAGCCGGTATGTAGTAGCAACAGGATCAGCTAGACTTCTGCCGCCCTCATATTATATGCACCAATTCAGCCCTCCTTAAGGTCTCCTAAATCACGTACGCAACATTTGCTTTCCAAAGGTTTCTTCTTCATGTTGAAAATATGTGTAAATTCGAGGCAACATTCAGAATATGATGTTTTCCGAATCTGCCCGAAAATATACAATCACGTTGTCCTCTAACACGTGACCCACTAGCTCCAGGAAGCTTTTCCCGCTGAACGACGAATTCAAGCCGAGATACCGAATTCGAACTGCAACAATTACTTGATTCCTAACTTAATCGTGGTCAATTGAGCCTCGATATTGAATTACTCGATACCGTTCCTTCAGTTTTTCCCCAAAATGCTTTCGAGAACTGCCAGGCCCGCGCTGCGAGCAGCCGTCGCGGCTTCCGCCAGGTAAGACTTCTTCCAGATGAAGTGATGGGAATGGGACAACTATAGCGGGGTCTGGGATGTGAAGGAAATGGTGTAGGATATGGAGGCTGATGATATTGGATCTGCAGACCGGTTGCCCCTCAAGCTGCAACCTATGCGACCCTCCGTGAAATTGAGGATAGATTAAAATCCATCCGCAATATCGAGAAAATCACAAAAACCATGAAGATTGTTGCTTCCACCAAGCTCACCCGAGCACAAAAGGCCATGCGAGAGTCTCGATCCTACGGAGAAAGCTCCAACAGCGTTTTCGAGCATGCCGAAACTAAGGCCTTGGAGAGTGACAAGAAGACATTGATTGTGGTCGCCAGTTCAGACAAGGGTCTCTGCGGTGGTATCCATTCCGGTTTATCCAAGCGTGTCCGCAAGATGCTCGCCGAGAACTCGAATGCCGATATTGTTATTTTGGGTGAGAAGTGCAAGGCTCAAATTAGTCGTTCCAACGCAAAGAACATCGTCATGAACTTCGCTGGTATTGGAAAGGATGTCCCTACATTCGCAGATGCTCAGGCTATTGCGGATCAAATCGTTCTCTTGCCAACCGAATACGCTTCCGTTCAAATTGTATACAATAAGTTCATCAACGCTACAAGTTACGAGGCCACTCCAATCGAGGCTTTCTCCGAGGAGGCCATTGCCAACTCTCGTAAGTTTTGTGTATAGGGGAATTGACGTATGGGATAGAGCTGATATAATTATACAGCCAACTTCTCTGCATTCGAGATCGAAGACGAGACTCTTGGTAACCTCCGTGAATATACCCTCGCCAACTCTATTTTCTGGGCCCTTGCTGAGGGTCATGCTTGTGAACAATCTGCCCGTCGTAACGCTATGGATGTAAGTGTCCCTAACCTCAAACTTCTCCCACACAAATCACTAAACGATATCAGAACGCTTCCAAGAACGCCGGTGATATGATCACCAGGTACCAAATTCTCTTCAACAGAACCCGTCAAGCCGTCATTACTGGTGAATTGGTCGAAATTATTACTGGTGCTGCTGCTTCAGAAGAATAGAAGGGTTTGTGAATATGTAGACTAGTCGAACGACTCGAGGCTCTTTAGGGGCTGAGTTGAATGAGATTCCCTTTTGTGCCAATGCATCAATACCAATGCATTAGAAGTTGGAAATTGAATTTCTGATGTCTCAAGTGTCTCTAAATCTGGATTTCTAGGTGTGACCGGGGGAGCTGTATGTTCCAACTGAATATTATACTCTTCTATTTCCAGCAACAGTCTACAAGACCTTTCGTTATCTATAGTCCTTGTTTCGCCCAAAGTTCCTCTCCAGGTAGAGGAGCTCAACTATTATCATCCTTGACTTCCACGCCTTTTCTTTCTTTCCTCTAGTACGTAGCTTAAAAACATATATATACAGAATCTCCCTTCCCTCCCCTTCACTTTTCTCAACACCGCAAAGCATTAGATACTATTTTATGGCTTTTGCTTGGGCAATTACAATCTTTCCCCTCGGAGAGTCGGGGACAATAGTAGGAAGAGAAGGCTCATGCGATGGGAAAAAGGGTTATATACACTATAACCGAGGCCCAGGTAGTTCATTGGCGGCGATGATATATATATGATGTTTCTGTGTACCGGTCGTTAATGGTAGTTGACGGTGGTAAGGCAAGGGAACTACGGCAAAAGGGTTATGGATGGTATAGTTATTGTCATTGTCATTGAGACAGATACAGATACAGATACGAATACGGAGATGTGCACTTTCCTTTCCTTTCCTTTCCTCTCCTCTCCACGCTTATCATAGCTATGCCTTCGGTCCATCTGTCGGCTTTTGTCTCCTGGTATATGTGTGGTATCTCTCGGAGAGGTTAACGAGGACTTATATAGATAGTCCACTAGTCAGTCCCACATATTTCCTCTTTTTACTCATGGTTTGTAGTGTATGTAGCTTGATGCTATGATGTGATTGATGGTGGTTTTCGAGGTATGTTATATATATATATATTGCGATAATCACTGTTTACATATTGTATATGTACCATGTCCATATTCGACATTCATTGCTATAATCTCTCGTGCGGTTGATAGTATGGCGTATGGTTTGTTCTGCTAATTTGTATGCATATACTCGAGTCGAAAGGTTTACGTTCGTCCTCGTAAGTACGATGAATGACAATATCAGATTCGCATCAATGTGTTTGAGCAAGTAAGGCGTGACTGACATGTTGTCGTCGGAAAAATATACTTCGTGTGCCTACCTACACCGATGTTACTGTTACGTAGTGCTTTGTGTCGTCGCTTGGCTATTGCATTGCGTTCAGTACTCGGAGGATAGGGCTGCAGTGAAAATAGTTCTTACGGCTGGGATGCTACTGGCCCGTGGATTCGTCAGCTTTGGTGCGACGCGCCATGTCAAGGCTTTGTAAATGAGACGTAGGGCGTGTTGTGTTGGACATATGAATGGGAGGGTTTATATAGTTATTGATGAACAATGTTGCCCGGCGTTCCTGGCTGAAGGTACTCTCAGTGGAGTGGAGTCAGATCGACAGTTGATCATAGATCTCTACTTGTATCGTATCAATAGTCTTCTCGGGTTCCTACTGCGAGTCTTCCCTTTTTCACTCGACACCGTTGCCGAAGTGTATATAAATACATTTTGAACTCTTAAGTGATCGGATTATATTCACAAGAAAACCCTACTAAAGCTTCATAGGCTTGGCTTCGGTTGACAAGAGTCTCTTATGCTTATATGAATCGACATTATAGATGCGACTTGGATGGTCGGTTGATCAAGGAGTTGGGTATCTTAAATGTGTATGGATATAGCAACAGTAAAGGATAATAGCCTGTACTAAGCAAGATGCGAAAGTGGCAGTGGAGAGGGGGTGAGTAGTGAAAAAAGATATTCATTTCTTATAATCGCTTTCTGCTCAGCATCTTTCCTTTGCTCATACCTACCTATATCTCACTCTCTCCGTATCTTTCCTACTTTGATTCACTATCTCTTTCCACATCTCGAAGCAGCACAATCTAGATTTCAGAAACCTATATAACCTCACACTTTTTGCTTTGATTACAAATATGGTTGCAAACCCTTCTACCGGCAAATATTCAAATGTTCGGTCTACTTTGAAATTATCGAGGATATTGGGTATGTATATGAATTGATCTTAGTGGATATAGTGTGGTCGGTTGGGTTAGGTTGAGAATCTGAAGTGTAGTTTTGGCCGTGGTAATCCGTATGTACTAGTATGCTTTTGACGACGACGGAAAGCTAATACTTGGTATTAACAGTGGAATGATAAATGCCGGTGAGCAGTGGAAGACTATAGAAAATAGCTACAGCTAATTTATTTCCTTTCCCGTAGCACCTGGCATCCAACCACAAATACGAACATCTCAATCACAATTTATGCTAGGCGGAGTTTCCTTCAATTGGCTTTGTAATCGTCGTGTTAAGAATTGTATGGGTGTAGATCTAGAGAAGTCTGGTATCTTATAGGTGGGTCATTTTGTTTCCAGTGACTTTTTACTTCTAGCCAAATATCATTTCTTCCAGTTGTTTCGTTTCAAGTCATTTGAATGTGGGATGGAATTGTACCATGAAAAAAGTATATAAAGCATCCCATCTAAGGGATTTTCAACCTACATGTAGTGCTTAGACTGATTTTGGGGAGTGCACAGGGTTGAGATAAGGCTTGAGACTTCTAACCTTGATTGAATCAATGGTAAGGCTTACTAATGTACAGAATCCATTCTGGTTTGGAGTATGGAGTGAGATTCGATTGGGGATATAAAATCTCTAATAGTCGTAAATGACAACAAAACCAGGTGAAGTGACGGTTGGCAGTTGCGTTGACAGAGACAACAGCGAAAGGGAACGGGTAGCGAGAGAGTTGAAATAAGAATATTAGAAATTAGTTATCCTTCCATCATACAGTACATACAGTACCACCATTTACTTCTCTCAACCCCAACCAAGCACCTTGACACCTCTTGCGCACCTCAGCAACCATGTCTTTACCTGTCATGGTACTTTTAACAAATAACGCTAGCAGGACAGTACATGAAACCCAATCTATTATATAAAGCCGAAGCTCTCTTCAGTGAGCCCCATCTATAATCTACGAACTATAAGTCATTCACTTTACCTCCTCTCGGCTTCCTCCTTATTCTCAACTCCCCAGCATATCTCATTCTACTTAATATTCCCAGTAATCCTATAAGAACCTCTTACTATCCTCTCGCCTAATATACAATTTATGATACAACCTTCAAAAGCTTCTCTTCAGTCAAGCCGTGATTAAAACCACTGGATATCGATGTCGTTAATGCTCTACATCGTAATAGTAAGAGACAGCAGAATGCAGGTGATGTTTAAGATAACCAGCCTATCGACTGCTGAATTTGCCGATACTGTAATAACAAGATCAAGCTCAACAACCGAAAATCCACTTCGGCGACAGCAAATCAAACAAATCAGACAACAAAAACCTCATAATTCTACTCATCTAATTTAACTCTGGTATATATCTGTAAGTCTCTCATGCACAACACAGGAAAGCCAAATGAACTTCCACAAATCCTTACATCGTAGACTCCGTTCCGTTTCTTTCCCTGTTCTGATATAGTCTTCTGCGAAACTTGCAATATTAGCCAGTACGAACTGAGGCAGCAGATAACTATAGTTATAGATTCCAAACGAAAAAAATCGAGAGTTACTGGTGGTACTAGTCGAAGAACCACGTCCATATCAGAAGAGCTAGCCATTGATATGAGATATCATCCACATTTTCCAATTCACTCTGGTGGCATACTAATAATATTCTTCCCCGTCTCATGTCATGAACCTAAGCTAAGTCTCACAACCCACACTTAATTCACTTGAACTTCCTTCTTATAAGAAACGCTCTCCCTCTTCCTCTCCCTCTCCCTTATCCTAAAATTCAAATCCCGAACACAATCCAGGCGACCCCTACTTATGGAAAGTAATATATACCACTCGCCTACACCAGTCGAGTGTACAACAGTCTTCCACAAACATCCCACCCCAATTTCAAAAGTCTCTTCTCTTCTCTTCTCAAGTGGTTGCGCGAAAAATATCCATAATTTCAACAACAATAACGACGAGTATAAATCCGACAACCATGAAACCACTGTCTATTCGAGCACATTAGTATATAACAGTTTCCAAAAGGTAAACAATAACCACAACCACAACCACAACCACAACAGCAATACAAACAACTATTCTCTAAAATCAGTCATCTTTTCCGCCCAGCCAGGAACTTGATTTTGAATTTCCCCTCTAGCCAATGTGTCGCCTACCACGCCGGCGGTTCTTTCAAACCTTTCATACCTATACAATCCTGCAGAGCTTTAGGCCGTGCCACCAAATGATGAGCAATGTTGTTTGCCATGATATCTCTTCATGAGGACAGTTGCCGTTGCCGTTGAGACTCCACGGTTAGTGATGGTGAAAGGAACGTGGTTTTATAGGAGAGGAGGGATACCAGATTCTTACCATGCAAGGAATTTGATTACAATTAGGCATCACTTTCAACCTCAATAATCAACTAATAAGGATATATATACCATTTATTTTCTGTTCCATATTTCCATAAACGCAGCCATGGGTACAAAATTCACATCTCATCCCGCCGAATTCCACTAAGTCCCCAGCGTCATCCCCTCCCCGCCTTCCTTATCACTCTCACTTTCCTTCAACCTATCCTTCACCCTCTGCTCCTCCTGCTCTTCTCTCCAATTCCTCTCATCCCCTATTCTTCGCAAAATTCTAATTTTCCCTTCCATTTTGGGACCTATCCACCACCCCCCAGTTACCAATCTCCCTGCATCCCGAAGTAGATTATACGTCCCAAAATTGTTCATCTCCTCAAACATCGATTTCGTCTTTAAATCAAGGAATCCCCTCCCCTCTTTACTCTCTTCCACATTCCCCACACCCTCCTCCTCTATTCTTTTGACATCCGCACCACTGGGCGCTTCTTCTTCCTCCCCAACACTAACATTATTCGCCCTATAAACCCCCTCTAATCTTTCCGAAAAGCTAGTTCCATCTCCTGGTCTCAACACTTCAATCCCCGCATACGCAAACACCGTATCCAACACCTCCCACTTGCCAACCGCCAACTCTGGTTCTTCCATCAACGCATAATCGAACTTCATCCAAAAAGCCGCTTCTCCCAATTCGGGGGAGTCTTCGGTTTTATCGTAGTTCAGCGTAATATTTTGGGCCTGGGGAAAACGGAGAGGAAGAGATGGATATTGCTGGAAACGGGTTATGCCTGTCATGCAAGAGAGAACGTCCATATGGATTGTGATTTTTCGATTTTGCGTGCGTTGTGTGCGCGGAGATCGTATTAGATCTTTAAGGATATGAGCATGAAGCTGAGAAAGGGCATCCCCACCTGGGTAGTTAAGCGAAGAAATCATTAGCATAGCTGATGAAGCCACGAAACTCAATAGAACTGATCCAACCAAAGCCAAAGACCCAAAGGTATAAAGCCAGCTCTTCGAACGTCGGGCCCAGATATATGAAGCCGAGAGAGAAGCAGCAGCAGTAAGAGGGGGAATAACATAGATGATGAACCTAGACTCTTTATGAGGTTGCAGACTATAGATTGCAATAAATAGAAGCGAAGGAATAATCAGATCTCTCGACGTATATTTGGTCGCTGGAAGAGTCAAAGCCAGAGGATGCAGTAACAAGAAGATCAAAGGATTCATCAGTAGACGCGGCAGCAGCGAGGCAAAATAATGCACAAAAGAAGAAGTACCCCACTCGGAAGACTTTCCCTGAATGGCATTATAATAAAAACCGGCCCATTCTGGCCACAAGGGCTTCTGCCAAAAATACGAATCAATTGGTACTGACACAGCGAGAGCCAAAATAGCACTCTGTATACCAACTGGAATGATCGTCTTCAATGACATCCTCGATAACACAAGTAAATATGCCAATTGCGTAAATAGCAAAATAGCAATTTCAGACCTGAATACCACACCTGCAAATACAAAGAGGAATATCCCAACTCTGGGTCTACTTCCTCCTCGTGCTGGAAGAAATTCCGTGAATGCCAAAGTTGCTATATCATATTAGCACTCCCATCTTCATCATCAAAAACCAGAGATATGACAACTCACTAAGACCGAAAGCAAACATATTCGGCAACGTCCTCGACGCATAAAAAACCACATGGAATTGCGTTGCCTGCAACAGAATATACCACCTCCCAACATCCTCTCCAAAAGCCCCCGCCAATCCATTTCTATACCTAATCAGACACGCCGCATTAAACAATCCCAGCGCACCTCTCACAATCAATTGCGCATATCTTCCCTGCGTAAGCAATAAGACAGGTTTAGAAACCGCGGCGAGAGAAAGTGCTCCGAAGAAGGTCCTCGGTACGGCGCCGGGAAAGGTGGCATGATCGTAGGTGTTTAGAGTGGAAGAGATGTTTGCAGAGGGGAGCCCATAAGTCAGGATATCGTGGATAGCTTGGATGTTGAAGGATTCTTCAACTTTGGTGTAGGGGGCTAGGAGGAGGTGGATGAGGATGAGGGTGGGGAGGGTGAAGGTTAGGAGGAGATCTGAAGGGAGTTAGTTTATTATATTGGGTAATTGTAGTTGAGAGGATGCGGTACCTATTCCCTTCATGTTATATATAGTTCGGGGGGGAACCTTCAAGTAATGCGAGGAAGCTACACCCTCTACGATTTACTTCCGCTTCCACAAGACAGGTTTCTCGAGAGATTGGCCAATGAAAGTGAATATTTACAGAATCAAAAATAACATCACAACAAGATATCTCAACACTTAAAACTTTATACAAATCCAAAATTCTTCACGGGAAGATAAGATATAAATAAAATCAATACTCCCCAACGTCACGAAAAACCAAGAACACGCAGCCTCAGCCTCGCCAAGTCCGTGCACAAATCCCGATTTCTGTGGACAACCAACTTCACCTCTTCAACTTTCCACAGCCTTGTCTATCTTTCAACCTCCTCCTTCACAACTTAAATCATATCAAATCACATACTCACTTGCCCGCCCCAAACCAACCTCTCAAATTCCAACATGTTCTTCATATTCGGGAATTTGATTTATAGTATGTCCTCTCCATTTCACCTACACTTCCCTCCACTTCACTTCTCGATGCGCCCGCTATACATAGATACTCTTCGTCTAGATATATGCGCATGAGACGCACGATATAATCTGGCGCATTCGCGCTTAATTGTAAATACATCCATACGAATTATACTAACCTCCGCGTCCTTTTTCCCTCTAGTCTGCGTCCTCCTTATCAACGCCGTCGCAATCTTATCCGAAGATCGATTTCTCGCCCGCGGTTCGTTTAAACCCCCCTTCCCCTTTTCCCCGTCCAACACCCCCATCCTTATTCATGGGGGCAAGCCCCCAACCCCCCCGTCTTCGCTGCGCTCAAAGCTAACATACAAACAGTCGGCTGGTCCAATTCAGTTTCCGAGCCTGCTTTCGGCGGTGGAAGCAATGCAGAAACGAGTGTTAAATCGAAACTTGTAAATCTGATGACGAGTGTCAGGACGCTTATGAGGAGTACGTTTTATTTCTTCTATTTTAGTTCCTTGGGGGCATTGGGCTCTGGGGTCCATCTGACTGGGAAGATAAAATTCGGGGGAAGGGGCCGGATTATAGAGACAACGGGGGAAATGGGATCAGGGGATAATTTGAGGGAGAGAGATGAAAAGAGAACAACGAAAGAAAACAAAGCTAACACAACCTCCCCACAGTCCCCCTAATAGGCATCAACTCGGTAATAATCATCTACGAATTAGCCCTAGGATGATATCACAAAACCAAAAGTTCATTCTACACCAGACGGCATATCACATCACATACACCAGATACAAGCTCTAGATGCAGTGCAGGGCCAAACATGAGGATATGAAATAAATGGAGCACGGAGACGAGAAAGTTCAAGCTTAATTAATGATTGAGTAAGGAGTGTAATAATATACGGGCGTGATGAGATTAGACGAAAACAACGCACTTAGCTTCTCCTTCTCCTTCTTTTCTCTTTCCTCCACCTCTCCTCTCCTTCTCTCCTCGAGGGTCTTCTAGGTGAAGAGGGGCCTCTTATGAATGATAGGTCTCAAAAGCACATATACCACATACATCACAGAACACGGCTAGCTTTTACTTTATCTATCTATTTAGAATCTAGTCAAGACTCAAGAGACATACATGGAAGGAGTTCGGGTCTCATCCCTCATCTCTCATCTGGACAGGAAAAATAAAAATAAAAAAGAGAAATGAAATGAAAATGAAAATGAAACGAAACGAAACGAAACGAAACGAAACGGAAATATCTCATAAGATCTATCTCATAAACAAGATATCAATATCAAAATCATAATCACAATCATATTCAAAGCTTCTTTCTCCATTCCCCGATATACCACCACATCACATTACTCGAGTAGAGTAGATTCTCAACCCAAGAGGGACCTATCTATATCTATATCTATACCGATACATATATCTCAGACTTATATTATACGAATATACCATCTAAACACATCAGACGAAATAAAATGGTACACCACAAGCTGCAGCATCTTAATCGAACCAAGCCTTTTTTTTTGTGTTCAACAAAATTAAAGAAGCAGCGGAGCAAAATAGCAAAACAGGCAAACATAAAATAAGTACTCGTACTCGTACTAGTTTAGTAGAGTATATGAGGACTAAAAAAATATATACAACTATCAAAACAAATCACTTCTTCATTTCAATCCCCACTCACCCACTCCTATTTCACCAATTTCACCAATCAATTTCACCCAAACCCCCATCCATTCCAAACATTCCATCCATTCCATCCATTCCATCCCCATGCTTTACTTTACTTTGCCTTCCATAGCTAGCAAGCAAGCATAGCATATACGTATAAATAAAACAAGTCAATATATCAACCATGCATCCCGAATGTGTTCCTACACCAGTAGGTACGGTATACCCCAATCGCATCCCATCCAATCCAAACATTTCTCTCTCATGCATATTAAGAAAAACATCCCAACCCCGACCCCCGATTCCTTCCATTCTTCTCGTTCTTGTCACTCTCCCCATTCTCCTCTGTAGAAAAGTCAGATAGATAAAAATCATAATCATCAACCACCCGGACTCCACAAATTACTCTTCTTCCTTCCCAGCCCACCAAACGAAAATCTTTCTTTCTTAATCTTGTCATGATGTTTCTCCGGCGTCTGCGGGCCCGCCGTCCCTTCAACCGCCAAATTACCATTCGCGCTAATGCTCGATTCGGGTATATTCGCATTGTCTCCATTCTTTTCTTTCTCCTTCTCTCCGTTCTTTCCACTTAGAAATCCTAAACTTTTTCTACTCATACTCTTGCTCCCCTTATGACTCCTACTCAAACTTATACCGCCGAAACCCTTACTATCGCCCTTCTCATTTCCATTGCCATTATTCTCCTTTTGATTAGAAGCTTCCGACTGTCTCCTCTTCAATTCCTCGGTTTCTGCTTGTTTGCTGAGGGCAATGGCTTTTTTCAGTTCCGCTTCCTGTGCCTTACTTGCTTTCTCGGCTTCTTTCTTCTCTTTAGCAGCGACCTTTTCAGCGGCCTTTTCGGCAGCCTTTCTGGACTTTTCCGCTTCCTTTTCCGCTTTCTCGGCCTCTTTCTCGGTTTTCTTTTCTCGTTCTTTGACTTCCTTAGGTTTGAACTTGTGAGTCTCTAGAGGTGAAGTAGGAGTTCGAGTTGGGATTGGATTGCCTGCGATAGGGGAAGTTACTAAAGGTGCCGTTACTGCGTGGTCGAGGGATCCAAATCCATTGGTGTCGTTGTCAATCGGTGTGCTAGGCGTCGCCAGACCCTGTTTCGAGGTGGAAAATATATGTGAGCCATTTTGTTGGGGATGTCCTAATGCAATATCTGCTACTTCTGAAGAAGAAGCAACTAAATCAAGGCCTTCGGCTTCTTGGTCTTTTCGCATTGCCTCCACTGTAGTTTCTTGATAGAACAACACATAGGCGCAGGCCTGTCCTGGTTTGTCTCCAAAAAATTGACGTACAAAACTTTTATCTACCGGTTCTACCATCTCATCATCAAAAAGTAACCAGCCTTTATCCTCAGTCTTGATGACCACAACATAATGTCCGTGAAAGGCATTCGTGCCAATATGTACAACCACGGCGTAAAGTTCATACAGTCGATCGGGATCTTCCGCATCATCAGTTGTGTTAAACATGCGTAAATGATAGGGGTAGTTGACAGTGTAGAATAACTTCTGTAATCGAGTCAAGTCATCAGTCCACTTGAACCTCTTCAGGTGAAGGACCAAAACTTTTGGTAATGTTTTAATCTTCATACGTTTTTCCGCTTCCTGTAAACCACCACAGGTGTCGCAATGGAATTTGTTTTTTTCGCACAGCATTTCTTCCGCCGAAAACTTTTGCAAACAAGATGTAACGGATGAGTTTTTCTCCAAATCGATTGAAAGGTCCAAGAATGTCTCATCGCGCTGTGATGTAGTTTCGCATGTCAGACACTTCGTTTCCGAAACCATTTTCCCCTCAAATATATCATGAACCCATTTGGTTCCTGGAGATTGCGCTCCATTTGTTAGGCCCATCGAATTCGCAACTGATCGTACAGCGGTTGCCATTGAATCATTAGTGCCTCCCTTATTTTGAGGCGGTTCCGACTCCCTCAGGCGTCGAGCGTTGTCTTCAACATTATTGATAACTGCGTTAAGCATCAAGCCATAAAATTCATGAGCATCTTGGTGCATCGATGTCCGGAACATCTCATTATCCCGCCTGAAAACTTCCAAGAACCTTTGTGGACTCACTACACCTGTTCGAGAAGGATATGATATCATGGCTGTAAAGATATCCTTCAAGGCTGTAAAAGTCGTTTCCTCCATGCCATATGAAGTCGCATGTTCCGTTGTGATTTCTAAAATCGGGCCCGCCATCATCGCATGTTTCTTCTTGTATTCAGGCGAATCTGGTCTATCTTCCGGTCGAATTCCAGGTGAGCCAGGCCCAGGTTGACCGGAATTCATAGTTTGTCTCCTTTTCATTGCTTCGGCAGTTGTTATGCCTTTGGGTTTGGCAGCTGATAATGGCACTCCATTAGGTTGTGGAGCTCTTGTTGGAACGATTAACTTCGGTAAATGACCGTTTGGGGTATCAGAAGGAGAATGCGGTGGGTATTTGACAACATTTTCTCTAAAAGGAACTGAATAGTATAACGCCTGTAAGATCGAATTGGCATAACTGAGATTTATTAGCATTCTGGAAATGATGCCAAATCCAAGTAACAAACCATGTGTTTCCGAACTAATTTCAATAAGTTAGCATAACGCAATTGGAAAGAAATGGGAGGAGAGCGTACATTTTCTAAACCAAAGAATTTATCACTTCCGTCCGGTCGTATAGGTCCTGCATTCTGTAGCATCTTCACCAGTGGGGTGATATCCGATTCAGGCTCTGCATCTTGGCCCCTCCGACTTGTATTTCCAATTCTATCCGTCTATATAAGAGCCAATCGTCAGTACATGGTGCTATCCGGAACCTCCTCAGCATTAACTGCGCCGAGCCTCCCCCGCGCGGTAATAGCAGATCCCACATCATTTTTTATACCATTAAGATGAGGGGAAAGAATTGACTAACAGCAGGAGAAAGCATTCGAATGATCGCAGCCATATTTGTGGTATTCCGACCTCGTCGGTGGTTCTCAACTTTGTCCTTTGCGCCTTTCACTGTACGCGGCGCGACAGGGAGACCCCAAAAGTATTATCTGATTATGTTAAGTTGTGCTCATACGCAAATGATTTGTTCGAACTCGAACGATATTGGGTAAAATTGTTCTTCATCTGCAGATAGCAAGCTTAAAGAAGTAAAACAAGATGGTTCGCTGATTCCAGAGGGTATTTGCACCAATACTGCACACACGAGGCGTAAAACGTGGGGTGGAAGCCTTGTCTTCAGGAGGTGTCAGATTTGCGGCAATTGATGAATAAATTACAAATTATTGTAAATTCGTGTGAATGTGATCAAATGATTCAAATGAATGTATGTAAATTGAAAATGTGTGTTTTTTCTGAAGAAGATTGGAATAATCACAGTTGGAGATAAATGTAAGTGAGTGAATTATTACGATGGGGTAAAGGGAAAGAGAAAGGGAAAGGCGGGCTTTTTTGGTCGTCGTCAGGATATTTACAAGGTATCTTGATAGTGTAGTTTGATCATAGGGACAGGGACTCGGGAGAGAGACCTGGGGAGGAGAGAAGAGGGAGAGGAAAGAAGATTTAGAGTTTCTGATAGAAATGGGAGTCTTGAGTGAGTGGTGGAGTGGTGGGTGAATGATTTCAAAGACCTACCTATTCGGATAAAATAGAGTAGATACGATTCAATACAATAGCTAAAACTACTGCTACTTACTCAGTACCTGGTATCGCAAAACCAACTAATTTTCTTGAGTCAAAGCCAATAACGCCTAATCGTTATTATTCATTAAGATCTACTTCAGATTTGAGTAGATATATGGACAGAGAGTAGTACTAGGTACTTAGGTGGCTGAGTAGATCGTTCTACAGTATCAGTATATCTTTAAATTATGGTTTATCCTAACTCGGTAATTGTAACTCGGTGTGTTCTAATCTCTTGGAGTTTTCTAGACCTCGAAATTCCATTTAATTGACCGTTTATTTTCTTTCCTTGTACCTCTCGATGATGCACATCCAAATTAGAAGGAGAACATGCTGAGGTGTCAATTTACCTGCATTTTAGCTATAAACTGTACTAAAAGCCATGCATCCTTTGACGAGATTGAAGTAGAGGAAAATCGAAGGAAGCTGCAACTTTGAATCCCTGATATCCTTGATGCAAGAGCAAGCCCCCCGTTTATAAGAGCAGCATTCTCTATGGTTCTGTCTTACCAAAAGATGCATTTCATTCCTCAAAAACCCAATCAATCATATTCCTTCTTCATCTTCTTTTGCATCTGCGGGATCCAAATTCAAATGTCGATACGCCTTCGCATGCCCGCATACAGGCACATATATGGAGGTACGGAGCCCTATCTACCAGTACCTTGCCTTCCTTACCTACCTTACCTTCCAAAGCTTCTTTTTCGATGCTTGAAGTTTCCTCAAATGATCCAAACCGACAACTTCCACAAACCATCCAACAAAATGTATCTCCTACCCAACTCGACATGCTTCCGTCTAATTGCTACCATTATTGACTAGAAGAATACACCATCGTTATATGTCAAGGATCACGATTATGCACCCGCCTTCGCATTCCTTACCCACCACGTTATTTCGAGGGTTCCTGTGGTTCCATTTGGGTATCAGATTGTGGGGTCAATGGATGGGCCAGGGAAGCTTTTAGACAGAGAATCCGGAGTCTCGTTTATTATTGGTTGGTTATTGAGGGTAGGCTTGCATTTGGAGAAGACTAGAATAATTCTTTTATGTATGGAATGGGTGTATAGTATATTCGGAATTAACCGATGCCACTTACTTTGATTCATATTTGTTGGAGTGAGTAGTAGATGTTCTATATTCTTATCTTGGAAATAGTCGGATGCTGTGTGGAGGTTTCAACTACACCAAGAAAGGACTTGTATCTACATTCACACCCATTTGAATGAAACGTTGGATTTGTATCCACTATGACGAAGCCTTACATAGAATAACGGAGAACTTCGACCGAAATATAATTAACTCCATCTCATCTAACCCTCTACGGCCCGGATATTTCATAGTAGCATATGATCAATCATGAATGGGGTGAATCAACCCCAAACTACCAACTGTTGGAAGGAAGCGAAGCAGTTGTTCCAAACTAGCTACTGTACTGGTAATCTTTCTACAGAATATTTTATTCTCATCTACTCGAGTATTTTGCGTTATTACTTACAGTACATCCCTAATCCTCAATCCCAATAATCCCCTCCCTCCATCCAATCAATCAAACAAAATATATCCCAAACGATCTTCAACCGACAATATAATCTTCTACTCGTACTCAGTACATAACTCGGCACGAAATTCCTTCGATGAAACCTCTGGAACCTCACTAGAACAAAGCATTCTTTCCAAAAAGGTGCCATGCAGCGCCTATCAACGGGTTCCCTACAGTAGTACACAGAAAACCCGTACGGAGTACAGGCTGCATATCAACCCAGCCATCACATCAAAATACCCTAACTCCAAAGGTTCAAGATCAGCAATACCCGTACTGTCAGTCGCTAGACTCGCTTAGATATCCTTTCTACAGTACAGTAGCTCCTCGGACATTCCGTTCCATTTCCAACTTCCATTCATTCAATAATGGCTTCGATAAATCTGCAAATACATTGTACATGTACATTTACAGTACATTACCGATATCGTAGCATTTTACCATACTCGAGTACTATATCAACTCATTCCGAAACATCTATGAGTTTTTCGTCTCAGCATCAGCATCAGCATCCGTATCAGCATTACCAAAACCCAGCTTTAGATCACATTACTCGAGTAATTACTCGGCACAATACCTACCTAATTCGACCCCTCTCCCCGCTCCCCCATCAAAACCCCATGAAAAATATCCCTTTCACAACCCCTTCCACACCCGCTACAGCTCCACCCAGCTACCTAGATAGTAGATACTACATACTACCTACTGTATACTGTACATATGTACATACAGTCCAATACTCCGTATAATCCTTATCATACATCTCCTTCCTATCCCGTACTTGAATACATCTATCTCATGCAGCCTAACATTGTCATTGATATACGAGTACTTAGGCCCGACCCGATACTTTGGTTCAGTTCAGTTCATAATAAATACATCGGTACCGGTACTTATACAAAGTATATTATATGATTCGTGATATCATATCCTATCCTATCATACCACACACACACTATACCACTCCACATCACATTCCACTCCAAACACCCAACCAACCAACCAACCGATATACTCATTTATATACTCATATACTCATATACATATTTACATTCACACCAATTTTCCCAATTGATGCAGTAAATCCTCGCATTTTTGAAACATTTCTGTCTTTGTACTCGAGTAGTACTCGTATCCAAACACACGACTTTGAATATTTATACGAGTATATGTACTCGAGTATGTATTGAAGGGTTCAACTACATACATATCAGTAAATATTGAATTGAGCAATATCAATTTCAGATATCAACTTGATTTTAACTACCACTGCTAGCTAGTGAAGTCTTGCATGCATGCATGCGTGCATGTATCATATATCTAGGATTCATATCCCATCCCATCACATCCCATGATTCCCGTCCCATCCCACCCCATGCCAATCCACTCCATGGTTCCTCCTAAAAGACATCGCCTAAACCACCCACTCTCTCTCCCTCATTTTCCGCTCCTTTCTGCTATCGTACTCATAATTTCTTGTCTTGTCCCCCCTTCCCATTTTCATATTCCCATCCTGTACACACATACTCTCCGACTTTCTTCTCACCACCTCATTCGCCTTTCCCTTTTCTCCATCCGCCCTCTTCGCCCCCACCCCTGTTATAAAAAGACACGTGCATAAGCCAAAGAAAAAGAGTAACATCCAATGCACCGCCACCCAGCCCCTAGGAAGAAATTCGCAAAAATCCTCGAAAAATAAAAAGTCGGACCCCCGACTGAACGCCACGCCGCCCCGCTTCATCAATCACAATCTCTTTTACAGCTTGCGTGGCCCCACGCTTCATCATCTTTTCTCTTCTCTCCTCCCCTACCCCAAAATTACGAGAAGAACGAAAGCAAGTTCAACGCCATGCAAAAAATTGTCGCCTCCAGCCCACCGCCCCTCATATAATTTAGTGTAACAAGATCAAGAAAAGTCTCAAAGAGAGAAAGAAAAAAAAGAGGCATATTCGTGTCTTCTCATGACGTGATTATCCCTTATCCGAGTTCGTGCGCCTATGCATGCAAGCTTTGAAACCATTTGTATCGTTGACCCATCCCATTTATCCTAAGCGAGATGTACTAATCGATTTCCACTACTTCTCTCTTGGCCGGCCTCGGATTTATGCTTTGATTGGAAGATCTTCTCTTCAACGTGTTCTGCTTGATATTCAGGTTTATGTTCATATTCGGGGTTGGCATGCGTTGTTGTCCTTGGCTACTTCCTTGAATCTGTTGGTAGTTCTGGGAATGTGCCTGTGTGGGTATTTGTAGCTGTCTCTGTTGTTGGGGATGTGAGGTTTGTTGTCCTTGGGGTCCTACAGCTTGTGCTTGCATTCTGATTTGAGAATGCTGCGAGGGCTGAACGACAAGGTCCTTTTGAGACAGACCTCGCATTACTAAATCAACTTTCTCGAGGCAGGTTTCAACACCACGATCACAGCCAACAGCGCTGGTACGCATTCCCTTCCAGTCATCATCTCCTGGAAAGTCCCAGATAGATCTTAAACGGGCATCGATTTCATCGTCTGGAAGTACCTCTCCTTTCCCGCCTTTGTCGGTTTTTTCGGTACGACGTATAAGCCACCATGGCTTATGCTTTCGATGACACATTTTGATATCAAAAGAGACTGTTCGTGAAGGCATATTGGAAGTGCTTGGCTTGAGAACGTAACGAAGACTGAACCACTCGAAAGCTCTGACGAACACGAACACTTCACCTTTATTATGAAGAGAGGCCCAAGCATCTTCTATGGTTTCGAAAGCCCGCAAAGGGTAGAGAGTTTGTGGAAGCAGAGTTGCGACGGCATCGAAACCTCCCTTCGCGATATTCAAAATTTTGTCCAAGGCATCCAAAACACGTATATGTGGGTTGCCAGTCTCCAAGGTTAGTTTCATTTTGTCTTCAACCAAGCCGAAACTAACCACAGCTTTGTACAAAAGAGGTGCTGTCTTGCCCGCACCCATGGCCAATCCTGCCTCAGATACCGGCGGCATTCCATAAGAAAATGCGATTTCTTGTAGTGTAATGGTGTCGCACTTGATAGCTTTTTCATGTTTACGAAGGACCGCAGTACAAGAAATAAGACGCTCGACTTGAAACAAACGATCACTGAGGGCTGGAATTATCGATTCGCCAACCTGAGATCGCAATCTGAAAGCAATTTCCCCTGTTTTAGCTTGAAACACAATGTCTTCGTCTATCTTTTCGTTTAAGACCGAAAGAGCAGGGATAGGTACAGTCATGCGCGCGACCGTGACTATTACAGCCTTCTGCTCCAACTCAGGGCGAATAGGCTGTGAACCATCAACTAGCGCCTGAGATGGCAGAGATGGAAGTGCGAAGAATGGCTCTAGCCCTTGAAAAGTCAGTTTTAGAAAATCTTTTGCCCACGTTTTTGGTGCTGAGGGTTTCGCTCTGGCTTGTAATAGTTCAGAAATATGTATCCAGATTGAAGGAAGTTTAACGGCAGAAGGTGGGCTTGCTTGTCGAATAGTATGACGAATCCGTCTATCGTGAAGAGCTTTGAGATTAGTATATTGCGAGATGAGCCCTCCTGCGAAGATATGAAGAGTAGACATGAACACGTAAGAGGGCGTTGGCGAAACGGCTTTGATTGGTATGTGGATAGATGTTAAGACTTTCGCGCCCGTCGGTTGTTTCGATCTACACATGTTAGTAAGAATATGATGCGCTTGACGATACATACATCTGAAATAACCACCAAGCTTCCCCACTCAAGCCCAATGTAACGGCAACAAGCCAATCTTCCTGCCATCCAGGTCTCCTAAACCAAGTGATTTGTTTTGTGTCTTTAGGAACTTTACGTTTCATGTCTTCTCGCGATATTCCAGGGTTGTCGGCCCTTCTCCATCCAACACTGGTGCCAAGGATGATGAGCTCTTCGGAAATTGCTAGACATCGAAGGGTTTCGATGCCCAGATGCGCATCCATAGCAGGATCTATATCCAGACTATTAAGCTTATTCTGTGACGAGGTGATTGTTCGAGAGGCTGGACTGAATATGAAGAATCCCGTGACAGGCTCTATAGTGATTTGAATATGCTGTCTCTCTGTCAATTGTACCCCGAGTGCAGACTCCTTTGGCTCAGTTTTAGATGTGTGTAACGACAAGACCGCCTCGCGATTTGCAAATATAGGTTTAACGGCCAATTTGCTATATGTCGAGCTTAAGATGTGATTGACATGCATTGCAATAACAGTCTTTAAGAGTTGCTCGGGTGAGATGTTGACCTTATCAAATGGGATATCCGCATCTGTGACTTCTTTTGAATCACGAAACCATCTTATAAAGAGTCGGCTCGTCGTTCTAGGATCATGGTACCCATCCTTCCTTCGTCCGCTGTGAACTCCAATAATAATCCAGCTTCGTGGCCCATTTTTCTTGTATCTATCCTGCCAATACTGGATACATAGTGCCCGATTAAGCGGTTCAACCTTAACACCATCGATCCAGGTACTTCTAGAGAGCTCAACTGCTTGTCTTCTGAATTCGCTAATCTTGTGGGTCAGGACCATCTCATGTAGATACGTATAGCAACCGGATAGGCCATCCTTCTCCAATGCGGTATTGACTTTACTCTCTATGTGATATTGGTGTCGTGGTGATAATCTGCTAGGAGAGGGAGAAAACAGAAACCGAAAGTCGATAAACCAAAATTGTGACTCCTGATCCTCATCTGCGATAGTCAGGTCAATTTCAAATTCTCCAGGCACTTTGAAAGTCACACGTCCAGACTTTATCGTATAACCTTTGAATTGCGGGGGGATCTTATCGTACTCATACAGGTTCAGGCGAATGGATAATAGAGTATCGATTGTTAACAGGGATTTGAGTAGATCCTTGGGAGTCATTGGAGGTGGCACAATATAGCCAAGCTAGGAAAAGTTAGCATTACCTACAGAATTTTAGCAAGAAACTTACGTCTGGCATCCAATTGGCTTTGCCAGTCGACAAAACTTCCACTGCAGTTTTTAGATCAGGATTCGGTACATCTAAGTCTAATAGGCCCCTTTTCATTTGCCCAAGACACCCTAGGATACCGTTGTACAGTTCCCGTTGATGAATCAAATGGACACTCAAGTCGATAATCTTGCTCACTTCGTCGGCTTTTCGACTCCAGTCCAGTATAACCAGTTGCTTGACCCAAGTAGCATGTTGGGTTTGAGCAAACTCTATCAAGCTCACCTTCTTCTTCACATTATCATTCGAGGTATCATCTTCTCTGGCGGTATGATATGAACTCCCGTTAATCGCCGATTGGGGTACTGGCATGTCTGCTAACTCTGTGATCGCCCGCCTTAAATCATTATGAGTTGATTGTGCCAATCGGTTCAAAAGCTCTGTTAACGATATGAAATTGGCTGTGATATGTTCGACTTCCGGTGGGAGATCATGGATATGATCGAGAATATCCTGTGGGATCGGTTCCTCCATAGGGTTCTGCTGTCGCGCTGAGCCATCCATGAAATTCCCATTCATTCCATTAGGCATCGCTGGACTGGTTGGTGTCATATTCTGCTGAGGCTCAGGCCGTGCCTGCATTTTATCCCGCCCTTTCTCAGAAGCTCTTGCTTCAACATTGGTACCATTGGAGTGTCGGTCTCTGTCGTGGTTGGTATGCGACCCGTTCCTACTCCCACTATCCATGAAGACGCTAGGCATAGTCTCTCGCCCTTGCTCACCTACCAAACCACCTCCTCCTTGCGGCGCACTCACAGCAGCCTCTTCAACTTTTGTATGATCTATCGATTCTATCTTGGCTGTCGAAACAGTATCTGGATATTCGTATCCTTGGAGAGGGGCTCCAGGAGCAAAGTCGCATGCGCTACCTCGAAGAACCCAGGAACATGTGCGCAATAAACTTCAAGAGCCTTTCTAGTATTCGAAGCCCAATTTTAATATCTTGCGTATGGTAACAATTGTCAATAAACCTTTGTAGGGTTGAGAATGCACAGCGCGACCTTGCATGAGAGGATGGCTGGGTCTCTTTTATGGATACGACTCGAGTTGTGTTGGAATCGTAATAATGTGGAAAGATTGAATCAGTTATAGATGGTTATGGTTTAATATGTGCCTGGTTTGTGGACAAGAATTTGGGTGAGTAATTCCTAGTTGTTAAGAAGGGTTTGATTTTCTATGATGGCCGGTCCATCCTTCGTTATTCGTACTTTGTTCAGTCTGTCTATGAAATCAAAGAAACAATGAATAATCGGCCTGGTGTTCCTAGAAATGCGGATTGGATTCACTAGGCTAAATTATGACTTAGCGTAATAGATTGGAAAATAAAATCATATAGATCATGTGATCAATATGTAATTCTTTTTTAATGAAGGTGATAGAATGATTGGAGGAGAATGGAAGTGGGAAGAGGGAAAGAAAGATACAAATACCACATCTTGAATCTTCTTTGTCTTTATTGTTTGCATTTCACAAATAACAATTAGAAAGGAAAGTAAGTGAGTAAATAAATGCCTTTATATATAGGAAAATGTAATACCCGAGTAGATATCTGAATATATATACTAGAGTATTACTCATATACCAATCAGTATAATATATTCTTCTCCCTTCTCTCTTATTTTTCCTTCTCTCTCCCTACATGAGGATTCATATAATCTACTCAAATGCCCCCTCCACCCCCCTCCCCTGTTTTATTTCCGAGTTGTTCAAAGGGTAAAGCGTCTGTCTGTCTCCCTCGGTATCTCGTCACTTGTACTTGTTCTGAATGAAGTACTCGAGTACAATGCGATATATCCACTTGTACTTGTTCTGACTGAAGTACTACTCGAGTACAATCTCTTCTCTTCTCTTCTAACTACCCTACTCTAACCTTTCACACTTACCTCCATATCCACTTGTACTTGTTTGTTCTGAATGAAGTACTACTTACTCACTTACCTCCATATCACCCTGCATAGGTATGTGACATATCTATCTTCAAGAAGTCCTTATTCTTCACCCATACTTCTTATGACTTTGTTTCTTTTGCTAACTTTTATCATTACATTTACAGTTACTTTTATTTACACATTAATATTGAAAAGAAGATGCTCAAAATCATCTTCAAAATCATTCAGTTGCCCCGGTTAGCATGATGTTCTAAACGCCTATCGCTAAGTTATTCATTGATCCCCGAAATACCTACCCTCATCCTGCGAGCAATGGTGCCTCGTAACGTCAGCGAATCCCAGCTTCGCCCCGAACCAGAACGCGCTCCTTCAAATAGTACAAAGTTATCATATAGATCTCATTCTTCATCTTTCGAAGCAGATGACGAGAGATCTAGTTCTGCCGATCACGATAGTATGGGCCCCGATATTGGCTCTGCCCATAGAGATGCTCCTGCTCAGTATGCGGGTGAGGATACACGATTGACGAGTCGGAAAGAGTTGTCGGGATGGTACGCCTACGGATTTGCTGCGGAAGTTTTCGTGATTTGTGGTATTGGTACGTCTTGAGCTATATTCCCTTCATCATATATTTGAGTTATTGGAGGAAAGACGGTCAAGTTATTTGCAATTCGATGAGACGTATCCATCGAGGCTAAAGGGGGGGCAGCATTGTCAGCCTTGTCTTGTATAAATGACGGCATTGTACCTCCAACTATACGAAATTCATTACAGAAGTTTAGGTTTTAAGCTTGTTAGATTAATGTGATATACTTCGACTAACGAACATATTTCAGGTTCCTTCATCCCGATTACTTTGGAACAATTGGCAAGAGAGAACGGAGTTTTACTTTCAGATCCAACACAATCATGCGGTTCGAGCTCCACACATCTACCTCCAAGTTTACATCCAGGAAGTGCAAAGGATTCACAATGTGTGATATATCTTGGGGGTCTACAGATAAACACTGCTAGCTTTGCTATGTATAGTTTCTCTCTCAGTGTTCTCTTCCAGGCGGTATTGGTTGTTTCAATCAGCTGCGCCGCAGATCATGGGAACTACCGCAAACGGTTATTGTTATTCTTCGCATTTGCCGGATCTATAACGACTATGTTATTTTTGACAGTTGTCCCGAAAGTTTACTTGCTCGGGGCTCTCTTGGCAATAGTCTCAAATACGTGCTTCGGAGCAAGTTTTGTGCTACTAAATTCATTTCTTCCCCTCCTCGTTCGACATCATCCGAAAGTTCAGTATGGTACGCCCGAGCTTACACCTGAACTTCGTCCCAGTTTCGTTGATGAATACACTCCAGAACACTCGCTGGATGGGCCAGAAATCGAGGTATTTGATGAAAGAAGTGCACTCCTACCACATAATAAAATATCTTCTCAAGCTCCTGACACAACTGAAACTCTCTCGCCGTCTGGAGATTCCACTTCTATCGAGCTTCAATTATCTACTCAGATCTCTTCGACTGGTATAGGGATTGGTTACAGCGCCGGCCTCTTTCTGCAATGCGTGTCCATTGTCATTATTTGGTTGCTTAAGGGCACGACCTTTTCGTTACGACTGGTATTATTCTTCATAGGATTGTGGTGGTTCCTTTTCACAATTCCTGCCGCACTATGGCTCCGACCTAGACCAGGACCACCATTACCAGCCACGGGCAATGGAACTTCAAAAGGCTCACGAAGTTGGTTTGCTTATATCATCTACGCCTGGTCATCTCTATTTCGCACGGTAAAACTTGCCCGACAGTTGAAAGATATTACTCTTTTTCTGGCAGCCTGGTTCCTCCTCTCCGATGCTATCGCAACTGTTTCGGGAACTGCAGTCCTCTACGCCAAAACTCAACTTCGCATGGCACCCGAAGCACTCGGCCTCATAAATGTGATTGCCACCACGGCCGGTGTCCTAGGTGCATTCTCCTGGGCTGCCATCTCCCGCACCTTCAAACTAAAGCCCCATCAAACAATTCTCGCATGTATCTGCATCTTCGAACTCATACCTCTCTACGGTCTCCTAGGCTTCCTCCCCATCGTCAAACGCTGGAACGTCATCGGTCTCCAACAACCATGGGAAATGTATCCTCTTGGTTTCATCTACGGGTTTGTCCTCGGTGGTCTAAGTAGTTATTGTCGTTCCCTATTTGGTGAACTCATACCTCCTGGATCTGAAGCGGCATTCTATGCTCTCTATGCCATTACAGATAAGGGATCCAGTATATTTGGGCCGGCGATCGTGGGGGCGATCGTGGATCGAACGGGGGAAATTAGACCGGCGTTTTGGTTTTTGGCGGTTCTAGTTGGATTACCTGCTCCGTTGATTTACTTTGTTGATGTGGAGAGGGGAAAGGAGGAGGGAGCGAAGTTAGCAGAGATCATTGAGGGGTTTAGAATTAGGGATGGGGAGAGCGAAAGTGCGGATGCGAGTGGGAGCTCGAGTGTTGGAGATGAGAGGGGTCAGGATGATGGACTTATTAGCCCTCATGGTGAAGAGAGGGAGAGGGGAAGGACTGAATGATATATGACTTGATTCTTAGCGATGACTTAGCGATAACTTAGCGAGTCAATTTGGGGTGTTTTTTTTTTCAGGAAAGTTTATCGCGAAGGGGATTAGTCAAGAAATATGTATCTCATCTATATCATAAATATTTGGTTATTTCGGTAGTAATGGGTGGGATTCTGGATAAGGGGAAGGGGATGGAAGGTACAGTGTGGCTGGCGTTTTATCAAAATGAGAAATGATTGAATTGAATCAAATTGCATATGATTGTGATCATGGTTGATGACATGACATGGCTCTGATCGGAGAAGTTGGGATGAAATGATTGAGATTCGCTATTGATATTGATATTGATATTGATATTAGTATAGCAGTGTGTGGAGGGGTGTGTGATATGGGTGAGTGATTGATATAGGTTTTGTTTTTGTGAGTATGAGTATGACGAGTATAGTATACTGGAAGAGTATACTTGAGTAGTGGTGGTAGAGCTTGAGTTTATGTTATTTGGTGAGGGTGGATGTAAATGCAAGTTAGGAAGCTAGAAACTTATATGCGTAATATGTAGCTGAGACGTGAGATGTGAGTTATGAAATGAAGTGTGAGGTGTGAAGTGTATGAGATGTAAAAGGTAAGATAGATCATATATGAACTCGTAAAGGATGAGATGAGATGAGATGTATATTTAGATAAAAGTATAAAATAATATTGGGACTATATGACGATACTCTTGACATATAGAGAGAAGAGAGAGAAGAAGATATCACCTAGATAGATATACTACTGCTCGAGTACAATAAAAAAGAAGATGGAAGACGGAAAATGAGATGAGGTGAGATGAGATAGGATGAGATAGGATTATATAGTGAGATTCTGTCTCCGTTTTGGGTTATAACTTATAACTCACTCAACTGGATGGATATAATATAATGACGAATGTCAGGATGGTGGAATGGTGGAATGGTACAATAATATAATGGTAGAAGGGAATGAAGCGGATGAAGGGAGGAGTGAAGAGAATGAAGAGAATGAAGGACTACCTTACTCTAGATTTATTCAACTAACTGTAATATATAATAAAATAAATATCAAACCGTCTTTTTCTGTATAGTGAAATGGAGTATTCGGGTAGAAAGAAGTGAAAGGGATAATAAAGCTTGATATATATTACACTGGTATATAAACTCGAGTAGTAGTATGAAGTTCAAGCTAAGTAATTTGTATATGAGATACACGACACAATACAATATAACACCGAGAGATTATTCAAACATGAACATGAACATGAACATTACTCCAATATACATATCAAATAAAGAATCATATAGTCAGCCAGCCAAATAGAATCTCCTTTCCTTCCCCTTTCCTTCCCCTTTCCTTCCCCTTTCCTTCCCATCTCTTAACGCTCCTAACCCTGTTCCTAACCCTATTACTACCCATTCATGATGTTTACACCTTTTTTTCCCTCTCCTCTCCTCTCCTCTTCTTTAACCTATCCCCAGAAACAAAATTGCATCAAATCGAACAAGATAAAAGACATGCGTGTATATTATATTACACATTACACATTAAAATATAAAATATAAAATATAAAAATCCTCACACGAGGAGAATCCAGGAGATAATAGATCTAAACATAAACACGCGAGTATAGAATAAAACAACATAAAAAGATATTCCATCCCTTCACTGCTGTTATATATTGTATACTGGATACTGCACTCTTTCCTTCCTTTCTTATTCATAATGCACTCTCCTACTGTACTGTATGTAACAAGAGACGAAACTGATCGATCTTCATCTCAACTCAACTCAACTCACTCTCCTATAAAATACAACAAGAAATCAAGAAACCAAGTAAAAAAAATAAGAAATAAGAACTACAAATCAATATAATATAACACAACAAATAACATCCAAACAAGAACATATACTCCAATACTCGTATCTCCATACGATATCACGATACTCGAGTACATAAGCACCACATAGGGTCCTATTCCTATTCCTATTCCTGAATTATATATAACTCATTCAACCAATAATACATACAACAAAATCAAAATCAAAACCAAATCATTTAAACAAGTGGAATGTAAATGCTGAACTATCTCCTCGAGCATTATAGAATGAGGAAAGCGAATATCGAATATTTGAAGGAAAAGTGAATATTAGAATATGAGAGAGTACTGTACTCGTATTGAAACAAGAGGTATACAATTTCTGAGATTAGATTATGATGAGTGGAGTGAGGTGAGAAAAGGGGGATGGTAGAAAATGAGTGAATACTCACTCAATGATATTAGAAAAGAGTCTTGTAATACTAGTAATAGCAGATTCAATATTGTAATTTGCATGAGATTTTCCCGATTTATTATATTTCTTCCATGACATTTATGCACACATCTCATCGCATCTCATCTAGTGCAATCTTCAAATTGATTTTCCACTTCATATCTATTTGATGTATTCCAAGCAGCACCATAACCAGTGATTTTGCGGTCTTCTCTGCTTCTTTATTTTCTTTTTTTCCATCACTCATGCTTCTGTAGACCTGCAAGTTTTGTTTGAGATGTTTTAATCCCTCCAAAACGAGGTAGATGGCAGAAGCTAGAATGTCTGATGAGGATCGAAATATGATATGATGTATAAGGAAGAAATGAACAGGCAAGCATATCAATCTTGCTTTGATTGTGCATCAAATCGAATCGAGTCGAGTCGAGTCGGAAAATACATCAATGAATCGACTGTAACATAATACGAAATCCTTCGGCCGTCATTGCGAAGGAGAAATAGGCAAAGATAAAACATTGGGAGAGAAAGAATTGAGCAAGATTTGGCAAAATGGAGAACAAAATTCAAAAGCAAATGAATACCCTCTCCATGTTGGTACAGATGGATGCAAAGTAGTCGAGATGCAACTGATGACCTGCTGCAGATCGAATTGCCGGTAGAATATCTTGTATACATAATACATGGATAAATAATAAATACGTACAGATACAAGTTAAGTTCTCTCTGTCTCCTTTCGGTTTTTTCTTTCTAGAATGGAATAATGTGAAAATAACATAAGAAAACAGATTGAGTGGAAACTTAAAGCTAAGAAGAAGTGAAAACAAAACACGCAAGGAAATGCAAAGATGGTATCAATGAAGAATAATCTTTTCCATTCGCTACCAAATGACAGCGAAGGAAGGCAAGAAGGCAAGCGGGCGCAGGAAACAAGAGAGCAAGAATGCATAGAACAATAGGTATGAAGCAATCTGGTGACTTTTGACTTTTCGTGGGTATGTTTTCGCATGCGTCCGTTGCTCGTTCATCGTTACTTCGTTTCAAGGGTTTGGGTGAGAGAGGAGCGCTATGAAGGTAGCGGGAATTTTTCGGGCGGATGGCTCGTATTGAATAGTGATGCGGTGTGTTTATTCTCTTTCCTTTTCTTAAATCTTATTGTTCCCCGTGACAAGATGGAAAGAGACAAGGTGAGGAGAAGGTAGAGTGTCTATTTTGCAACAGGCCACCAGCCTATTCTGATATAACTATCGATCATACCCTGCAACAAGTCCTTGGTAAGCTTTGGGTGATCATATTTGAACCCAACCACCTTTTCAATTCTGCTCCCGTCCATGCTCAAATCGGTATCCTTCAGTGATTCTTTCTCCATGAATGGCGTAAGAGGGCCTGGTCGTGTAATACCCGCTTCCTCGAGAAGATCCGCCCAAGGACCAAGAACCTCTTCGTTGATATCATCCACAACGCTATCCATATTCATCTTTGCGAAAGTGCTAACGAGCTGTCCTTGGAATCCAGTTTTGATGCCAAAAATCTCGCCGATAAGTTCCGCGATAGTCCCCTGAGATGTTTCCTCCTTATCCACAACATTAAAAGTGGGAATATTGCCCATAGATTTGACATCCCAATTTGGTTTCCCGGAGACGGCATACCATTCGGCGACGGCCCAGAGCGCTTTGCAAGTATCATTTATGTTGACTGTGTTTACGCGCAAATCCTTCGTCCAAAGCCATTTCATCTCTTCGTTGAGATGTTGGTAGATACGTGCCATGGTGAGAGCGGTAGGAACGAATTGTGAGGCATAGTCGCCGTATACATGTGCGAGACGAACAATGATGAGGTTCAACCTGAATGAAAGATAGATGTTAGTGAAAGGAAGTAGGGGGAATATGAATTTCCCTAGACACCCCTCATGTATCCCTCCCAGCCATACGATATGTCGATAAGAAATCCAAACTTACCCCTCAATCTTGGCCAATTCCTGCTCAGCCTGTAATTTGAAAGTTGCGATCTTACTCCAGGGCTTCAACCTGTCCCCTTCTTTACTCGGTGTCGAATCTGATTTGTATACCATTCCCGTACTCAGTTCTACGAAAGCTTTGACACCTCTCTTCGCAGCTTCGTTCCCAACCGCAATACTCAGTGCCAACGAGCGCACCTTGTAAACCTCATCTTCTTGCGAATATCTCGTTTCTCCTCCACAGTTGAAGACATAATCCCACTGTTTTCCATCCGCGCGATCGAAGATCCTTGGTAGCGATTCTAGAAGACCGGAAGTAAAAGATTAGACAAGTGAAGACACCACATGAAAGGGAGAAAAGGTGTATAAACATACGCTCTTTACTTGCATCAGCTTGCATGAACTTATCATTCGAACAAGCACCCTCGAACTCTGGTGCCAGCCATGCTAATTGTGGTAGTACCTTATCCACAATCCGTACTTCAGATGCTAGATTGTTTTTATGAATATGTAATGCGAGAAATCGTCCAATGTATCCGAGACCTCCAATGATGAGAACTGTTGGCTTCTCCGCCATCTTTGGGTATATTTCGCCTGGTGTGATTAACTTTTTGAGGTTCTTGGGAGATCTTGGGACCAAGGAAAGGTGTGTTGGGCAGAAAGAATAAAGTGTGGATTTGGTGGGTGAAAGGTTAAAGATTGAAGATTGGTATTATGGTCTTCTTGTGGTCTGTGGTTATCCTTCACAAGTATTTAATTAAAAGAATAATAGAATAATAACCACCAAAGTAGATTTCGTGGAATATATTTTGGAAAGTCGGTATGTGGTAGGGCTCGAGGAAGGTGGAAGGTTAAGCTAATCTATATGTGTGCGGCGAGGATATTCCCGTTGTCTCGTTGGTGATCCCGGTGGGTCTTGGTGGTCCTCGTTTGGTGTACGAAGTAATGGTGTTGTAGGTTATTGTACTCGAGAGTATATATATAAAGAATCTGAAAATGAGAATGTGAAGTAGGATTCTTTCTTTTTCTTTTTCTTTTTTTTTTTGACAAATAATATCACAATACAATAAGTTCTACATGTAGGTAGTATCATATAAATTTTATCCAATCTTTCATCACTTCGGCTGGAGGTCTGAGGGAGGACCCTTCTTTTGGACCCTTTTTTCCTTTACCTTTTTTGGTGAAGCAATACACGAGTATCTAATTACAATATGTCTATGATAGGGGGGGCCTTTTTGTCCCTTTCCATCTCATATTTCCTTCTTATTAGATACCTTGATATTTATCCATGCTTCAATCAATATCAATCAATTTGTTTCATTACCTGGATTACTATTTTTTGAAGGATCGTCAGCTACGAAATGGATATATATGCGGGCAGAGCGGCAGAGTAGAAACCAAGTGAAAATCTACGAATCAGGAAGGAGTAATTCTTGAGTACGTAATATAAATCTAAGACACATTTACGTCACAGGAAAAGAAATCCAAAATAGATTGAACTTTAAAGATTGAAGATACCAGACAGATAGATAACCAGTTATTTCTGTCAACTTTCAAGTGGTGGGTGGCATGAATGATCGACCTGCATCTGCAACAGAACACCAAAGTGGTACTATGCGAGTACGATGCGAGTACTATGCTATGCTCTTAAGAAGCCCTTGTTCCGGAACTCATGAAATGTGCTGTACTATATACATGTTTCAGTATAGGTAGTCCTGTATGAGTACCGGTAATTGAGATGATATGATTCTTAAACACTTATTGGGGTTTCTTCTACAAAATCCGTTCGATGTGATTGATATGATGATTCTGATGGGATGGGATTAGATGGGATGGGATGGGATGGGATGGGATGGGATGAGATGAGATGAGATGGGATGGGATGGGATTGGATTAGATGAGATGAGATGGGATGGGATGGGATGGGATGGGATTAGATGGGATGAGATGAGATGGGATGAGATGAAATGGGATGATGAGATGGGGATGAGATGGGATGGGATGACGAACATTGCTTGCTGGCTTGCTTGCTTGCAATTATATGATCTTCTTCATATGGGACAATTCAGAATTGATCAAAATATGTGGATTCTCCAATATTAATTGGCTACTACATTTGATGATCCTCATTTACATCTCCATAATTGTCTGGAAAGAGTCGAAAGGATCAATTCATTTTGGTTGATATTTTCAAGGGTTATTCATTCACACACACAAGTACAGCTGTATAGTATACAAGTCCTAGTGTTCTTAGTTTTTGATACTTGATATTATTCTCAGGTATACGATACATTACAGTACCGGTATAACGTTCTAGGATTCAAATCCGAGATGCTTCCAGCCTTCCACAGTTCCAGAGTTCCATTGCTTCTAGAAGATTAATAACAGATTTCCTAATGAGGATATTATAAATTTTATAGTGGAGTTTCAAATTTATATACAATCTTCCTTGTAAGTTGTCACCCTTACTTAAGTCTGTACCTGTCAATTTCAATTTTTAGTTGCCGCTTCCTGCGGATGCTACCCTCTAGTTCACTAAACTTTAATAAGGGAACAGCCGTACAACCGTACTCGATCGAGTACATACAACCCATACAACCATACCAACCCATACAACTACAACCATACAACCATACAACTATACAACCATACAACCCATACAACCCATACAACCCTACCTACAATCATACGAAATTCCTCGATTGATTTGATTCCAACCACCTGAGTCCTATTTCTACAGATTATATTGGCCCTTTTCAAGCCAGATTGTGACTTATCACAGTGGTTCGAGAGTTGAAGAGTGGGATGATTCCCAGTCTCGAGAGCGAAAATCCCCTTGACACTTATGGTTACATTGGTACAAAATGTAAAGGCGGCAATGAGGTTTCATTAGGTACATTGAAGTTCGAAGGAGCTTCGGTACTTTGTCTTTTATCCTAGTTCCGATGAAAAGCCTCGAAAGTTTCGCGTTAATCTCCTATGCTTACCGGGTACGAGTACTATTATCCAGTATTACCATGACGAAAGGCAAAACCGTACAGATTCTAACCAGCAGTGCAACACAGACCTCAATCATCCACACAACCTGACGTCCATTACACACGCACAGGTAATTGTATCTCAATTGTGAGATTCGATAAATCCAAGAAAGGTAGTTTCTAGAATAGTTTCTTGTTAATTTCTAAGAATCAAGCTGGGCAATAAAGATATACGATGCCAAGCGCAACGCTGAAAGACTTGGCAAAGCGATCAAGAAATCTCAACCGCCCACGATAGTTTTTTTGTTATTTAAGTACCGCATCGAGCCTCCATAACTTGGCAAGATTCATAAGCTATTGTTCTAGTTTTTATTGGATATCATTCCAACGGTTCTCCTGGGCTCATGCAGGAACGGTCAAGAAGAGACGAAGTTCTCGAAACTCATTCACCTGCATACAAGTAGTATGCAAGTCATCTCGGATTCATTTACCGAGTAGACCTCCTTCCTTAATCTTCCATCAGCCTTCCATCAGATGTATACCTCCTGCGTTGAGAATCCTGAGACGGAGATTGTTGTGTCTGATTGCCCCGAACACCTGCATACAACTGCCCCATCACATTAATGCGAATTTCATTTCGTATCATTTTTGGTTACAACTACTTTGTTCGGTGTCGCATGCATATAACGATGCATCAAAAGTCGTGGCGGATGAGTACTGAATTTCTAGAAGGATTCGAGAATTTCCGAAAGAATTTCCTTTCCTGCAGTGTTGCTGCAGGAGATATGTACGGCAAATGAGAAAGCAACATTTCATTTACCATGAGATTGGATCTGTAATTCGTGCATGGAAAAAATTGCAACACGAGGTTCGGTATCGTTTAAGGGATATCTCCGAATTCCAAATCGTGTCACAAGTGTGCATGTTTTGGTGCAATTACTAGATTCATACGTATCCTCGGCAGGTTTTGATTTCCAATCACTCCAATGCGTTTCTTTTGATGAGCAAAAAATGGGGGATTATTCATCGATTCTTTCGAGGGAGATATTTCTGTAATACTCTAATATGATATCGTTGTCACTCGCAATTCTATGGATCAATTAACGGACATCTTTCACTGTAAGGTCAACGCAATTCTTGATCTTATCTATTTTCTTCCAATTTCCACCACTCTCATCTCGCTGAACATTGAAGTAGAGAAAGACTGCAGACTCAACCTCTTCATCCCAAGCATTTCGTCATAATGTTTCTAACATGAACAGATATAACCTGTCAATCACAAATCATGCCTACTCCTTAACACCATGGCTGTACCAACCCCAAGATACTATACACATACCCATTATTTGAACCCAAAGGACATGCATATCCAAACCGAGCACACGAATATGAAAACGGCAAACCAGTACACGCACTCGAAGCCCCAGATGAATAATAATGAGAGGGATAACATGTAACTGGCGTGTGAGCTTGAGGCAGCAGCTGAGTCTGAATCCGTGCCTGCGATTGATATTGATACGAATATGCATGATGATTCATCGTTGGTGAATACGTGATAGGTGAATAAATGTATCCGGGATATTCATATCCAGAGGTGGCGGGGTACTGGTAGGGATAGGGATAGGGATAGGGATAGGAATATAAAGATATATGTAAGTTGGTAATAGGATTTCCGAGGATAGATCTGCGATGTTGCGGATAGGGATGGGGATGGGGATGGGGAAGAGGAAGGGGATGGGGAAGAGGGAGGGGATGGGGAAGAGGGAGGATCTGTTCGTGTGCCTGCGCGATGGGTCGATATGCAGGTGGGGGGTTGGAGAGGGAGGTGGTGGTGGTTGTGGAGGGCGGGTAGAGGGTTGAGTAGGAGGGTGGGAGGGACATTTGGATTTTGTAGTGGGGTGGGGTGGGGTGGGGTGAGGTGAGGTGAGGTGAGGTGAGGTGTGGAGATGGTTCGTTTTGTTTTGGAAGAGGGAGGGATACGTGTGTGTTGTTTATGGATGGTTTGTTTGAGGTAAGTTGAGTAAGCAAATGTATTCGTGATCGTTATTGAATCTTTGTATAGTATCTGTGAATCTTTAGCTACAGCTACAGCTACAGCTACAACGCATTTGCATTTCAAAATCCATCCTTCCGTACCCTGAGATTACTCGTACAAGTATAATGTGTATTACTTTCGAATGTGAAGAAACAACAGATACCGGTAGACTCGGGTCCAGAAACATCATTGCAGAATTTTAAATGTCTAATAATATGTCTGTGATTCACTCACATCTTCTCATCTTCATGCATGTCTTCACAATCCTATCCTATCCTATCCTATCCTATCTGATCAACTAACTACTGGAGTAATATTGTATGAGTGCTGTAGAAAGATATATATTGATTTGGTATGACTCACACACCAATATCTCTCTCTCCTCATCCTATTATTATCACTATCAACTATCAACTATCAACTATCAACTATCAACTATCAACTCTCAACTCTCAACTCTCAACTAGCAATTAGCAATTAGCAATTAGCAATCACTAATTAGCAACTAGCAACAACAAGAAAAAAAACCCCCCACCACTCCTGAGCTCATGATCAGTAAGTTATTCTCATATCAAAAATCTAATTCGCTAGCAGGAAGTTCTTTTCTCACTCCGTCAAAAACATGTACCGAAAGACTCGGATAGATCACTGTATACGGGGGATGGATGTGTTTCCTCCTGGCAAGCACTGATATTCTAATTTGCAATTGGTTGTACTCGAGTATCTGAAATTTTATTTTCTACTACTCCTGGTGATCATGAGCTTCTTGATGTTTACACTGCGAGGTATATGTATATATACTCGTATATGTACCTAGTAGTCTTTTAGTTGAAGGAATTTTGATATCCCATAGAAAAAACCCCAAACCAAAACCAAAAACTCAAATTGAGTCAAAAACTATAAAATATCATTCCAACAATCTCATCTCATCACCAATCCCACCCTATCTACCTATCTCATCTCATCCCTCCCTTTACCACCATTTATATCTCCAGACTCCCCTCATCTACCAATCAAAAACGATAACTCCCATCGGGCCTCTGGCGCAATGGCAACGCGTTTGACTTCGATTCCTGTAAAAATTTACAGGCTGCCGTATCAAAAGATTGCAGGTTCGACCCCTGCGGGGCTCAACATGATGTATTAGTGATTATTATTTTTGCTTTTTTGGGTTGTCTTTGGGATGAGGAGGAGGAGGAGGAAGTAGATTTTTGTGGGAGACTTCTGCTGTGGAAGTGGAAGTGGAGCGGGGTGGGGTGGAGTGGGGTGCACGGCTGTTGTTGTTGTGTAAGTAAGTAGAAAGTAAAAATGGAGTGGAGTGAGTGGTTGGATATGGAGATGGAGATTGTTGTGTAGTGCAATAATTGGACTTTTTTATGATACTGTCTATATAGTACCTTTAGCGAAATAGTAGAGATGAAATATAATTGATCTAACTGCGTGCGAACAAATTATTCTTTTGGATATAAGGAAAATAGTGGGAAATGAAGGGGATGTTATGGAGAAATGGCTACCTATACGTTCTACAGTCGAGAGAGGCTCATCAGGGGGTTACCGGGAGCGGGTATTGAAATACTGGTGGATGGATGTGATGAGGTGGTGGTGTTGGAATGGAAATCTAATCTTGACTAATCAAAAGGATTGGGCTTTTGATGTTGTGGTAATGGTGATGTGTTTGGCATCGACTTCTATATTGCACGATTGTAGACAATGGAGGGCATATAGAATAGATATCATAGCTTAAACTCGAATATCCAGCTCTCTCAATTGTAAAGAATCATTGCTCCTTTATTTTCATATCTCATGCAAACATAACACATATCCCAGCCTATTCATCTAATATTCCCCTCACCCCCAAAATACTCGCCTTCCTCCTATCCATCTATCCATCTATTTACCTCTTCATAGCATCCAACATTTCCCCCCTAACCTTCCTCTCCTTAGCCCCCTCACTTAAACTCCCCAAACTCCTTAAATCCCCAACCACATCCTTTGCCTTCCCAAAATAAACCTCCTGCAACAAATTCCTCATTTTCAACTCCATATCCTCAACAAGTCTTCCAATATTAGCTATATGATCCGCATCGTCTTGAATCGGTAAATCAGCTTCGATTTGTCGTGTCATGTTTCCGCTGAGATCCATTTCGCCGAGCTCGTTGCCACTGGTAGAGAGAGAGAGGATAACAGTAGATGTGAGTTTATAATGGGCGGTACGCGCACGGTCAACTGCTTCGAATACATGAATGCTGTCCCAAGAACCTGCGGAGCCGGATGATGTAGGTGACACTATTGATCCCAAGTTAGCTTCCCATCATAATTTGTCCATCCCTTAATATGCCAAGTATACTTCCATAAAAAGGAACTCCAAAGAAAAAAATCTCACCTTTCTTCAAAAGCACCACCCCCGCAAATCCATCATCCAAATTCCAAAAATAAACACTACTAACACCCCCCTCATAGTACAACTCCCGATAAACATCAAAAGCCTCATTCGCTCTAACCTCCATTTTCCTAACCCTCTCACTCGGCACTGCACCTTCACCCGCCCCATCATTATTTCCCTGATCATCAATACCGCCGGGCGTCGTCCCACCTACCGGCGTCTCAAATTCACCACTCCATGGCGAACGATAGCTATCACCATCACGGTTATAATCGCAGAGCAGGTAATCGCGACCAGTTTTGCGACAGCGGGAAATAGTAAGAGGTTGGTCGACGGAGCTGAGGAGATCTTCGGTGAGGGAGGGGACGAGATCGATGAGGGAGTTTAGATGGGCGGTGGTGTGTTTGGGGTTGAGACGACGGAGGAGATCGCTGAATGGGTTGGTGTTAGTGGGTTTCGTAATGGAGTTTTTTATTCGCAGATATGAGCTTTGAGATTACAGAAAAGAAATATAAGACTTACAGCGCGCTATCAAATTGATCAACTTCTGCCATTTTGAAGGTGGTTGTATGAAGTATGGAGCTTGCGTTGTCAAAGTTGGAGATGGAGGGGTTGATGTTCATGGTACGTTTTAGCGAGAGACCGGGGTCTAATCAATGACAATGACCCCTCCTCGTCTTATCATCCATATACCTACCTAGGTATTGAATGGAAACTGGGTAAATTTAGGCATTGTGATAAGAAGAAAAGAAGAATATGTAAATTCACCAAGGGCGTTTACGATATTCATTGTATATGGCATTGTAGAATTATGTATATGCTATTTCTGAGGTAGATACAAACATTGAGCCAACAGGACCCAAGCAAGAAAGACCAGCTATGTGCAACCATGCATTCACCATCCTCAAGATTAGATCGAGTTTCCTCCATCAGAGCTCCATCCAATACGCCAGAGTTTACCCACCCACCCCTTGAAAAGTGCTCCAGCCAATGTAACAACTCCATTGTAATGATTCATCCCCCCTATTTATCGTACAATGCGGATGCAATGCAATGCAAAACCAGGAACCTATTTTACAGATCCAATTCCGAACCAGAATCTTCAGCGTAACCATTCGCGTTCCTTTTAGCTCTTCTATCACGCCGCCAAGGACTGCCGATATCTTCGTCTGGACCCGGTAGACTTGGGTGATCCTTTTCATATTGTACTCGGAAGTCCCAAGCGTCTTTGTCCCATTTCGCCGATGTCACATTATAACCCGTAACAGCTTCTTGATAACTTTGCTTCCGTTCAAGAGCCCTGTCGGTGTATGGTTTCTTTACATCCTCTGGAGCTTCACTCCACATTTTGGTGATCATTTTCTTGACTTCGTTAGTAATTGGTTTACCTTTCCCTGGCCTTCGACCTTCCTCACATTTTCTTTTAGCTTCCTCCCATGTGTCCTTACTGTACATTTGATAGGCATTGGAGTGGTTCTTTGCAGGCTTCCAAGGTCGATCTCCAAGCTTGGCATATATCGCATTCCATATCTCGATTTCATATGCCTCGAGGCGCGCCTGTTTCAAATCCTTAGGGGCTTCAATGGCCTCGGACTTTCTTTTTGATGCCGATTCCTTGGGTGGGATGAGACGTTCCGGAATTTCTATTGGTCCAATGATAGATTCCAAAACCTCCGAGGCTACCCTAAGACCCGAAATGTAAGCTCCATGAACGGTGGCCGGATGAGTACCACAAGTATGCTCTCCACCAAAGAAGAGATTGCCAACAGGCTTTGCCATGACCCCATAGTCATCACTCTGGAAATTAGGTCCAGTATAAGAGTAACTGCCACGAGAGAATTTGTCTTGGCCCCAACGAGTCACAATCGACTCTGCTGGCATGGGGATGTGATCACCGAAAACGCCCCGTAAGACAGTTGTAGCCTCAGTTATCAATTCTTCATTTGAGGTCTTCTCCGTGTAAAATGCTGCGTCGCCAGCCATGAGAGCTAGTAAAGTTGGCACGCCAGAGGTATTTGTGCAGTTGAACCACTGGAAAAATCTACCTCTGTGCGTAAAATATTCCCCTTGATCCAGGCTGAATTTGTTGGATGGATTACGAAGAGTTCCAAAGATATCTCGACCTTGGTCCCAGAAAGGCTCTTTGTAGACCAAGATGACTTTGTTGAGGATTCCATAACCAATTCGCTGGATTGCTCCGGTCTTCCATGAAGGAAGCTCTGGTTCGAATTGGATTTTGTTTTGCTTTAAAACACCCAGCGGAATAGTGGAAACGATATAATTTGCATCAATTGACTCGCCATTCTCGCAGTCAATCCTAGATGAGGCAATAGTATTATGAGGATTGTAAACGATACGTTTCACAGCACTCTTCTTCTTCACACTCAGTGGCCGTGGGAAATTTAAAAGACCGCGAGGAACTTGTTGGTAGCCTCCCGTGACCATTGTGTGCTTACCCTCCCATTCATTACCAGCATCGAGGTCCCACCCTCCCAAGCTTAACTTGTTACAGGTAATCGCATTACTGTACTCGAGATTTGCGACGTGCCAATTAATGAGCCTGAGGTCAAGCGGTGTAAAATCAATCATTCTCATATATTGTCGAATAGCATCATCAAACACCGACCCAAGTGTAGCGTTCTCTTTGCTCGTGGATCGTTCGAGATCTAGGTCAAATTCGATGCCTACACCATCTCGAAGCTTCCACCCAATCTCGCGGGCTTTGTAAGCGGCAGTATGCACAGCTGGGATTCCGTGCTCCAGATGGGCTCTGCCAGTGAGCCTGTCAGATGCCACGGGTACCATTTGCTCGGTAGCAGATGATTTCTCACTTGCAGCAGACTGCGTCGCAAAACTGGCCCTATTCTCAACCTCGCTAATGGTTCTCGACCCATCTCCATTACCGTCGCGTCCTGCATCTAGATGGTCTCTGTCACCATCGACGAGACGCGGCGATGGAATCTTGAATTTGTACTCGCCAACACGATCGAGGATGTAATTGAAAAGCTTCTCGGCATGTTGATCGCGCTCGAGGTCAACTGGGCGACCGTCATCATAGAGTGTAGTATCTGGCTTCAGGGGATGATAAGGCAGGGCAAGTTGTCCTCTTACAATAATGTTCAAAGGATTGCCACGGTCGAAACCAGTAATAATCATACCGCCCATTTCTGCAGTATGTCGACTGCCAGGAAACAGGGTCGGATATTCTGGTCGCGTTACGTACTGGCGAGAATATACTCTTCCGCCAACTCTGTCTCTGCCTTCAATTATGAATACATAAGGTAGTTCCTCGCCCATTTCATGAAAACGATCTTCGAACTGAGCAAAGAGGCTATCTAATTGTCTAGCACAGCCTAAGCCAGACATACCAGCTCCAATGACGGCGATGGTTCGTCTGTTTCGTCCAGTACTTCGCATCTCACTTTTATCTATTTTGGACTCTGGGTTCTCTAGACAACCATAGTTGATATAACCGCGCCGAGCCAGCCACTCATGGCAAATTCGAGCAGCTTCAAACCAACGGACATCTCTTGCGCATCCGATAGCTTCATCTCTCATCACATGTATCGAGGGGTTGCGGATCCATAACCGGAGGATTCCGTTTCTGATATTGAGGTACGTCGTGACCTGCGAATGACTTATATGCCTACGTAACATATGATACTCCTCTGGATGTAGAGTGTATGGACTGAGCCGTGACGATTCTGCTGCTGCGATGCACTGTCTGGCATATTCTGCTGGATGAACGTCCGGAGGTATCGATTCTTTCGGACGAACATTATATATCTGTCTATTTCCGTTTAAGTATGATGCCGTTGTAGCCTCCCCGGGGAGTTTGTTGACGTATGCTGGAGAATTAGAGTGACTTGATAACGAGGACAGTGATGAGGAACCCTCGTCATGATCTGTAGTCATTGAAGAGGCTAAAGAATCTCGGGCGCTTTCGGGCTTTAGGTGTATGTTGCCATCCGACGCGTATTTGGACTGGCGTGCAGCTCTATAAAGAAAGATTAATATAGATATCGATGGCCCATTTGAGCACTCCACAAGACGAAAGGAGATGATCGAGCAATACATACTTTTTATTACCGTTCGTATTGGGGTTGGGATCTTGGACGACCCTTGCACGGGATTTGATATCAGATTGGAAGTGCCCAGTGGAGGAATCAACGATAATAGTATGCTCAAAATCTTCAAAAGCGGGTTGTGATTCAATGGTGTCCATTGTTGCATCGAAGCCAGGAGTAGATATAGTACCCGGGGTGGATGAATCTCTTCCGTTCTCCGTAGACTCAAATATGGAGAGATGAGAGTCTAATTCTTGAAATCCCATCAATGTATCGTGACCTAAGTCATCTTGTTGACTTACCTGGGCATCCATTGTAGTTGCCATATCGAGAGGTCTAAGCCCTGTGACTTCTTCTTCCATGGAATGCTTCGATATAAACGTATGTTCGGGGGGGTCAGAATTGCGAGATAACGAAGTGCCCATTGATAGCCTCAGCCATGAGCCGAAATAACCCCTTATTATTGTCCAATTCGATACGATGTTCTCTCAAATGTCTGCTCTGATAACGTCAGGACCTTCATATAACTAACATATATAGATATACGTCTTACACGTGGATTGGTCTCACCTCTGTCATTCAACATATTGCGATAGATGTCGCACGCCGCACTGAGTCTCAGATATGTAATTCTTCGTCTGTCGTCGGCATCTGCAGGCGAAACTTTCGAAATTGTTTTTAGGACTCGAGGGAATCTGTTGCTCGTTGTGTCGTACGATATGGATATATCATGTATGGGATCTCGGGCGGGCAAAAGATGCGGATAGCGATCACGTGTGGTGTTTACTTAGTTTTAGAACGAAGTTGACAAGGAACCCTAATAATGCAATAGCTCCGAACTTAATGTAGCAGTGCATTCCAGACGTTCAGAAGAGGAAGTTCAAGATGATGTAGTGCACATATGTTCATTGTTGGCAGAGATTTTTATTTAATATTACTATTATTGAAGGAGGCACTCTGGCCCCTTTTTATCTTTTGTTCATGATACTTCTCATTGTTCTTCATGAAGTTGAGGTTACGTCCGGCACACTACTCCTGCCCAACGAGCCTTTCTCTATAACCACATCCATCATTCGGTTCCCACTTATGATTGATGTTGTGCATATGATAATCTGCTTCCGTGCTGTATGTCTGTTAGTCCATGTTGGAATGTTGGAAGAATAATAACGAAATGCATACCTTCTTCTTGCTTCGCGATAAATCTCAAAGCTGCAATTTCCGCAAATGTTATCCCGCCTAGGAATACAACAAAAACAGTCTTTTTCTCACCAGTTCCTGTGAGAAGAGCTCTTGCTTTAACAGCCTTATCCTCTCCTGTTTGTACCTCATCGAAGGTCTGGCCTCGCACATGCTTCAATGGTTCATCAAATCCTCGCCAGCCTTGAGAGGCGCCACCAGTAGTCACACTCGCAGTGTTGTTCGCATTTCCTCCTCTGGTCATCGAAGTCAGATATTGCTTTTGTAATATGCATTGTATGAGGCGTATCGAGAGTGGCGCGTAGCCACTGTAGACATAAGCGATGTCGTTTGGATCATGCTCGTTGACTTCATCAACAATCAGACGAAGTTGCTTTCGCAGATAAGCATAATTGGTATTAGTGCCAGTCTGAGTTCCTGCCCCACTCATAGGAATCATTGATGCCATCGGAGATGTCTTTGAAAGAAGTAGTTGTAATTTCTCCAGAGCATCCAAGGTAAGCATGTGCTGGTACCCATACGCATGTAAAATCATTTTTTTGAACGTATCCAATTCGCGAGGTTTGATGCCGCCAGAGATGCATGATTCTAGGCACAAAAGTCGCAGAACGTCTGGAAGGGGTGCATCTCGAGCAATGAGCTCTTCGATGGCGTCGTGCTGCGAAGAAGGATCGGCACCCGCAACCAGATTCTGTTGAACTTCCAGCAATCGGCCGAAGTGTTCTGTATGAGTATGTTTCATTATTTCTTCCGCTAAGCCAGTATGTATCTTCAAACTTTGTTGTTCAGCCTGGTAGCCTGGAAGCTTGTTTACGAATTCTCTCAACTCTGCGGTACTCTTTGTTCCATGTCTACTTTCGTAGTCATTTTTGAGACGTCGTGCGACCTTATTCAGTAGAGGTCCAACATTGGCGAAATTGGTATCCCTCAACTGAGCGTAAAGTTTATCAGACGAGTCTAGTGTTATTTTTCTTGTTTTGGCCTGTACAGGTGCGGCTCCGACTGTCTTCGACGACCCTTGAGCAGCTTGCAGAGCCGACCCCACAATAGATGAGTCCACATCGGCTTGATTATGTTGAATGCCTACCGCTTCGTCAATTATCCCTTCATATGTCAATTGCGTAAGTAAGGGGGTCGCGTAATCAATTTCGCGATCGATAATGATGAGGCTTTCGATCGTGTTACTCGGAGAAAGCCCAAGCTTGTTTCTTTCATTGGTATCTTCGCCCGCGATCAATTCTTGTCGCATTCGTAAGAGGAGATCTGCAAGTCTTTTCGCATTATCACCCTGCCCAGTCATTCGGGGGAATAGGCCATGTTTTTGTTGTATGAGCATTAAAGCACGTGCGAGGAGAAATGTTGGTGTTGGATCTTTTCGTAAATACAAGTCTTCGAATGATTCGTCCAATTCTAATGACAAGAGGTCCTTTTCGAGCGGAAGAAAGTAGAGAGGAAATTCGGCAATACTGGTATCACCCAATACTCCGGCTTCTTCAAGAATCTTTTCTGATACCAATGTTCTCCGTGGAACCCAAAATATGGAAAATTCATGTCCCGTCTGGCTCTCTCGCTGCATGCGCTTGATATGGTCTGGGACTGTCAGCACGTTCTGATGGCATTAAACACAAAGAGGAAATTAGGAATACGCTCATGATCGTGTTGTCTAAATATATAGAAATTATCCATGTGGGGATCAAGACTGACCGAATAGAGTGGGAGAAATACTTCTATAAGGTCTATTTTCGAGATCCCATCAGGGTATAGGGAAATCTGGAGATTGGTAGAAATTGCCAAAAACTTACCAGCAATTGATTGAGCATGCTTCGCACTTTCCCCCCGAGCAATGAATATAACATTCTGCTGGCTAACATCTGCGTTGTCATTCTCTAAGAAAAAGACCTTGTCGACACCATAATCTTGAAGAGTAGAAAACTTGACGATTATGCCAAGCGGACCAGCCAAACTCTTCTCAAGTACCAAATTCTTCTTTCCGCGAACCTGCGGGAAGTAACGTGTCAGCTGCGGCCTCGAGCAGCTTGGGAGACGGTGAGGCCTTACTTACAACCTCTAATAAGTACAATAAATCCTTCCTCGCTTTGTCTTTGATATGATCTGTATCAAAACCAGCATGAGGAGCCATGATGAGCTCTACATGTGGGCTCAATGATGATCACAAGTTTGATGTAAAAAGGATGAGGGGAAAATGCCAGGACAAGCTGTAGATTTGACTCCAAGCTAGGTACATCAATGGCATCAATGTCCAATGTCCAATGTTTCAATGTTTTAGTTCCGAGCTCATCGGATCTTTTCCATATATTTCACCGATCAAATGATGGAACTCTCATAACCACAAGCGCAAGCGAGATTCCAAGCTTTAATGCCACCCACTACTCAGCCACTCAGCCTCGTAAGGTGCATAAACATAATACAAAAAAATCGATGCCTATCTAATCTAACCCAATGACTCAGAATAGAGAGACAATTGAACCCCCTCCCCCAACCAACCTTATCAAAACTCCATATCGATATGAGAAAGTGAATGAAGGTCTTACAAACTCAATTACTTAGATCTGCGAGATCGTCACGACTTTCACGACTTCCACGACTTTTACGAATTCCTAATACACGTTCGGCTTGGGTCCCCCCAACCCCCGCCCTCTCAAAGATAGAAAGGAAGCAATACTACGAAGAATTGAACATGGCTAAAGGACCAAAGTTTGAGTTGAAGACTCCCAAGGGGACGAAGGACTGTAGGGAATTCCACAACATCTCTGTCAAATTGCTATACACAATTCCAAATCTATTTATGACCATCATCAACATGTGACATGATACTTATATTTTAATAGGGCAAGGGAAGGATATGGTCATTCGGGACAAAATCTTTTCTACCATCACTGAAGCCTTCAAGCGCCACGGAGCAGTCACTATTGATACCCCGGTCTTCGAGTTAAAGGATATTCTTGCAGGGAAATATGGCGAAGACAGCAAACTTATTTACGACCTGGCAGACCAAGGTGGGGAGATTTGTTCACTCAGATATGATTTGACAGTACCATTCGCAAGATGGTTGGCCATGAATGGAAGCGTTCAAAGTATCAAGAGATATCACATCGCAAAAGTCTACAGACGAGATCAGCCAGCCATGACCAAAGGTCGCATGAGAGAATTCTACCAATGCGATTTCGATATTGCAGGTGTCTACGATCCTATGTTACCCGATGCTGAGATTATCAGGGTTGCAACGGAAGTTTTTGAAGGCCTTGGCTGGAAGGGACGATATACCATCAAGCTCAACCACCGAAAAATATTAGACGGTATCTTCGAAGTTTGTGGAGTTCCAGAGGACAAAATTCGTACAATCTCCTCTGCGGTAGATAAGCTCGATAAACTCCCATGGGAAGATGTGCGCAAGGAGATGACTGAAGAAAAGGGGTTAGCAGAAGATGTTGCGGATAGAATTGGAGAATACGTCGTACAGAAGGGCCAGAAAGATCTCCTCGGCAAATTACATGCTGATGAGAGGCTGATGGCCAATGCTTCTATGAAAGCCGGTCTGGAAGATATGGATCTTTTGTTCAATTATCTCGAGGCATTCAAATGTCTGGAAAACGTCTCATTCGATTTAAGTTTAGCACGAGGGCTCGATTACTATACAGGCATCATCTATGAAGTCGTTACGGAAGGGTCTGCACCTCTTGCGAGTACATCAGCTGTCCTTGCCGCGCCGCCAAGATCTTCTAAGAAGCCCAAGAAAGTAGCCGATGCCGATGAGGATCGCTCATCGGATCCGAGTGTGGGTGTTGGAAGTGTCGCAGCTGGTGGACGATATGATAACCTTGTCGGTATGTTTGCTGGGAAGGGAAGGCAAATCCCTTGTGTCGGCATTTCATTTGGTGTCGATAGAATTTTCTCAATCACAAAGGCTAGAATGGAGGAAGAGCAGACAGCAGAGCAAGTGCGCAACAACGATGTAGATTGTTTCGTCATGGCATTTGGAGGTAAGGGCTTCACAGGGCTCTTGAAGGAACGAATGTCAATTTGCTCAACTCTTTGGGAAGCTGGTATCAAGGTTAGTTAAAGCTTTCGTTTACTCAGGATCTTCATGTACTAACGACTAATCTAGGCGGAGTTCCTTTACAAAGTTAAACCAAAATTGCCAAATCAATTCAAGGCTGCGGAGGTCAACGGTGTACCTTTCAGCGTCATCCTAGGTGAGGATGAAATTGCTCAAGGCAAAGTTAAGATTAAGGAGAATGGTCTAAGGGATGGCCACCCGGAGAAAGACGGTGTTATGGTCAATCTTGACGCTTTGGTCTCTGAAGTCAAGCAACGTCTGAAGAGAAAGGCAGATATCGATAACATGACGCGAAAAGCCGATGGTCTGAGAGTTGTAGGAGGCATTAAAGACGATAAAGTTAAGGTAGAAGCAATCCCTGCAGAAGAATCTACAACTGAGGCTCCGGTAGCAAATGCTACAGGATCTGCACCATCGACAGAAAGTGCTGAGCCTGCATCAGAGACGGAGAACCCTGCAGAAGCTATAGGAGCTGTCCCTGCCTCTTAAAGAATCAAGATGATTATAATCCAATTCATATGTACATATTTGTAGCTTGATAAAATAGAGTGTATGAGACACAATGCATTAGTGATCTTTTGATGAGATCATATTTCCATTTATTATGGTCTTTTTTCGCTTTTGAGCCTTTGATTGAGATGCTCAGCATGATTGTACGACTTAGACACACCTACAGGATTCTATATTAAATCAATGGCGGAGTGAGATATAAGATGGCTTTTCGGATATCTCGAAACGACATGGGTGTTTGGGATGAAGAATAGTTAGTAGGTTGAATAAGTAAACTAACTATTTACTCGAGTAGATAGCAGGACAAGAAGTTCAAGTATATCAGCCCAAACCCTCTACTCGAGTAGTATTCTATTCGAGTACTTGTTGTACCGAAGATGTCTGTTCTGAGTGAAGTCCGTGCCAACCAGGGGGCAATCACAACTTGGTCATAAAATATATCTAGGTAGGGTATAATAAACATAAACATCAATGCATTTTGTTTCGAAATCCATTTTTTAACCACACTTCACTCACTTCGATGTGGAGGATCGTCGAAAATTATATTCGAATGAACATGTCCTTCCTTGAAATTCATCTGTTCACAAGGTGGAAAAAGCCCCTCCAATGTTGCGTTGCTTTATGATGATACTTATGGTTTGACAAGTGAAGCCTGTGAGTAGTGATGGGTGAGTGAGAGTGAGTAGGAGTGGGAGTGGGAGTGAGGGGATAATTGCCCGCACAGTTTTTTAAGTATAGAAATTATCTGCTGTATTTCCTCCAATATAATACAACTACCTACCTAGGTAACTATTCGAGTATTCAAGGATATTATTCTAGGTCTTACTTTATTCTTTACTTTCTTTTGCTTCTTCTCATTTGTATTATCATAATCTTGATCTTGTTTGCTTTGGTTTGGTTTGGTGTATTGATTCTTGTTCAATATTCTTCATATTTCCCTTCATGAAAATCAACAAACTACCCAAGGTAGCAATCACATTATCTTAGATTCTTCTAAATACTTTCATAATTCATAAGACTACCCAGATATCTGAGATTTACCTCGAATCTACCGATCTGCAATATCCCAATGGCTGAAAGAATTTCTGGGTTATGATACGGGAGCTTGCATCACGGATACCAAGGGTTCTCCGTCCGAAATCGATATCGTCCCTACAAACGGAATCAAACAATCCAATAGGTCTATTGTCATAGTAACGATAATACAGTACGGCAGAACTTCAGAAGAGATATAAAAGCATGGGAGAGATGATTCACCTTAAATTACAACCAGTGGTGGGGAATTCGATACCCCCGACTACTTCTACAACATCAATACCTTCATCAACAATACTTCCACCTCAAAAAAGCAGGTCAAAACCAATAAAATTGACCTGGGATAGACTCATATTTCCTTATACTCAGGAAGATTGGAAAATTATCATGGAAGAAATTAAGAAGCTATATTTAACACGACAATATAAACAGTGCACCTCACGATGCATACAAATTCTCGATAGCATCACAGATCCAGTATGTCAAGTTGGTTGCCATATAATATCCACACACTAACATACTGATAGTATCGAGTTCATCCTCTTAATTCACTCTTCCTATCCTTTTATTGTGCCACTTGTTTAGAGATAACGGCATCGAATCTTCACAACAACTCTCCTCAAAAGCTTTCGCTTCTCCGAGATTCTTTGTCATTCTTTCAGAAAGCAGAAGAATATATCACATACGCAGATATTCCCATCGAAAGCAACGATCTGTCACCGGGCAATAGATCCTCTTCCGCATCATCTACGTCAAGTGCTCGTTCTTCTGTGGATTCCGTATTTTCATCAACATCATTCCCTTCCACCGCCGATGGACTCTCACCTGTTTTCTCACCCTGTTCTTTTGAGGATGATGTTGAAAAGACTCCCACACGCAGACGCACACTTTCCGAATCATCGGTCGCATCTACGCAGTCGACACATTCGGCAGACACTACCACTGCACCAGATAAACCCGCACCACTTCGCGTTAAAAAGAAAGTTTCTTTCTCGCCAGCATCACCCACATTGATAACCACACAAAACCCCGAAAACGTCTCAAGAATTATCGAAACTATTCCCCGAGCAATTCAATATCCAATCACACCTTCTCGACCTACAATCTCGTCCAAATATCAATCACCAACCCCGGACCACCCCTCCCTCAACACACATCTCACAAACTACAATCTCAACCTCTCATCTCTCACAACACAACTCACATATCACATCACCCACATCAACCATCTCATCAACAGCATACAAGGCATCCGCAAATGTCGACGCAGCAATCAATCCTCATTCGCACCTTCATTATTTAATTCTTCTGGCGACCTAAATAACAATGATAGAGAGGAGCTGAAGAAAAGAGAAATTCGAGAAAGAATTGAGAAATTGAGGAATGCGGGCTGGGAGAAAAAGAGGTGGGATGGCTGCAGATATGAGGCTTTGAGGGAGAAAGTCGAGCATGAGTTGAATGGTTGGATATGATATGATATGATTTCTTTTGCCTTTGGCTTCACTTCGCTTCGACATGATGTATTATTTGGACATGATCAACGATATGAGCGGTATTTATTGGTACGTCTCTGTGGCGTGGTGCTACAGTGTATTGTTCGACAATAGGACCCCGGGTACATATTGGCTTTTGGGATATAGGATATCTTAAGCACCTGGCTTAGGAGCTTAGGAGTGGTAGGATATAGGGGGTTGATGTTAGATATGTATAATGTATTTATAGTAGATACTTATTGGTAAACAGTATACCCAACGGGACTTTCATCTTCTAGCCAGTTCTAGTGCCAGCTCCAGTGCCAGTACCAGTGTCAACTGACATCACTCAGTTCATCATTTGCTTCTGCTTCCGCTTCCGCTTCTGCCCTGAACCGCGACCTTCAAGTTCTACTCTTCTAGCGATGCACATGTACATGTGCGTGGAGGTATGATCTTATTCTTATTCTTATTCACTATGACTCTATGAGTAAACAAACACAAATACAAACACAAGCGGCATTCTAGTTTCTATCTAGTGAATTCCCCAGGGGCCAGGGCCTCGCATCTATAGCCAATAACTCACGAGTCCCGAGTGCTGCCTTCAAAAGTTCAAGAATTTGACTTATATTGCTCGAGCGAGTAGAGTAGTGTGCTATTGTTATTGTTATCGTCCTAACCACAATAGTCTCAAGTCTCTAGTTCTTGTCTCTAGTGAATCAACTCCTTTTCCTCCCTAGCTTAGGTTCATAGAACTAGAACTCCTAACTATAGCTATAGCTACCATGATACGGTACATAGATGCAGTACATATATCATATTAATCATCTGATTTTACATATTATATTACAGGAGATTAATTTGTTAATTATAAGATGGTTGGATTGGGTTGGGTTGGGTTAGGTTGAGTTGTATATTATGCTTCTCACCTTACTTTGGGAGTTCTAGATTCATAGTATGAAATAAGTATAGTAGAGTAGAATATATATCAACATCACACTATGCGTAGCAATAATAGAAATTTTCTAAACTCAAAATCGTCTGCCTGCGTATACGTGTGCGTATTCCACAACTATCCTCGAGGGTGAAGTAACTGAACATGGAGAGCTCACCCATACCGGTATTTGTTTTGGAACTTCCAATATGCATCAATCCCAATTCTGATATCGAGAATCTTCTCTTGGGAAGAGGAATAGGAAGGGTATGATTGTTATACAGTTAGTTACGTTACCAACTTCCCGATTCTCTCCCTATAACTAACGCTGGCAATTTTTTTTGGGTGAAATCTCATCGTTTGTCTCTTATTACTTTCAACTTCCAACTACTAACTTCCAACTGAGAACTTCATCGCTGTCACATATCACATATTATATTCTCGAGCACTGCACTGTTCTATATATAGTACCCCCTCACTATCATTGAAAGTTAAAAGAGGTCCGACTCATGGCTCGCATCTTGCTTGTGATTATATTAATATTTAAATGAATAACGTGGTTTATCAGTACATGGATCATATCAGTACGTGGATCACTTTTACCTCAATTTACAACTTTCAACTTCAACACGCGATTTATCAACAATCTACGATGCAATCGAACAATAAAGAAGGTCGAATACTTTTAGCTATTGAAGCTATTCAAAAAGACAAAAAATTAAGCTATCGAAAAGCTTCCAAGTTATACAATATACTATATACAACGCTTATCCACAGAATAAACGATTCTATCTCTTGTACAGAATATCGATCAAAAAATCATAATATTACAAAAATGGAAAGGAAGTGTTTATTCAATATATTATTGATATAGGCAATCGAGGGTTTGCATCTAAATTAAGTGGTGTGGAAGATATAACGAATTATATTCTTGAATCGAGAGATACGAAAAAGGTTGGAAAACTCTGGGCTTATCGATTCGTAAAGTGTTATATGGAA